ATAAACTAATTATTGCAAAACAAATAATTTTTAATCTCAGCATCGAAGGTATTATAAAATTGGTATATTTTTTTAATCGATAATTTTTGTATTTTATTAAATTGTTCAAACGTTCAACATCATTAAAAGTTTAAAATAAATATTAAGAATTCTATTTGGAAAAATATAAGGATTATCATATTATTCATCGAGTTTGAATGGCTTAATGATAATATTACATAGATTTCTAACATGTCAGCTGTTTATCGAACGATATCGTTGTTCAAAAGGAAAAGTTCAAGGATGATCTATTCACATTAAGTTTTGATCGTCAGTCTACGTAGAACAAAAATTGTACGTGTCGTTTAAACAAAGCCAAAATACTCGAGTCCCTTAAAAGTTGTCTGTACCTACTTCATTATTATTATATTCTTATGTATTATGAAGTATTATAAGACATAACAACATGTTGTTTTTTTTAAATATATATTTCTTATCTGTTTGTTTAAACTGCTGCTGTCGAGAGCACTCTTACCCGGTTTTATTTTTTCCGTTAAAAATAAACAATATTCAGCACTATATCCGAGATGGAGTTTATATAATATTATCACACCAAGCGCATCTGGCCAACAGGGAAACATGTTTATAATTCGAGAATAGCTATATAATATTGATACATATAACTATATATATACCCACACAAGTTAATAAGAATTCCCAAGCAATAAAATCGACCGCAAATGCAATCAAATACTATTACAAAACTGAGATGGCCTATCGGGATCGCCGAGTTCATTTACCGGGTAGACAATAAAAGCACGTCAAAACGGGTAAGGTCTAAATTGTGTTTAATACAAATCAATTACTTTGCATAGTTTTCGTCCTCTGCACACGATACACGGGAACGACGTTACGGAAACATAATTATATGGAAATCACATTGAAAGGCACCTAATAAAAAAAAAAAAGCATTAATAAATAATTATGCTTGAAATTATTAACAAAATCCAAGCAATGATATTTTTTAACAAATACCGCGAAAATCAATTACCTATTTTATTTAAACAAATCTGTACCTAAAAGTTTTAAGTTTTACTTAAAATACCTTATGAAATTGTACAAAATACTCTACCACGCCCACGCCAAATATGCAAATGATAGCCGAGTAATTGGTATTCGGATTTGACGAAGACATAAGTCTTTGACCTTTGCAGTGACCGGCATGGGGTTTTACAAAACAGCACATGCAGTTAGATATACCGACCCACCAACTTTTATCAGCCAAAACGAGTGGATTTGTTTTTATATTAATTTTTTGGCTAAGAATTAAGAAACATATACGTATTAAAAAAATAAAAAAATAAAAATTTTTTATAGATGAGTTAAAATGTTTAACTTGTATGGTAGGTGCACATCTTGTAGTCGCATTATACACGGTAAGCTAAATGGGCTCCACTGGACCTTTGTAGGTGTCGTGTGTCCATTCAAAAAAATGAAATTCTCGTGGTACGCCTTTTATATTATAACATGTGTTGGTATCGCAGAGGTGACTCTTTTGCTTGTTGCGTTAAAAAAAGCAACAAAAAAAACCCCCAAAGAAATGATTCGCTCAGACTTCTATCCGAGCATTCGGAGGCAGTGGTTTTCCTCGAAGACGTGATTCGACTTCTCCACTGGTAATTGATGTATTTCTCGTAAAAACTTACATTGTAAAAATACTGAACAATCAAACTTGACTGGTGTTTTTTTTATTTTAACAACCGCGCGTATTTGCTAAATGTTTTACGGGGTTCGACGTGATTCCTCGCTAAGAACAACCCCGAAGACAGCCGTTAACCCGACCGTTCCTCTCTTTACTAGTGAATGACATGCAGTAATCTTGTAAACAGTTACATCAAAATAACGAAATTTCAGTCCAGAAACAACAAAGTCTGATGTTCGGAAGGCGTTCCGTATAGACAATTTCGGTGCACGCGTGTGTAGAATAATAATGGACACAAAACGAACGTTTCCAAACACTCGACGGGCCAATTTTGACAGGCAAGAATTAAACTGAATTCAAAGTCTATACGAAACTTTAGATTAGTCCAGCCAACAACAACAGATCATCCTGTAATATTACAATAGTGGCCTTCGAGTTCAGTCAAAACAATATGCGAATAACACAACATATTATCCATATTGTGTCCTGGTCAATACTAAAACTATAATAATTACTATATCATAGCAATCGAGATTGCATAAAAGCTGCATATACCAGCTTATTGAATAAATTCAGTACGATCATATCCAGGTATATTATATAATTTATAATATAATTATTTTAATAACGAACGATAATATGCTCAAGTCTCGGTTTTGTCCAATATCTTACCGAGATCTTTTATGGTAAACCCGTGTTTTTTAGCTGATGGCTATTAATATTTTAATAAGTCGATATATTTTTTTTCTTGCCTTTGTATGAAAAGATTTAAGTGGGTTGTCAAGTTTCGTTGCTTGATATTCGCTTAAAAATTCAAAGAAAAAGTATTAACGTCGACCATCGTTGATTTGGTTTTTTTTTTACCCTAGAGTGAAACAAGTTTTATCATTGAGGATAATACCTATAAGTTTTTCGTTATTTATTCATAACACGATTAACCTTTTTTTTTTTTTACATTTTTGTTTTATATTCCGTATCCGTATAGAATTAATAATGTAATTGTGGTAGTAAATGGTGAACTTGTAATTTTATTTTAAGCGAATCACTTCAACCCACATGTTTATCATTGCACAATCATTTGTCATCCGGCGAAAAAAGATTTACCCTCTTGCTTTTGTATTTCCGCCGAAAAGATCATCTAGACGGCATTTAACAATCTCATACGACCTTTTTTCGGGGTACATAATAATAACGCTAACGACAAAAATTAAAAATATACGTCCGCCTCGCCACTTCCTGTCAAAAAATAAGTGTGGGAATTATGCACATCTCTTGTTTGTTTGTTTGTTGAAAAAAAGATACAAGAAGCTAGCAATTAGCCCAAGTTGCTCGTTAACAAGATTAAATTTAATGGATATGTCTGCAGTTCTGGTTAAAAAAAAACACTCTACCCAGTATATATGTATATTACTTTTCCGTCTCCACTAGAAAACAATGCGTTTAATTTGTCTTTTTTATATTCAGACCAAATTACAAAAGCCGTCCGTCAACGAGCACAGTATAGTAAATCGCATTAAAAAAAAAAAAACTAACAATAGTCGTATTATATATTATTCAAATTTAATTGCTCGTTAAACTTGAATACACAACATGTGTACAACATTATATAACACGTAATTACCACGTGCTTGAGGTCTGAGGTTTGCAATACGATGCTTGGCGTTTTTAAAAGGATTTCTGGAATTTGTCAGTTTAAAGAGCTTATGTAACATTGTGCCATATGTTTTGGCTTGCTCTTACAAGTCGAAATTTATACGTGCCACTTGTTCCCTTGTCGCAACTCTGTAAATCAAATGTAGACACTAAACCCCGAGGAGACGAGAAATAAATAAATGTCTATATTGGATTACCCGCAGTGTATCCGCTCAGCTTTTTATCACCCCGCCAATACGTTATTCACATCTCATTCAGCATCGCCCCATTTAAGTTGAACCAATATTTCCGGTTACCATATACACAATAGGAACTACACAACAAAACACAACCCTTAAGTTTACAGAACTTAACAGACCATGCCGAACACGGTGAAATTTAAAGAAACCCGGCACGTTATAAATGGTGTTTGGGTTTATTTTCAAATTTGTTTGATCATTGCGAGTAGACCAAGTATAATGTTTGTACGAAATAAATGCTAAGGGTGGCCGTAGGTGGGGTCGTTACCCTACTACTTATTTTTAACTTCAACGCGACGCTGAAAAAATATTGGTTTTAAAACGATGTGCTCAGTGTTTTTGTTTTTTATGTCTGCAGACAGGATAACATGTTCCTTATGAGCCGATTTTTAATCTCAAAACTATTCAGTAAATATTTACACCCAAATAAATCTTTGTGTACGTCGATTGTTTTTTAAGCAATATAATTCAATAATATCTCTCTCTCTCTCTCTCTAATAGCTAATTTTAGAATTTACTATTTACATAGTTTTTTTTACGTTTGAAAAAAAAAATGAAAAACAATAAGTTTGAAACTTGATATGAATTCAAGTGGTAAAAAGCCATTTTATATAAATCAAATTTCAGACAGTTTTTGGACTTGAGACTTTAATAGCATTAAACTCGTGTTCTTACAACTTCAAAAGCTAAACTATAACAACAACAAAAAAAAAAACTAGACGTGCAGTGCAAAATCAGAAGCCAAAATTCAGATACAACTAAAAAATATCTTATAAACATTTATTTTGGCTCGTGTTCCAGATAAAAAAAAATGTTAAACGTTGTTGTACAGCGTCTTATTATAAATGCATTTTGAAAAACAACAATGTTACACCCGCAATATTTAATGAAAACTAAAATATACAATAAAATATTCCTTTTTTGATATGATATATTAAAAAAATATATAGGAAAAGTTGGAATTATCATTTTCCACGCTACTCTGAGTATAGTACGCGTTATAAAATGTATACAAGACGTGTCAAATTATGAAATTATTTAAAATACACATTTTTATAATGCACATTTATATATTGTGATTTTTTTGGAAATGTCATAAGTTAAAATTAAAAACGCGCCTTTTAGATTTTAATATATTACTGCGCTTAAAAAAAGATGTAAATATTTTTAACAATACGTCGTATAAAACTCATATTAAGGCCAACACGACTGTAGTGACTTCTTTCAATTTTGATTTAATATGATAACATCCTGTAGAAGAAAAACCAGTCTGGAACGATTGGTTGCTTGGTTATTATGATAAAAGTAAAAAAAAAAATCAAAATCAAACGTATATATAATATAACAATCAAGTGACGGTTATTGCAAATCCTATTATAATGTTGAATTAATTTTTGGCATTTTTTTTTGTTTTTTGTTTATTTCAGAAAATGTCTACATTATACAATGTGACCGTTGTGATGGCTGCATTCTTGTTGCTGGTCGTCGGCAACTGCGAATGCAGGATAAACAATCTGCCAACGCAGTGTCTCCCAGGATTGTTGGAAGATGCCCCGCCCAAAGTACGGGAAGCTTGTTTCACTTTGTCGACCATCCGCACACTGTCCAACGCTATCGAAACATACATACAGGACAAACAATATCCGGTGTCCATGCCCTGTAAGTATAAACACACAAAAGCACACCAATATTGTAGCGTGTGCAAGTTATAATAATAATAACAATACTTACGGGAAAAATGTACACCGACAAACGTACATTTTGTTTAAATGTAAACTATTTGCTCGAGACATTAGTTTACTGAAATCTATATATTTATCACCAGCTATAACTTAGAAAAAAATAAAAAACAATTTTAGCTTAACCAAGAACGATTAATTGAAAACGGTTAGTATTTTTTATTGGACCGTTCATGTTATCAATACAATTATTCATATTCGATTGCCATCAAAAACATTAAGTATTTGTGTTAAGACAAAAATAAAAATGTTTCAATGAAATATTTCTAAAATTGTACTATTTTTTTTTTTATTTGATTGTACTTAGATAAATAGAAAAATATGTTTTATGTTTTTTAGACGCCAGAATGGCCGACGGTCTGACCGACACTGCAATGCAAAACGATAAACGTCAGGACTTGGATCACGTTTTCCTCAGATTCGGCCGCAGACGACGTTGAATAATCGAATAAAATTTAAAAAAAACAAACAAACACTTAAGATAACTTCCTTCTTTTTCTCTTAGATCCTCGATAAACTCTTTAACGCATATTTGTGTAACCTCGCGCATTTTTCACATGTTATACTACATACCTAAATATTATAATTATTACATAATACAATTAAAAAAAAAAAACATTTAAAAAGTAAAATTTAGGTACCATCTCGACATTCATCTAAGCATTTATTTTAGGGTCCCATCTTTATTATTTACGAATAATAATATTATGACGGATTCCATCGCGTCGTACAATAGTACAATTACTTATCGTTAGAAAAACCATTATTTTTACTATAACACATAACGTAGAGACTTTTATTTATTTATTAATTTATTTCTTAGTATTATTATTATTACCTATTATTATTTGTTTATATACTTGTATCGTCAGTAGGACTGAATGTCTGCTCATATGTACTTAAAACATTACAAACTAGTCTGCTGTATTTTTTAATTATTAGTTTTATTAGTTTAAGTTAAATGTTATATTATGTTATGTCGGTATATAATTATTAATTAATAAACACCTACATTTAATTTGGTACACGATAATAAAGCGAGCGATACTGTTAAACCCGTTATTACTATACAACTACTATTATTATTATTATATATAAAATAGAAATAATACAAACAAATTACTTAAGAAAGACTATAATAATATATATATATATATATATACACCTACAAAACAAAAACCGTTGTGTTAATTTATTTTCTCATTCCTTTATGCTAAACATGTTTGTAAAAAAAAAAATCTACGCTTTTTTTAGCGTGCAAATGCAAATTGTACTATTTACCCTTGTTTCTTAAAGAATATTCAATGTATCTATTTTGTACTGAATTTGTATTCAAATATTTTCAAACGCTTAAATTGATCTTTAAACAAAAAGGAATATAGATGACGCCACACCCTCGTGCAAGGGCTGTAGAGTAAAAAAGCTTCCCATGCAAAACAACAACTACCGTTTGAATTTGATGCCATCATTTTTTTTTCTTTTCGAAATTATCGATTCAAAGATATTACAAACTCAACCGTCAAAGCTATTGATGTATATGCAATAAATACTATAGCAGTAACCCAAATATTTAAATCTATTTTATATAGATACATATTATGTAAGGAAGACGGTTAAAAAAAACATATTCAATTCAGGACTTATACACTACTGTTTTTATTGAATTAGAGGTATTAAATTAATACGTGTTTACCTGTATTTATGCGATAATATATTTTGTACGGGTACAGTAGTAATGTATTATCTCATTATGTAGCTTAACAGGCCTTGAAGACCCATGAGCTGGATTCTTGATGAATTCGCTAAACGGGACGGATCTATTGACAGAATAGTCGATTAGTTCGACCAAATATTTTCAATGTAAAAACACCAAGCGACAGTATTTTTCCATTCATAAATCTTAGCATAGCCATAATTGGCATACAATACTAGAACTTTGGTAGGTGCATTTTAATACATGTAATGAGTTTGGTCTGGTACAATATAATACCTAAAAAGCATTAAAATTTCAAAAAAAGACACTAAATAATAGTGATTTTTTGTGTGTTGTGTCTGTGTGTCAGCTGAAAAAGTCACAATAATTCTTCGCAAGTTCTAAGTAAATTAAAAAAAAAACCCTAAATAAACGGGCCAAATTACTACTCATCGACTGACATTGACTTATTCAATGACGTGGCTCCTTCCAACTCTCGTCTAAACTTTTATATCTTTAAAATTGGAAAAGTTATTCCATACTAAAACAAACTATGCTACGGGTTGCAATTTCAATTTCGCAAGTTACCCCACCACATGAAATTAACCCTTAATCATTTTGACTTGCTCGATGCTTGAAATTACCGTGTCAAAGTTTTTCTCTGAAACTATTTCGTTTTGAAAATGTTTTATCACAGCTAGTTGATTTATTTTTTCTGTTAAGCGTTATTATACTATGGTTGAAACTTGAAATTCTATTTATTTGGACATTATATATTTACTATACCGATCTATTAGTACAATCATTTAACATTTTTATTTTTTAAGATTTTTTTATTACCGATTGCACATGATTTCTAAGTAAAAAAAAAAAAAAATTAGCGGATTTTTCAAGCAAATACAAATCCAGAAATGTTAAGCCCCCTCGGTTACAACATTAACACTGCTAATAATTTTTTTTATTTACAAGACAAAATACCTACAAACATTAGAGAGGAATTTGCTCCTATGGTAATTTTTTTCTTTTTAACCCAAGCTGTACGAATAAAATAGTGATGTCGCTCGTGATAAAGCAGCAACCGTTGTGTTGTGTACCTTTTTGTGCTCAAAATTCACTTTATCAAAAGACCCATTCTAAAGTGTATGTTGGTAGGCATTATTGTTTGCGCACAAATTGAAGACTGTATAAAAAAAAGTCTAGGGTATTTTATCGCCTCGATATTTTTCAGTCTCCATAGTCCACATGGGCATTGGCCGCCGTAATATGTACTTTTTAAAGTGGGTCGTTCATAGTAAAATAAAAAAATATCCTGTCTCAAATTTTACACGACACCTTTATCTCAAGGTAACCGTTTAAAGAAACAACAACATTTTAAAGTGATCATGCGAAAGCAAATTGAATATTGAAAATAAAAAACAATTAATTTAGGCTTTTTTTAAGGACTTTTATTAGAATATTTTAAAACAATTTAATCCGATCTTAGTTTAGGTCAATGTTAAACGAACTCTATTTTTTCACCAAAATAATCATAATAATTACATCGTTAGTAACATTTTAAGAAAACGTGATTTTTAAGGTAACTTGATGAAGTTTAGTGCAAAATAGAAAACAACAAATCTAAAGGTCGACTTGCATGCGAAAAACCCCGCGCTTAAATACACCTTATAATTAATTTACTAAATTCTCAATTAATTAACAAGCATAAATAATATTAAATTCCTCGTGTACATGTTTTTCTTCTTATATTTAAATATTGTTTTGAAACTTTTACAAAGATACTATTTTTTTTTTACAGGTAGGTATTTTCAGTGTAGTTTTTTCTAGCGTGTACCATTGTAAAAGTCGATTTTGTCAAATTCAAACAATGTTACAATATAATGTTATCAGCGAACCCACTTTCGTAATTACATTTATCATTTGCCGGCTTCCGAAAAGGATCTTGTCTTGTCCATAACAAAAATTGAATAAATGTGTAATGTAATTTTTCACGACCTTAACCTAATCCGGAATACCAACACTATTGTTACGACTTTCGTTTAATGAAAAAAAAATTTAACATGTCACTAAGATTAAACTACAGAAAATTGCCATTAAATTATTAAAAAAGGACGCCACTCCTATTAATAAAATATAGTTTAAAAAAACTAAAAAACACGCTTAAATAGTAAAATAAACTAAAAAGTAGAAAATAATTTTCAATATAGAAATCAATTAACAAAAAATAAATAGTATTATTGTGAAAAAAGTGTGGGGCGCTTTTCAAGAACTGATATATGTAGCACCCCACGCTTTTTTCATAATAATACTATTTATTTTTTATTAATTGATTTCTATATTGAAAATTATTTTCTACTTTTCAGTTTATTTTACTATTTAAGCGTGTTTTTTAGTTTTTTTAAACTATATTTATTTTCCACTTTTTAGTTCGATGTGCTTTAAAATCGTGTTTTTTTAGCTCTAGTACATACGTGTCTCTATTACTTGAAAACTTCAGGTAAACAACGATGAATACACGCATGTATGTTCGGTTGCCTATCTCTTTTAGTTACATAGTTACATACAAACATACAAACATACAAACATACATACATACATACATACAAGTGAAGCTAATATAAGCTTGTTAAAAAGTACCATCGTCTTAACTAGATTCATTCTTTTGAAATCGGTGCACCGGATATATGTCTTGCAATAAGTGTTAATATTTAATATCTATTAAGTGTAATAATATCTCCACGTGGTACTCTACATAATTAATTTTGAAACTATAACAGCTTTATAATTTATGGAAATTGTGCATTAAACGTACAAAACAAATCAAGACTAATAAAATTAACTTTTAGACGAGCAAAAATTATAAGAGGACAATGTTTCATTTTAACGAGAAACACAAACGCTTTGAAGTAATTTCAGTATTACCCAGTTTTTGCTCTAACGAATTATTTTAGGTCAACACAAAGTACATCAAAGAGTAATCGAAAATCTTCTTATAATAATTATTCCTAGTAATAGTACCTCTGTACACTACCGACCTACTATCATATAGTAAGACGATGCCTTGGTTATTTTTAATGAGTTTACCGTTTTCAGACGTCTCCAAACCAAAAGTTTTCAGTAATAATATTGTAAGATGATATTTTCTCACCCCTCCCCCCCTCCTATTAATAAACAAAGGTTACCAAAACGTATTTTAATCGTAAGTCGCCGTTAAGTACACTTTAGATTTTGTGTTGTTTAGTCAACGTCATTAAGATTAATTTTTAGTAAATATTGGAAACTTGTCAGTATTTTAATAAAATATGTAAACAATGTTTGAAGGACACTAAACTTCTGGCAAAAAAATTAAACTGAAAAAACCTCTTCAGTTTTTATGTTTTTTTTTTCCATTTAAAAAAATATGTCCCAATTTATTTATGACATATTTTATCATTATGAAACTACAAGTTGAACTCCTCCTTTATAGTGTTTTTTTAAAAAATATTTTTACCGTCTACAGATTCACATATTTGCATCGAGGCTTTGATTTTATCACTGTCAAACATAATAATTTTTACAGACCTTTGATCGCTGATCCCGCCCTCGGGCTGTTCTTCAGCACCTATATTCATTTTATACTCAACTGAAAAAAAGGTTCTATCATTGCATAACAATGTCGTTAACTTTTTTTTATGCTTTCAATATTATCTTTACAACTACAAATCTATACGATCAGCACAACGTACATGTAGTCGGTATAAAGGAGTTTAATAACATAACTTTTTATCTGGCCAAAATTTATAAGGGGAAAACATCTAAAAAAATGTTTAAAATTAAAACTGTTTACAATCGTCTAGGTGTTTTAAAACTTCATACCATTTGTTTTTTTCATAATATTGGTCCGGCCACTATCTCAAACAAGTCTGGTTAATAAGCATTTATTTGGTCGTTTTAAATTGATTTAATTCGCTATCGTTATTACATGCACAGCCATTAATTTATGCTTTTAAATGAAAGACTACCTGGGAATTTTCACGGTTTGCAACACCTGTCGCCTTTTCTCCAAATGCAAATTACAAACAGTATGCTTTTTGTTAGAGGTTTATGATCCTTGATAAAATTTATTATACTATCTCAATGTTGTCAACTAAAGGCATTACAATAGAATAGGTATAGTAGAAGATTCGGTTAATGCGCTAGGTACCTGAATGTTACTCCATCCATAATATAATTTATAGTTTCCTTAAATTATCCACAACTGAATATTATGTACATTGACCGCAATTAAAGTTTATGCCAAACAAATTTGCAATAAAATGGTTTTTTTTTTTTGGACAGGAAATGTACTTGAAATATTCTATTTTGACAGGCAAACTTTTTTATGTCGTTTTTAATAAACTGTTTAGGAATTGTATAAGATACAAGAGATGTATGGATAGTTTTCAAGTACTACACGGAACGATCAGTGCTACAAAATATAATTTAAAAAAATGTATAGTAAGTAATATTATAATTGTACACTATAAAAATTATTAATCTAATAATACTAAGGTATTACAAAAACAGATCACTCAAAATTTGGCAATTGTTAAAAATAAATATACATATGCATAAATAAATATAATTAAATAATATAGGGTTTCATGATATACAATTACTAAGTACATTGTTTTAATCATCATTATAATATGATACTTCGACGACATCGCCTCCCACGTTAAGTAAACATTGCCCCTAGAAACATTACAGTTTTATAACATAAATACAAACACCCAGTTTACTGTGCAGAACTTACTTGGTTTTTATGTGGATTATTGAGAAGTATACATTCGTTCATGAAGTAGGCAACCATTGCGTTACCTCCTAATGCTGTTACATGTGCACGTACAATGGCCATTACTTCAGCGACAAAACAGTGAACAAATCCACTTAAACCACCGCTCTAATAAGTAAATTAGTTATCTAGTAAATCAGTTACTTCAAAATAGATAATATTGACTTATAAACATGTTTCATACTTCTCTTATACACGTGCTCTCGCGTATAAAAAAGAAATTCAAATTGCCCAGATAACGTTCAATTTTGGCACCAGGAATATAAGTCATCGGCGTGATGTCCACCCCGTATCTGTCTTTTGGAGCTGCCTAACAATTTTAAACAATAATAATATTTTATGCCCAACAAAAAAACTTGACCTTAAATATTAATGCATACATGTGTAGATAGCCTGCTTTGTCGTGGGGCTCTTTCAAATTTTCTAACTTTTTTTTCTCCCAGACTTATTGGAAGCTCTTCTTCTAATTTAAAAATTAGTTCTTCTGCAAAATGTTAAGGAGACGTTTAAAATGTATTATCTGTACAACTATTAATTTATTTTCATACCAGCTTTTTGATCAAAATCTTTAATAGGTAATTGTCTTCTTCGCAAAATTTGTTTGGCAGTAGTTTTATCCGATTCACCCAGGCCTAGCGCCATACCTAAAAAAAAAAATGTATAAATATTTTTTAGTAGATATTTATTCAAAACTTTAATCATTTGTTACTAAGTACTAACCGACTATTGATATTTGTAACTCATCCAATTCTGGTATATCTATCTTAAACGACAGTTTACCCAGACCGCACGGTGTCATTCTTCTCAATTTGAAAAACAACCCCTAGAAATAATTAACTACACATTAGATTTTTACATTACAGAATCTTCAGTATTTCATGGCCCAACTAATATTTTTAATAATAAAAATAAAAAGTATTTTACAAAGGTCATTTTTTATAATTTAAGATATCATCAAAAAATTTGGTGGACCATGAAATTCTGAAGACCCTGTTTGTTAATAAATGGTGACTAACTTGAAGCATTCGTTGAAGTTGTTTGTCGAAATTTCCATTAGTATAATGTGCTTTAGACCGCCAAACTTGAGTAAACATCTGAAGATTACATACTGGTTCCATAGGAAACACTTCTGAACCAGTACCAGGAAGTACATCTGTGTTAGATAGTAGAAAAGAGCTAGGAGGAGTGGGTTCTAACAGTTGGGTTACTACGTCTACGTCTTCTGCATCATCCATCTAAAATTAAAGAAAATTTTAATATAATAAAATAAACTTAAAAGCTTCGATGCACAGCTCAGAAGGTATTGTTTTTACGAAGATTTTTTTTTTTTTATATTTGTGTCTATACCCACAATATTTTTTTTATTGCTAGATTGGTGTCTTCATCTAACGAGTCTATTGATTAGAAATCGTAACCAAAAGGGAACTTCATGAGGCCAAAAATAAAAAAAATTTACCCTTTCCCCTTCGAAATCAAGTAATTTAAAATTATAGCACTATAACTTTTTGAAAAAAAGTCTAAGTTTTTTCTTACTTATGTTGGGTATTTTTTAGATAAACAACCGAGACAATATCAATAACCCTTTCCCCTAAATGTGAAAAACTCTTTTTGCACTTCAATTGTTTAGTCCTTCAGACCTATAGCTTCATTCAGGTTAAGACATCCCCTGTTCCTAATATACTCCATCCCCACTAAGGCACTGTGCCGACTTTTTTTTTTACTGTGAGTGTAAAACATTGCTGCTATGTACCTATAATTATCTACAAAACTAAACTTGAGTAAACAATAATACATAGTTAAATATTTTGTAATGGAATTTTAAAAATACCTCCAAAATACAAGTGTCTCTGTTTCCATAACCCAAGTTTAAATCGGGTAAAGTTTTACCAAAAGTATTCGATGAAGTTTTTTCATGCTCTTCTTCCTTGAAACAAAACAAGAAAAAGATAGATTAAAAAAACCTGTAATCTGGATAATCTATATGAGTTCTAACTTTCTGATTGAGGTGATAGTGACTTCTATTATTAATGACAGCATCGTTCAGTAATTTTTGGGTTCGTAACACTTGTTGTTGGTCGGGGTGAGCCCAAGATTTTCCAGCTTTTACTAGTGGCAAAGGAGGCTCGGGTAAACATGCAACATACATTGCAGTACCGGTAGCGTGTAAAGAAACAACTCGTTCTCCAAGACAAACTTGTACCTATATAACACATTGATAAAGTTTAATATATGATGATATACATAAATCATGTAAAAGCTAGGAAATCCTAGCTTCAGATAAATGTTAACATTATATTGATAATATTAATAAGTACAGTTCATAATTTAATTAAGAAAACACTGCATTTACTTTTAACCCAAATATTGCATTCATTCCTTTGACTCGTAATTTATTTAATAGCTGGCTGTGGAGTTCATACTCTAAGAATGGTAAGCCATCCGATATTTCTTTAGCATTCATTTCTCCTTTAAGATCCCGTTTTGTTCGACAAACAAAAGTTTGCAGTAAAGTACCCGTGCCAATAATAGAAAGCCTTTCCATAGGTTCCAACGACGACAATAGTATATGAGGAACTTTGTGACGTCTGCATTGAAAAAAAAAACCAGTACAGTCGATGAGTTAAAGAGTGTTATGTCAATTTTTATAACTAACATACTTGCAACAAGAACAATACTTCATGTTCATGGAAAATGGTACATTTAGCTCGTTATATGGTATATGGCAAACTGAACACGTTGTATCTAACTTCTCGTGACTTCCACTTACCGAGTGTTTATGTAGTCTGTTAGAACAAGACTAAAAAAATAAAAGTACAATTTGAAAAATTGTCATTGACACAAAAAAACCTCCCATGTGCTAAATTTACGATTTAGAAGATTTGGTGCTTTGGGATTCAGAAAAAAATAAGCTATTATATATTAAATCCTCTATGTTCTATCTTCATGGTAGAATAAATTTAAAAAAAACTAAACCTCTAATGTATTACCTACGCTATAAATTGTTTCACCTTCTGTGATGAAAAATGTGGTCAAAACAACATTGTGGAAAAACATTGACAAATGCATAAATATTTTAATACTTAATAATTACATAATTATTATACATTTTACTCAAATTTTTTTCCCGATTTAAAATTTTGTTTTGGTTGATCAGACTGAAAAATCAAGTTTTAGCACATGGAAGGTTTTTGTGTCAACGACAAAGTAACATTAATATGATTTGCTTTTAAATATATTTTATCTAAAAGAAAAATATATGAGCATTTTTAGATACTTACGTGTGTATTTGTGGCTTTGGGTTCCGGGATTTCGGCAAGAGGTGCACTAGGATATATACCAGCAAAATATCCACTGGGATTCACCGATGGAATAAGATTTACTACTGCGGCTGTCCCCATAGCGCTCAGCACACATACATCATCACTATATTAACAAAATAAGGTGATGAAGAATTTATAGTAAAGTATTCGATACCAAATATTATAATATTATTTTAGTAGTATTTATCATGATGTCGTTTATTCTAAAAACATGTCTTAAAAAGAACACCTCCCTCTTAAGATCACTTTTAGACAACTAATCATTAGACTTAAAGTCTCTAAAATAAAGTAAATCATAATACCACAGAACAATTATATCAGTGACATGTTCACACACGTACAAGCAAGGTTCTACGCAGTGCAACCAAAAATCACTCGCACTATTATTTATTTACTATTTATAACACACTATAATAATAATAATAATAATAAGTCATTTAACATGTTCTTTTTTTTACCATATGGCTGTATGTTCTGTATATCCTAAAACGACATTACAAGACAGTGCTCTAGCGTGAGATCTCATTTCAAGTCTTAACTCACTCCACCACGAATCTCTACTTTCTGGCTCTTCCATGTTTGACATACGTTCGAGTAATTTTACTGACTTCGCATTCACCATTCCGCCTGTAAATATTGACTTGGTCGAATTAAATTTGTTTGGGAATATAACTAAAAACAATCATTGCTATAAAGTACCTACCTATGTGTACAATAAAACCAGGAGGATATTTGGTCATCGTAAGAAATGGGTATTCCATTGCATCCAGAGTATCTTTGCTTAAGATCGATCGATGAAACATAGCATGTCCGTGGACACGATGTGAACTGGACGTTGAGCCACAGCTTCCGGTTAGACTCGTACCTACACAAATTAAATCGACAAACTATTGAAATAATAATTATATTACATACTAATATTCATATATTATGCACAAGATGTATAAAACAACTAATAATTAATCAAGCACACACATTAAAAATAAAAGGTTATACGGTACAACCAAATATAGTATATTAAAACTATACTTATGTATCAGTCATATTATTACAAGTCTTCAAAAGCTAAAGCGAAACTTTGAACTGCAATCAAATACTAATTAAAATATTTCTTTTTTTTTTTTAACAAGAAAAAAGCTCGATTCTCTTATTTTAAATAAAGATGAACAATATAACAATAGTGTAGTTATATAATAGAAAGATAGGTTTTGGTTATGAATTAATTATGCCATGCATATATGCTTTTTTATACTTGGCCAACGCAAATTGTAATACTTAGTAAATCACATATATTTTACTTGGATTTAATCTGTTTTTACAGTGATCAAAATAATGTTATGCACATTCTTTCATAAAACATGCTGATATTTTTAAACATAGTACAATATTATGTTTTAAACTAAAATTCAAACATTTTGCCAGCTACATAGGTAGTACAATATAAAGTTAATGACATTTTTAACAAATAAAAACTAAGTATAGTTAAACTTTAATTAAGTTATAATTAAATTGTAATAAAGTATACACAATTAAATTTTGACAGTTAAGAACAATAGTTATTTGAACTATAATTTAAGTGATTTTTTTATTTCAATCACTATTTTCATTTTTAGCTAAATATAAATCTATTCAATTGGAATTCAAAATATATTTAAATCATTTTGAATTTAAATTCGTTCAAATAACAATTAATAATTTTTTGAATATTAATTTAAATAATGCTCATATTTGAATGCAAATACAACACTTAGATTTTCTTAGAAATAATATTAAGTTTTTGTAATATTAAATAAATAATAGTTTTATTAGCTTCATCAAAATTATAAAATCAAAAATGTTTAATTTAAAAGAAACATTTTTTTTATATTTTACATACTATAATTCCTAATATTGAATTCCAAAAAAATAATTGTGTGTTTTTTTGTATCTAATATAATTAAAACTATATTTAATTTAACTTTTTGAATAGGTCAACCATTAACATTTATAAATGTAGGAGATCTATTTATATATCAAGTTTTTTTGATCCTGTAAAACTGTAAGATTAATAGAACTGGTAACTATACACTATTAGTTGTAACTAAAACTATTTGTATAAAATTATAAACTAAAATTGATAATTAATATTGAACACACCGTTATAAGGTTCACACATTTAAAACTAATACTTTTGACAAAAAACTTACTAAAACAACTAACCACCAACATACATAGACAAACCACGCCATGCGCTTTTTTAGCAGTGTTTTTTTGACCTGAACATAAACACAATTTGTTGGGCCGAATAATTAGCTAAACAACTTCCCAATAAAGTATACAACGTGGTCAATCTATGCATGTTAAATCCTGTGTGTGTTATTATTACCTTTTTGAACGCTACTGATTTCAGAGTCCGACGACCTTCGATGCATCTGAAGGTGTGCGACTTTGACAGGCGACTCAGCCATTTCTCCATTCCTGTCATCACAGTTAGAAGCATGCGGAGAACACTCTGATGCAGTTATAATATCAGAAAAAGCGCTACACACATTTTCTTCGGGTTCTATTAAGCTGGGTTCATTGTTAATGGTACATTCTACATCGTTATTAGAAACCACTGTTGGAGGTGGTGTGCTGTGTAAAACTGTACTCTGTGAATTACTAAAACTACTAGAGTTATAAGGTGACACGCTCCTGGACATATCTGTTAAAGGACTAAGAAAACTTGATTTAGTGTGACTTAGATACACAATTTTTGAAAGTGGTGGTGTTTCAGGCCTGTCTTTGGTGACGATTCTTGAAAGCGGAGGTGTATGGGATAAAGACTCAGAATTGGTGCTCACTAAATCCAGTGAATCATGATCCTCAGAGCCTGACGAGTCTGAATAATAAGTTGGATTATCAGAAATGCCGGGAGACAAATCTCTTACATTGAGATCGGAGGAGTCAAACCCAATAGCCACTTCAGACTCTGCTGTTGAATCAGAATTAGAATTTAACGAACTTGATGATGGCAATACAATATCAGGCAACTTGTTTCCATCTTTTTGAAAACCTTGTGCATCACGGTGAAATAAATATTCTAAAGATAATTTTGAGGCTTGCGTTTCAACACTAGGTTGTCTAACGAGTTGTCTTTTGAAAGTTTGAGCATGAGTTTCATCAGACTCTGATGGCATTTCAAATGAGGAATTTATTTCTAGGGTTGCTTGAGCCAAAAATCCTAAAGCTGAATTACAAGTATTATAGTGCCTATCGTGATCGGATGATGAACTTGCCGATTCGACAGAAGCCGAATACTTATGTTTTTTTTTAAGCTTATGTTGTGTGTTTTGAAAAGCTTTTAAGAAACGATTTTGGCGTTTTACTTTTGATTTGCGCCTATCTTCTTGGTCAAACAGGCTTTTCATACTCGATAATTCAGCAAAATCGACTGTATTTGATTTTAAAATGTTAGGAGACACTTTACGAATTGGACAGGAGTTTATACTGTTGTTTATTAGTGTGCTAGTACAGTTATTATTATCAATCGATGATAAATAATTAGGAAAATCCAAACTTCACACAATTATTAAATTTAAAAACCAAAAAAAAAAAAAAAATTATTAACATAAATGTTCAAAAATATTTTTAATAATTTAAAGTCATAGACTTGTGCATATTGCATTAACCTATAAGTCTCATCATCTCAACAAAGTGAAATGTACCTACATACTACCTATTATTAAATAATATGCTACTTAATAATAATAAGTATAATAATAATAATAATATAACATAAAATTAGTATAATTATGTAAATTTAATTTAACTTTTTTTTAATAATCAAGTATGTACCATATACATGTTCTTAATTACACATTGTAAAATGGTTTGTCTTCACTTACATATGAAATTCATATGTAAGTCGACTCCAAACCTGGGCATTATTTAAATTTTTTATTTAAATTAAAACTCAAACAGTTGTTAAAAATAAAAATGTGCTTCAATAACTCAATATTTTCAAAAAACTCTTAGTAATTAAAAAAATGTCCAGGTTGGAATTTGACTTTACAAAGACAATACCATTTATTTATTAAAGTTTCTGTATTGTTCTATTAACATAATCTAGGATTTTTTTTTATGGGAGCAACTTTTTTTTTTAGTTGAAAATTATAAATCTAACTTAGTTGTTCAAGATTACCAAAGTGTATTTTATTTTATGTTTTTGTATTCCATCAAAATGAACACTATGATGGTTAATGTGTATAAAAAATTCAAAAAACCTCAGCAATAAATACTCGTCAGTTGTTATAAAGAAGCAATTATAACAAGCTCCGACTTGGAACATAATGATGAAAATAATTATAAAAAAGTACATATTTTATACTTATTACAAAAATCACTTTTCTGGAATACTAATTTATTAGTTTTAGCTAAAAATCAAAAGTATAATTTTAATGTTATAAATTTTACTTTATAGTATAAAGTTAACTATGGAATTGCATTATTTTATGAAGTAGTTTAATTTCTTTTGTGTGGTACAGTAATTAATAAATAACGTCCCCTGATAATACAGTAATAGTTTAAACTGATTACTCACTCGTCGATTGTTGAAGGCACATTTAAATTAACCGATGGTAAAGTTAAATGGCGAACTAATGTAACAGCTGTTCCAATACCGCGAACTACAATTCCAGATTCGCCTTCCAAATCAAAATATTGGTTATAACTAAAAAAAAAAATCATTGTATGAATTATGTATTAAAATTGAACTAATTAGACATATCAAATTAAATATAAAATTGGCTAACCCAATAACTGCATTGGCTCCTAATTCAAGGACTTTTAAACCAATCCGCCGTTGCACTTCATTTGAAAGTTTCAAAAATATAGTCTGGCGTGCTTCATTAGTTGCTCTGGGTGTACGAAGTTTATCTAGCCACTGATATTCTGGATCATCTTCGACGACTAATTCTTCAACAAAACCGTGTACCCATTCTGTGTGCGCAGTAATGCCAGCTCCAGCTATAACATTATAAATAGGTAAATGTAAAAATTTGATAATTTAGATTTAATTAATTAATTTTTTTTAATATATAAATATTACAATAAAAAAATTGAATTCCACACGAGGATTGGCGAAATCTATTAAAATCAGAGAAGAGCTCAACTTTGATAATGATATGGACTTCCCCTCGAATACCATGCATGGTATCAAAAACAGGAAACCATCCAGACACTACAGAGCCTCCTAAAAATGCACAAAATTAATTTTACAAAAAAGAGGAAATTAATTAGTTTTAATTAATTCACAATAATGATTAATAACTAAACCATAACTAACAATGACTAATAAATGAAAACTGAATATAACCTGTAGTTTGACTTTGATTTGATATCAGAGTTTCGGCTAATGTTTGCTGTCCCGATAACTGAACAACGGTTGGTTGTGGTAAAAGTAATGGATTTAAATTAAAGTAAACCTTTCCAATAGCGTCATTGGCAGAATATGTATCGTGATCCATGATTCTAATTTGTAGTGGTTCATCCTGAAGCTCTGTATCATCCAACTACAAAATTGAAATTGAAATAAATTGTTACAGTATTATTTTGTATTTTATATTACTACATGGATGCTTACTTCAAATTTATACCACTCAGAGTTCCACTGAGGATTTAATGACTTTCTGCAAACATCAGTTTTGTATGTAGTACTTCCTAGTTTTACTTCAACATAAGCATCAGTAGTGTCACTGGATCGATCCATGACAGGCAAATTTCGGCCAGCCAAAACACGAACTTTCACTTTACCAGGCATCTTATTCTTATTCTATTACCCTTAGTTTCAGAAATTACTCCATTTTTTTCCTATGAAAAATAAATATTCATAATACAATGTATTTAAATGGGAAAATCGCCCGATTCACTGCCCCACTCTTTATGAACTAGCAATTTTCTTACAGCAATAATTTATGTAAAAATAGCATATATTTCAATTTAGATTTCCATGCACTTTGGTCTGTTCAAAGTTGTAGGAATAGAAACATACAGGTAATATTTTTACTAAAAATTATTGTCTATTTTAAGTATATTGTGTATATTTAACCAACTTTGAACAGACCAAAGTGCATAAATAAATATTTAACTTTAGACCAAAACATGTTATTTTGTTCAAAATACTTAGGTTAAATAATAAATAAATGTGTATGGCGTATTGACCGGGAGTGGCTATGGCTAACTTTATGCCAATTCGGTCGGCAGAGGCATGGCATTTCAGCCATGCATTCTGGGTTGATAGTATGGGTCGCCGCTAGAAATCCCTAAGCTAAAGTAATATAAGGTATGATAATATTATAAAAAATCATATATAACTTAGATATTAATTGTTGTTATTCAAACCCACACAATTTTTCTTAACATTTATCCGTTTCCATAATTCATACATTGATAATGTAATTATAATACAAAATACCCAAATTGTTGTGAATCGTTTTAGGTACAAACATAAATTATTGATATATGTACCTAGTGTAAAAATTGTACTAAAGAAAATTGAGATAGGTATGCACATATTACTTATAGGGTAAGGAAATAATGTAATAATAAATCATTAAGTCAAGGTTATTTATCACATACTTGAACGATTGAGGTTCACCTAAGTGTCAATCGGTAACGATGATTAATGAATGATCATTAGCATGAACAACAAATTGTGTTCATTTTTAAATATACCATATGGTATATATAATATTGTAAAAGCACAGAATAATAATAATAATAAAACGTAAAACTGCTAACCGGTCACAACTTTCTACACTTCTTGTAAACATTAAAAATAAAGAAACACGATAAGAGATAACACATGATTTCTCCCTCGGGTAGATAATAAAATATCCCAAAGAAATGAGATCGGTCACCGGCATAGATAATAAATGATTATTAGATATTATAAATATTGTCATGGTCTTATTCATAACTATAAATAAGTATTTATTATATACATTATATGGTCTCCGGCCAGTTATTTTTTCTATATCTACTTCTTTTTAGATTTACTGAAAAACCCTTGATACTTATTTTTTACTTATCCATTTTTTATCCAGGATGCCCGTTTTATCTTCAACTGTTCGCTGAAATTTTCTCTGCTATCGACACGTTTCATTAAACTTCCTTTTATGTATTCAATCCTAATTCTGTCTAATCTAGTCACTACTCGCTCCACAAATGCATCCCACATTCTCATCATTCTCACTTCAGCTACTTCCTATCTTTTTTTTGTGCTCAACGCCAAACGCTAACTTTAATACATCATTGCTGGTCCAACTACCGGTTTATATAATATCAAATTAATAAATACATTACAATTCTCAGGCTATATATTATGTTTAAATAAAATGTCTATTTTGGGGATCTTGCTATCTTTTATTATATATAATTTCACACTTTTGACATTCAAAATCGAAAAAAAATAAGATTTTTTAAAAATTTAGAAAAATTATCTCATCTTTTACTTAGCAGTTAGCGCCACTTACATATTTTATTTTTTTAACACATCAATAGTAATAGGTATATAGGTAAGTCATTTTTTCCAAGTCTTTTGTTTTAGACTTACTTATTGTCTAGCTTTTTTTACGATTCGGTTCATGCAAAAAGGGTCCTTATTCAGACATTTCCTAGTCTATTAAGGCTTGTTGATTTTCCGATTAATGCGAGAAAGGGAATACATGAATTTAATAATTACTTACTTTTCCATTGTTGTATCTGAGTTGGGGGCAGTTTTTCCCATACTATTATGCCAAAGTATATTATAAATCTTTATTATTCCATGTCTTTACAATTTGTACTCCATGGTAAACCTTACAATAATTTAAAGTTGGTTTCATTTTAGAAAAATATATCCGTATTCCGTTATGAACATCATTCTGGTAACTCACGATTAAATGTATATTATTATTTCATAATATTATTAATTTATTCTACTGTTCAAACTCCAGTCTACACACATAAAAGTACCCGGTACCTTCATAGTCGTTCATAATATTAATATATCATTACATTTTTTTTTCAACGTTAAACGAAGGTCACGATTCTCGATAAACCCAACCATTAAATTCATAAATACATAATATCATTATTCATTCATCAGTCGAATATAGATTGAAAAAGTGCAACATTTACGTGTTGTACAGCTTTAAAATTGAGAATTATTCGGGTTTTCTTCAGTTAAATTAAATTTTCTACTTAAAATGGTGAAAGCAGTGTGTGTTTTGAATGGCGAACAAGTCAAGGGAACAATTTTCTTCTCTCAAGATGTAAGTGAGCGTATAATATGTTGCAATTATTTCATTATTAGAATTTCCATAGCTTTATAATTTGTTCTAAGCACTACCAAATATTTTTATGCAATTTGTTTTATTTTTAGGACGAAAAGTCCCCAGTTGTATTAACCGGTGAAGTAACTGGGTTGTCTAAGGGACTTCATGGATTTCATATTCATGAATTTGGCGATAACACTAATGGTAATTTTTTTTAAATTTAATTATTACAAGTAATGACTACAGTTTGTATATGATTAAGTTTGTGTATGATGATTGAAAATATACACTTCTAAGACTTTTTGATGATCTATTAAATTTGTAGTGTCATAACACGTTCAAATTTTTAGTAAATATATAGTATTCTGATACTTAAAATTGTGTAGTGAAATTATTTTATAAATATAAGCTACACTAGCTGCTAAGAACGTTACAAAAGTAAGTAGGAGAGTTTTAGTTTCATTTATTTAATGAAAATCCTGTTAATTGTACATGTATAATATTGTCATTTTCGCAAAAAAACCTCCCATGTGCTAAAACCACATTCACGTTCAGGAGACATTAAAACATGTAGAACGATTTATAGTAGGTAATACGTAGGTTACGTAGGGATACAGAAATCTCAAAGTCGTAAAATTGGCACATACAAGGTTTTTTTCGCAGCAACGAAAACATGTTATTGGTTGCTAATATTAAAAATATATTGATTTTTCTAGGATGTATGAGTTCTGGCCCCCATTTTAACCCTTTTGGAAAAACTCATGGTGCCCCCACCGACGAAGTGAGACATGCTGGTGATCTTGGTAATGTGGAAGCTGATGATTCATCAATAGCCAAAGTTAATATTAGTGATTCAGCAATTTCTCTTACTGGACCACTCAATATTATTGGCCGTACTTTGGTGGTATGTTTTATTCAAATTTTGAACAAATTAATATAATTAACAAAATACTCAATTGATGTATCATATTTATGCGAGTCTTATAATAAATTGATACATCAAACTTAAATGTAACAAATCAATCACTGTTTTTTTTAGTGAGTTTAAACTCAAGTGTTTTACTTGAGTTTAAATATATATTAAATCAATACATCACTCTTAAATATTGTCAAATATCTATTTTTTCCATGTTTTTTTAAAATATTATTGTTGATATCAGACGAGGGCCACAGGTCACATGGATGTTAATCTAGATGATACCGTGTTGCGTAAATACATATTATGTTGAATGATATATATATATTGATAAATTTAACGTTTCATCAAAACAACAGAGCGATTGACAATACTCAAGCTTAAAAATAATTTAATTGAATGAGAATCATTCGTTTTTTTTAATTTAGATTCAAAATTATAAATTAGTTATTTTATAATTTATAACTATGCTAATGTCCTTGCTGCAATGTAAATGTAAAATAATTTACATAATTTATACAATTACATATAATTATTTCCTGTGAGCATTGTCATTAATGTAATATTGAATATTTTTGTAGGTACATGCTGATGAAGATGATTTAGGCAAAGGTGGTCATGAATTAAGTGCAGCTACTGGAAATGCTGGTGCCAGACTTGCTTGTGGTGTCATTGGAATTACAAAATAAATGTTATTTACCAAGTTTGTCTTAAAACTAATAGCCTTCACTGTAAAATTGAATTATATAATGTTAGTTATTTTATTCATTTTTAATGGGATATTATAATCATTTGTTAAAGGTGTAGGATTCTATTGTTTTATTAGTTCATTATACAATAAACACATTTAAAAACATGGTACTGTTATTATTAGTTACTATTTACTGTAATAGACAATGGCATAATACATTTTTAAATATATATTATTTTATTTATTTGTTTTATATTTTTTTATAGCTTATATGCTAAGCTAAGAAGGTAATAATTTAATTAATAGTAAATATTTTAATAATTTGAAATATAATTTTTTTACCCCTCCCTCTCATTTATCATGTTTTACTTGAGTTAGGTAAGTCAAAATAAATATGTTAAAAATGCTTTTTTAATTTTTAATCAAGGTAATTAAGAATAATTTTTATGGTAATGGTATTCTTTCAATTGCACGTGGAAACTTAAAACTAAAAAACCACTAAATTAAAATTGACAAACCAAAAATTGACTTGATTATAAATATATATTAATTTGTGTACAAAGATATTCTTAAAATGATAAAATACTATTCCAACGAAATGAAATAAATACATAATATTATGTATTAAATACTCATGTAGTGATCTTAACATTTTTATTAAATTAATAAAAAAGCCTCAATATTTCTAACTGCTACTGCCAATATCAACTTAGTTGGCCGGATCACGTGTTATTATTATTTAAGGACAATATAGATAAAAAAACTGTCATAACATTTTGAATTTTCTGTTATTACATACATTATGAACTTCCTTCATTTTTTTTTTTTGTAAAAACTACTTTATTTAAATTATTTCATTGGACATTTTTATTTTTTAAAAATTTAAATCCTGTTGTAACTGTTACTACTTAAATCAATTTATAATTTCTATAATTAAATTCAACAAACAACAAGTGAACAATTTTACTGATAATATTATAATCTATATATTATAATAATCAACATTAGTTTTATAACTTATTATTTTGTTCACAATACTAAGAAGTAATAACAATTGAATATCAAAATAAAATAAAGCAAAACAAATATCTGTATAAGGATTGTATTAGTTTAAATTCAGGTAATAATACATACATGAGGTATAATTATTAATTACTAAGTATTCGATTAACATAGATTTAATTAGGTAAATAGATACTTTGTATAAGATTATTTGACACAATTACATTAATATTAAATCATGATATTTTATTTTGTTCGTGTATAAACGTCATACTAAAAATTAAAAAATGCTTATAGAATTAGACAACTACTTTTTTCTCTAAAAGGATTCGCTTTTTGTGATGAAAAACCAACCATTAGACAATCTTCCATCTCTCGTTCTCTGATATACTTGATAATATCCTGTATGGCCTGCGATACGGGTAATCGTTTAACTGCTGCTTCGCGACGTAATTGTTCGGTGATCTGCCTCTGCTGTTGCAGATTCGATATCATCATGTCCATGACTGCTGTGTCGGATAGGCCTATTTTTGTTAGAAATGGTAATATTTATGGCGAAAAATAAGTCCCAATTAAAGGACTTGAAACAACTGATGTGTTTAATTGTTAGTCAATGAAAGTGATCAGCGAAAAAAATTTAAAATGTTTAAAATAATTAGCAATGTATTTTTATTTTACGAACTTTTATATTGTTTTTAATTATAATAATAATAATAAATATTCAAAATCAGAAGCGAATTATATCAATACTTACACAGCACCACAATGTCACTATCATAAGTTAATAAAATTATGTATATAGTGATCACTATAATTCAATTGGGTTGGGCATTAGGATTTGAGAATTTATGTAACATGAAAAAATGTATACAAATTAATAGATCGCCATGATAAAAAAAAAGGCAAGTTCGCAGCTTGTGTTATCAATTTTTCCAATATGGCTGCCAGTTTAATCCTGTAAGAATGCATAGCCCTCCGAGATCATTGGGTGGTGTTACAAGTAAACATACCTTAATTTTGTTTTTTAAGTCCCAACCAAGGTCTAAAGAAAGGGCAAAGAGATTAGACTTATTACGCTTATATTATCCCACGATGTGGAGAAGATATCCGGTGATTATACCGAATGGCGGATAATACGTCTTATATAAATATATTGCCATTAGCTATTTGTAGTAGGGAGCGGTCTATAGGCTATATTATAATTTTTAGGTTCTAAATAACTAGAGAAATTAACGAACCATAGCCGTTATCCAGCACAATAAAATATGTATCTAGATAAACCTCCATAAACATTTGTCCCAATCAACTCATCGGGCTATTTGATTTTGGAAGTCTATTTACTGAAATTCTATATTTTCTTCCATGCATTTTTACAACGTATATTTACAGCTTGTAAGCCACTAGTTATCATATCCGGCCAATGGCGGATGGAGTTCTTTTGTTGCATAGCCCTTTTACTACTAGACAGAGCATCCGGGCGGGTAGTACGAGCAGTGAGCACAGCTATTGTCGTAGATGCATACACATATACGTATATAACACCCAACTGGGAACTCAAATGCGCATGAGCAGTAGACCTGATGATGCCACAGGTTCTGCTATCAGCGCAGTCACGTCGGCTCGCGGGAACTACATGCATGCTCCGTCCAGTATTATAAGGTCTGTGTTTTGTTGACGTTTTTCTTATGACTATTAAAAAGCCGATAATACTATTTATCTAATCAACTTTTGAAAATAAGTTGCCCTAATTGTGTACTTTTGCTCTATATTCAATGTGTGTTCGTAGTGAGTAAGTACCTACGTGGTCACTATTTTTTTTTATTTAAAAATTTCTATTGAATTGTTGCGCTTAAACAGTTAAGGATAACTGTATTAATGTGTTTGGTAACACCATCTGGATTTTAGGTGTTTTTTTTTATTGGTTTTAAATGATTTTGGGAGGTATTTACGCTAAAATATTTGTGAAAAAATTTATCATTGTTAATATTTTAAATTGAAAAGAAGACATGTTCACTACAACTTAACATAATTTTATCTTTTAACTGACAAGGATACTATGAAAACTTTGCCATAATTTAATATCTGAAACACATAGTATAAGTACAGTTGACAAAGATTCATTATTAATAACTAACAACATTTTTCATAGGCCATACTGTACATTTAAATATCCAATACATTGATTTATTTGAAATTCAAAAGGTTTTACTGACACATTTATGACTCGTTAGTACAAATTAGTGTAAAAAAATTAACTAGTAGATTGTGTATAGTCTCAATAGCTAAATACTTGTAAAATTACTTTTACAACTATTGTTTTGTATTAGACATTTATTACTGATTTAATTATTATGTATAATGATTTTAATTTAAGTTTTGTTTATTTATTTTAAAACTTTTAGTTTAAATGTTTGTTTATTTTTTATTATTAGGTTTATGAAAAATTAAAAACTGTCGTTATCAATATTTCGGTTCCTATAATGCAAACTATCAAAATGAGGGGTATGTTATTATTTATTTCATTATTATAGCTTATTTTATCAGTATTATTTGTATAAACTAATAGATAATTTTAATATTGTAATATTTAAATTTAAAATCTGTAATGATATTGTATCAAAACACTCATATTGTTAAATTGAATATGAAGTATGATTCGAATCAATGGTTTGTTTCAATTTGAATTTAGGTTTATAATTTCCCTTTTGCTATAGAGGTATATAATAAGTGCTATGAGGTGTTTTATTTGGCAACAATATTTATTTTATATGAACTATATTGAACTACAATAATAAATAAAGATGTGTTTAACTATTTTTTTAGGGCGCCCTCCAAAAGCTAAGTTAACATGTACCATGTGCAATGAATCAAAGCATCCATTAAATTATGTTTTACCTACACAAAATGGAAAAAAAGAATTTTGTTCGGTTAATTGCCTTGCTGAATTTCGTAAAGAATATGTTAAGGTAATAATTATGCATTTCAATTTCACTGCGATTAAAAATGTTGTTACTAGTTGTTCAGTCTTTCATAACCAAAAATTACTTAGATTAAATGCTTTCAAGTTACAGTTGTGTGATGTTAAATAAAATAGTTTTTTTTTAATTTATAATGATGAAGAGATAACTGTAATTGGTTTCAGTTTATATTTAATGTAAATAAATTCAATTATTCTAATTGAAGTCATGTTTATATATAACAAATTATTATAATATTGAAGTTAATGTTAACAATAGAGCTAAGAATTACCAGTAATAAAAATTAATAACTTAATATGCAAATGTATATATATTTATATATAGAATGGCTGTGCAAATTGTGATAACATCATCAAAGGTACACCAGTGAAACTAGAGATCCGAGACTCTGCTTCAAAAAACTTTTGCTCTGCTGCATGTTTAAATAAACACCAAAGAAAAGAACAAACCAAGAAATGTAAATACAAATCTATTATAAACAACAAATATATTTACTTGTTTTATTACCTAACTCAAATTCCGTATAAAAACTAAATATTTAATATTTCATAACACTGAATTCATTTTATAATATATAGTGGCTCGAAAAAAATTAATTTTTATTACGGCCACTTCTGCATAAAGTATAATTTAGAAAAAATTAACCAACTACCTACAAGAATGTGTAGCTTATGTAAAAAGGATTAAACAATTTATACCTAGTTTTTAGTGGTATGAATATAATTAAGTATAGTTGTAAACCATATTAAAATCCGTATTAGAAAACATTTTTTCTACTTCCTGAAATAAAATTATTAAGAATTAATTATTAATATATAATAAATTATATTATAATTTATATAATTATAATATAACAAAATGAATACATTTCTAAATAAGAAGCTACATATACTATACTAAAATAATATTCTAGAAAGAAAATTAGGTACTTTTATTAATTTAATGGTCTGTTTAATGTATATATAGCTGTTTTTGGAGATGTTCAAGTGGAACACCCGTTTTCTATTAATGGTAATCACGCATTCGACTGGAATAGTTATCTTAAAGAAACAAACAGTACTGCTGCTCCTCATTATTGTTTTAAACAGGTTAGTTATATGTTATTAGTATTATATGATACGCCCAAATTTTAATTTTAATTGTAATTGTAAATAAAAAATTTAAAAAATGATTTTTCTTTTTTTTAAATTTCACATTCAGCATGAAGAAGTGCCAGAAAATGAATTTAAACCAGGAATGAAATTAGAAGCTGTAGACCCACGAAACATAACATCAATGTGCATTGCTACAGTAATTGGGATTATCGGCCCTAGAATACGCCTTCGTTTGGATGGAGGAGATAACAAAAATGATTTCTGGAGATTAGTCGATTCATCAGAACTGAAACCGGTTGGATATACAGAAAAAGATGTACAGAAAGGTGGCATGCTACAACCACCTCTTGGTAAATAAAAACATTTTTTAAGAATTATTTGTTGTCAATATTATTAAATAAAGTCATAGTAAGGTTAGAGGGGCCTTGACATGAGACATTAGAATATGTAAAGAAGTAATATTGATAAAATATTTCAATTATGTGAGTGAGCTGTAAGACCTATTTCACATCTATGTGTACACGCAAATTGTCGGTCCCAAGTAGTCATACACGGCATTTAGAAAAACATGTGTTTGACATTACTATAGAAGTAATAGTAAACAATGGGTTTTTATGTAGGTAAATATTCTCATCAGCATGAACAAGTCAATATTATCAGGTGTGCCATAAAATACAAATGACTGTTTATTTATATACGAAAAGATAATTTTAATTTCAACAGAATATGACAACACATTTTTCTTTTTTAATTTGTAAAAATTAATTGTTTTAAAAGTCCTTCTATTTGAAATATTTAATATTTATGTTTGAAGTATTGAAAATAAATTTTACACTAATTAAGTAAGAACATAAAAAATATACATCGATAAATCCCTTGAACAAATCTTAAAAAATTGTTATCGTGATCTGCAAAAATGGTTAAAAAAATTAAACTGTGGTGTGTACTATTTAAGAAAACTGTTTCGTATTTTATTATTATATTCACATTATTTTATGTGGTTATTTGAAGCGTTTTGTCTAAAAAATTACATTAGATATTTTAAAAAAACTATTAATAATGTTTTATATAATCATTTATTGATATATTAACTATCTGTTTTATACATTAGGTTTTCGTATGAATGGTTCACTGTTTCCTATGTTCTTGGTGAAAACTTTAAATGGAGCAACTTATTCACCTGAAACTGCTTTTAAACCGGAACCGGTGTCACCGATTCACAATTTGTTTAAAGTTGGCCAAAAAATTGAAGCAGTTGACAAAAAAAATCCACACCTTATTTGTGTTGCAACTATTGGTACATTATATAATATTTTGAATAAAATATTTTAACAATTGATGTATATTTTCTTTATTGTTACTTCAAAATAAGGTGATGTTAATAAAAACAACATATTTGTCATGTTTGATGGTTGGCGAGGTGCATTCGACTATTGGTGTTCCTACGACTCTAGAGACATATTTCCAGTTGGATGGTGTGCTAAAAGTGGCCATCCTCTTCAACCGCCAGGTCATAAAGGTAACTGATACTAAAATAGTTTTACTGAAAGTAGGGGGAATGGAGTAGCCTACCCCCAGATTGGTGACTAATCGGCAACTTTAGTGACAAAGCCATGCTTCCAACTATTACAATGTGTTCACAATCCACTGATCATAAGCCAACTAAAAGTTGAAAAGTCTAAAATAACAAAAAGGTTAAGATAGGTTAATGACCTAAATTTTTAAAGTGTAGAAAGAAAGAAAAATTGCACGGATACTAACTAAATGCTTTTATTAAAATTTTTTTTAAATTAAACGAGTTGATACATCAGCTGTTGCAGGATCTCGTTATTCAGGAGGTCGTCTAAATGGGACTCAGAATTCTACTACAGTAAAGCAATCGTTAAATGATTCAGTTAACTTGACTCCAGATAGTGCAAGTGATCTTGAAACTGGTATTCAGGAATCTTGTTCAGGTAAGAAAATAATATTTTATTTTATCAAGCTATATATTCAATAATTACTTTTAATTTCAGTATTTATAAATCATGAATGTAAATGTGGTCCTTTCATGGACTCCTCGAAATTGTTTGAACTCCCTAAACAATTGGGTCCTGGTTTAGTACAGAAAGTTTTAAAAGATACAATACAACATTTGGTAAATACTGCTCATGATATACAATCGGTGACTACATTAATGAAAAAGCAGGGAGATAGCACATGTACCATAACAGGTAAGAAATTGTCAAATTTTTCAAAAAAAAGGTTTTGAATGTATTTTGATACGTTTAAATAAATTTATAAAAACATAATTATTTTTCCTGAAAAGTTTTTGCTTTTGACTTAATAATCTTTGACTAAGCATCAAAGAAATGTATCATTACATTAGTACAAGAATAATTTATGTAGCTAATTTGTTTAAATTCTTCTTAATGTTTAATATTTTAAAAATACAGCAACATATGAAGGAAAATCTAGAGTTTTTAAACTGCCGAAAATTGAAAAAGCAGATGAATTTTGGGAGTACATCAAAAGTTTGTTGGAGGATTTGTCATGTTGTAAAAACTTACTAAGTCCAGCATTAAATGTATGTGCAGAGTGTAAAGTCGAAAAAAGTAAGTCAATACATATAAACTAAATAAATGGTTTGCTGCTCATTTTTATTGAACTTAATTTGTAAATGTATTTTAGGTGTAAATTCTGTAGTTGAAAATGGCGATACTAAAAGTGTTAAAAGACACGGTTCGCCCGAGAGCTCGACGCCAGACATTATGGGTTTAGTGACGAAAATCCCTCGTACCAATGAACCTGAAATGGAAGCGGCGTCGTCGACAACTCCAGCAGAAGATCTATCAAGGTTGCCCACAGATCCAGCAGAATGGTCTGTCGAAGATGTTATTCAACATATTAATTGTATAGATATTCAACTAAACACATTCGCGGACTTATTTAGGAAACATGTAAGTTTTAGTACTAATATAAATATAAAACATTCAAAAATATTTATATTATACAATTATACATGAATTATTAGGAAATCGACGGGAAAGCTTTACTGCTATTAAATTCAGATACAATGATGAAATATATGGGGCTAAGACTAGGGCCTGCTTTGAAGTTACAGAATGTAATTAATAGACTAAAACCACGGCGAAGATAAAAGTAAGTAATGTGTCGTCGGTACATTCTTTTGTTGTATTCTTATTTTATTTTAGTTTTTTTTATTTCTAGGATAGTCTTTGGAGATTTTTTTACATTGTTAACGTAGTAACCAATTTTAAATAACTGGTTACATCTTTTGTTTTACACTTAATGTATAGACATTAATACTAATTTTATTTATTGGTGCTTAGGTTAATTTTTATATTTGTCAAATTACTGTTATGACAAATATTATATTTTGTAGCGTGAGAAATATTTATAATGGTATAAAATAATAACCACTTATTTACTTTTATGGGATTTACATTAAATAGTCATCATTATTTTTATTTTTATTTTTATTATTGTATTCTTTATTTAAAATATTTTATATATATATTGCTTTTGGTTTTCTTGTAAAAATTATTTCTTTATGGACATTATTTTATTTTTCCAGTTTGAATCCATTCTATTATATTGTATTAATATTATATTATTGAAATTGTTTTTCAAACAAAAATTTGTTTACAGTTTAGAACCAAATAAGCTTGCTACCTTTTTTTTTTAAATTCTTAGTGTTATACGTTATTAGGTACAATAATTGCTGTATCTTATATTACTAATATTGATAATGATAAACTTAATGATTGAATTTAAATTATTTCCAAAGCAACATTTTAAAGATTAGTTTAGTTAGTTCCTTTGAGACCGAGTATTTTAAAAGAACTAAAGTTTAAATGATTGAATGTTTACTAAAAAAAAATGTTATTGAAACTTAATTATTATTGAAAACTTTGGTAATAATTTAATATCACATCAACTTATAAATTATTTAAATTAAAATTATTTCAATAATATGACATGTTATTCATTTTTTTATTTTTTTCTATAATAAGGTCTTGGAATAGTATGTATATTTCTTGTATTTTACAATATTTAGTATTGTATTAAACAAAAAAAAAATAATGGTTCTTAAACCTAAAGAATACTGTAATATTTTTATTACATTTTTCTCTTGGAACTAAACCTCGCTTAGCACAAAAAGAAAACTAAAAATTCTACATATCCTATTAGTTAACTTTAGTTCAACAATTTAGTAACAAAATTAATTATTGAGATAATATACTAATATTATTTAAAACACTAACATTTTTTTCTTTGGTTTGTATTTTTTGTTTGATTGTAGTAGTTTTAAAAAAATCCTTAATTTTTGTTATTATTAAATTTAAGTATTTCAGGACTATTAGAAATTTTTTACATTAAACAAAAAATTTACGCCTGTACATAAATTGTAATTTTAGTCATAAGTTTAAAATATTCAACTAGTGTTTAATTATAATTTAGGTTTAATATGTGTAAGCTGCTAGGGGAAAATTTGTAAAGGCAACTGTTTCTGTGATGTTAGAAATATATTGATTGATTGTATTGAGAATTATATTTTTGAAAGAATAATATAGTATTTTGTTTGCACTTTATTGTTATTATGTAATCCCAAGACCTATATTTTGTCTTTAGAATTACTGAGTGTTACATTGTTGACTCTTGTTATGTAAGTTTTATGAAACCTCTTGGATATACATATCAAAAGCTCTATGTTTAAAAAAAACGCTTTAGAAGAGACCTTGTAAGTTTCCAACAAAAAAAAAGACCAGATGTTCATAAACGGTTTACCAAGTAGTGACCTTTTTGTATCAAAAATTCAACTGTGGTGTCCCTGTTTTTTGTTAGCTGACATTAATTAATAAAACCTTTTGTAGTAGTGTACACTCGTTTATATAAATACCATCAGGAACATCATTTTTATAAAATTTTAATTAATAAAAAAAATAATAAATTGCATTTTTTTTCTTGTTATTATTTTTGAATGAGTTGCGGTGCATGGTTTGAGAATCCTTGAATTAGAGTATAATCTCTAAAATAGTTATTTTATATAGGAGGTTTGATTTTAGCTTCGATGTGGAGCTTATTTTTCTTTATGATAGCTGCTAAAATTACTAATAAAGCAGTTTGAATAAATAATAAAATGTTGGTAGATTATTTTGTTTAAACACGTTATAATTTTTAATAAATGTTAAAAAATATATATTTTTATAAACGTTATTTTAACATTTTGTTGTTTAATTATTGTCAACTCGAAATTCGATAATTTCTTCTTAATTTTTTTTAAACTTAATCATTATCTCCTTTTGGGTCTTTTAAATAAATGATTCTCATCCTTTTTCAAACAATTGTGTCTGTTATGTTTAATAAAACAGTATCAAACACAATAAGTATGATCATTGAGTATATATTGTATACAACATATTATACTCAATGGCATGATAATAGACACCAAAAGAATATGTTTATACTGTACACCAGCTAACATAGTGTATTTATTATATAATTGCCAATTAATATATACAATGTTAAAATATTATGGATAAAAATTCATCACTATCAATTTTGAATTAAATTTAAAAAGAAACGAAAAGAATATTCGTTTGGTATTTACAAAAACCTAATAGGAGCTTTTTATTTAAATAGTTTGTAAAGCAAAGGGTTTGTTTGGATTCTTTTAACATATTTATATGTATTTATTATATATTTATTACTTATATTATTGGACGCTTTACAAGGTGTACAATAATCATTAATCGTATAAAATTACAATAATTTCTAAAAGACCTTCTAATTGACCTTCATCACATAGCGGCATCAAAACCGTAACTCCGAATTAGGGCTAAAATAAGAGCTCCCTAGTGATCTAGGGAGCTCTTATTTGTGGCTCTTATCAGTGGCCATAAAAAAGGGGTTGTTTATGGCCCAACGATGCGACGGCACTGGAATTATGTGTAAGCGGTTTTTTTTCGTTTGTCAATTGGCACTACTGTTAACAACTTGCACTGCTGACAGCATGGAATCAATAATATTGTGTCGAAAGTTGTAGTTAAAGTGGAAATTAATATCTTTACATTCTCTATACTGATAAACTGTAAAGGAGCAATTATAATTTACACAATATAATAGAAGTTACTACTATACGTAGTTATATTCTTATTATTTAGGTGCCTATACTATAACTACCATTATGGTGACCAAATCAGTTTCGTGTAAGTTTAAAACTAAAAAAAATATATATGTATACAAATAATAGATGCATGCTTATTGTTATTATATTATGTAAATGTGATTAAATATGACAATGATAATAGTGATTTCTAGTTATTATCCAAGTAATGCATGCATATAAGCATTGTCATTTTTAGTCTAACCATTTTTAACCGGAGTACAAATATAGGATGTTATATCACTTATCAGCTTTTTTAAAAAAAGTGTTTAATATATTTCTGTGGCTTGGAGCAAGAAGGGTCAATGTCAATTTTGTGCATAAACGAGTTAGTCCGCTAATTACAAAAATTGAATCATTCTTTATATACTGTGAAAAAATCACACTCTGAGGCCAAAAAATGAATTACTCATGAAGAGTTTGATAAAAAAATTAACATAGAGCCTAATATAAAATAAAAACTTCATAGCTCATTTTCTGAAAGTTGCAAAAAGTGACATTGGCCCTTCTTGCTCCAAGCCACAGATATCTAAAGGGATAGACGTCAAAGTAATAATTTAAGCGTTTGCATGATGTTATAATATTTGTTATAGCTTACAAGTATATTTATTTTTAACTATTCATGATAGTTTTGGACATTTATTTATTCCTAATAATTTATAATTTTTTTCTTACCTTTAACTTTTATACTTGACTTTTCCATTTTATTTTTTTTTTTTAATAATCAAATTATAATAGTTTTAGATAAATAAAATTCTTACTTATTGAGGTCTTAACTCTTTTATCATGCACAAATATATCCACTACCTAAAAAAGTAGGTGATTTATATCATGACGTCTACTAATATGTATATGTATATATATGATGCATAATATGTAGGTATAAAACACGTGTATATGTGTATGCAGAACTAAGCTATTATTTCAAAGGAGACTAAACACTTACATTTCACTAGTTAATTTAAGGAGAAGTTCCCATTCGTAAATATTGAATGTAAATAATAATTTACATTTTTTCCTGTACATAATTTTTAACTTAATAATTTTTAAGTTGGAATATAGTTTAAGACTATATTGTACTTTAAGGTAATATCTTTTTTAACGTATCTATAAAAAAAACCCAAATTAAAATAGTGGATATTTCGAGGTATAATAGTTTAGTTATTTTAAACCCCCCAACCCTTACCGTTACCCAACTCGTTACCATCCATTATAACTGTAGGTATATATTATCATGTCGTATAAACGAAACTAGTTTTTCATTTTTTTAGTGTATATAGAATTCCTTTTTATAAAGTTATACATATTCTACGTAGATTAATTTTATCTTATTTTTTTTTTTGCAGTTATTGCCAAAATTAGAAATTTACAAGATTATCAGTTAAGGTTGAGTTACAATATGATGCCATGTCCATCTGGTCTGGATATTGCCAATTGTTTGAAATATTTTTCTCAAATACTTTTAAGTAAGTTTGTTGAATTGTATTTTTAAAAAAATATTATTTTATACATTCAATGTTCTAAGCATAATTTAGCAATAGAATTAATTTAATAAAGTAGGAATATTAATTAATACTTCAAACATAATTGATGATATCAAAATAAATTAGCCCAACAAGATTGCAACATAATCATGTCGTTCGTTGCAAAAATATGTAAAAATATATTTATTAAATGTACAATATCCATTGTAAATTAGTTATCATAGGTTAAACAATTTTTTTCTTGATTTCTTAGTATACTGGGTGCTCAATTTAATAATGTAAGGCAATTATTTTCTCGGAAAGTAATAACAATTTTTATAGTATTTCTTTTTGAAAACATTTGTATTTATGTTATTTTACAACATGAAAAATGTTTTCTGGAAGATAAAATTGTCATTACTTTTTGAGAAAATGAGTGTCTTACGTTAAATCGATCTTCCTCTACAGCATATCAGGAGAACTGATGGTAATCGGAGATTGAAAACGTTACCAAAAACAAAATAATTTTATTTCCAATAAAAATTGAATATGTTTACAATTTTTGTCAATTATACTTCGAATTTTAATATTTTATTTTATTTTCAGTTTGTACTTACAATTATATAAATTATGTATACAATATCGCGTCCGTTTGAATATGACGTATTAGGGTAGTGTATGGAAAAATTATTTAGACGATAACTAAATTACATATACTCCGGAGTGTACCGAAATTGCATAACTTCAGTGCCGTCAGATCATGATATCGACTGTTATTCTTTAAAAATCCCAAACATTAAATACAATTTAGTTAAAAACTGTATTAATCTTAACAAAATTGAAAATGTGTACTTAAAATAAGAGCATAAAAAAGATGTATGATAAAGTAGTTGTTTATGAAAAATAAATTATCTACTAATTAGCAATGAAAATATTAAATGCTTATGCGATTATATTTGTCTGTCTGAATTATTTATGTGTGTAGTTCATTATGTACATACTAAAAGTAAACAGAATTTTAACAAACATAATGCAGAGCCAGTATTACACTTATTTTTTACATAATTTTTTTTTATATAAACTCATTAAATGTTTTAAATTTATTTAATTTTAAAAAAAAATGAGTTAAAAATAAAAATAGTGTTCGTTACAAAGAATTATCGAGCCAGCTCAATGCACGATACAAAGCTTATAGGTACTTATTTTTATAGCTATATTGAAAGAAGTTCCTAAGTCTCCACACGAAATGATATTGTATCCAGAAATGGACGCCACACGTTTGGCTCTTTATCCTACATTAGATTATACGGGTCTTTACTCGGCGCTCGAGTCGTTGCTGCATTCTGCTTCTTCAATAACAACTGGACTACAAGGTAATATATATATAATTTGGACATAAGTGAATGTACGTGGGACTATATTTTTTCAATAGTCACGCGTTTAGACTTATAACTTGATTTATCACAAATGCAATATCATAGACGTTCGTTATTGTACTTGATATATCTTATTTTTTTTATTCATACGCGTGCCATATATAATGAACTATAATTTATTTATTTTTTTTAGCTTTCGGTGAAGCATTCAACCAATGTGTGGCTTGCTTGGTTCCATTTCTTAGCGGTGACACGTTGGAAGGTTTACCGTACATGATAGCGACTGCCTTCCAAGTGCTTCCGTCGTCAGTACATCACGATTTAATTAACACACTCTGTTACTTTGTGATACCGTTTACAATACGTGCGTTCTTAGTATTTTTAACGCTTATTTTAAAAATATATATAATGTTTAAATTGTTTAAAATTTACTTTGAGTATTTAAATTATTTCCAAAATGTTCGGTTACACCGAACATTTTTACACACATTGACTTTGCCAACGTTTCAGACGCCTTAAATTATACATCTTCAGGGCTGTGTTGCTGTGCTAATTTCGATGTTCCTCAAACGTTACTGAGTTTATAGGCAGTAGCAGTACAAATAAAATTTGAAATTAGCATAGCCCTGAAGACGTAACGTTGACAATGCCAATATGAAAATATAGGTGTAACCGACCATTTTGTAATTTAAATATACACATATTTAAAAGTAGAGTTGGGTTGTTATTTAAATTAACCATTAAATATGATATTATTTAAATAAAATATTATATTTATGTATCAATTAAAACTTTATTAGGTTTGTTTTAGTTGTTATACATTGTTTAACTAAAATTTTCCTAACTCTACAAGATGTTTGTACAATATATAAATTACTTGATATGTTGCAGCTAGAAATAAATGCATTAATAGTGCGGCGTTGTCAGTATCGGGAATTCTATTGCTAGTTTTTCAAAACACGTTTGATACAGGTAAATATAAAAAACTACAACCTGTTTAAAAAAAATTACAAAGAAGAAAAAAAAAAGTACTATTAGCATTTCTTTGACTCCTACGATTTATTTTTTATTAATACTTTAAAAAATGATTTTTAATTGTAACATTATTTATCTTTATGTAATAGTAGCATATTATATATTTTTATGATAATCCAAGTACATTTATAACTCCTAAAAAGGCATCTGTTAATCAATTTCCTCAATCTATAACTCTTAATTGAAGACTACATATTGTGTTACTTATTATTTTTACCTGACTACCTGAGACACATCAACGGAAGTGTGCTTCACTTATGTTAATAATATGTTAAATCCCAAGTAGAATACACAAAGATGTATTGATTAAAATACCTATATAGTAGCTATTTTATGAATACACCTTTAAATGAATTGTTTCAGCATTGCACTTGGAGTTAGTAGAACGCTTAATGACGTTTAAAAATAACGTGAAAAGAGATATACTTGTCGTGATTGCATACGGTACGTCGATAGCGCGATATCACGCTGCGAGACTTTTATTCAACTATTGGCCTTTGTACAATGCAAATAAATTTGACAGAAATAAACCTAAATCAATTGGTAATCACGAGTGTTAAATAAAAATAAAACATTATTGCAATATGTAAAAGTGGTCTGTATTTTTATGTTAGGCAATTGGTTGCCACTGTTGTGCCAGAAAAAAAATTGTCCTAAAATGGGATTTGGTCCAGCCGAAAGAGTATGTTTGAACCACGAGCTGTCGATGAAACACGCGGAAAATTGTCCTCCGCCATTTTATTTGTGTACCGATTGCGCCGACGATCTATTAAACAAGAAACCTAATTATCAATTTCACATAGTTTTACAACCGTTGCTTTCGGCCACTTGGAAATGTGAATACAAAGTACGAATTTACAATGAACTAGTCCTATCAGATGATACTTGCGCGCATCTGTTAATATTTTAAAAATAATATGTTTCAATCCTGTGTTTCCTAGGATTGCAAAACTCAAAACAATAATATGATATGCGTTACTTGTTTCTCTCCCGAATGTGCGTCTATGAACGACAATCGTCCAATCAGATTGTGCTCGGATTGTTATAAACAATTACATCCGGATAACGTGGAACATATAGTTCATTGGACATTAAAATCAGCAGGTCAACTTGACAACGATATGCAAACATACCTTGTCGAGTCGATTGTCAGGTAGAGATTTGCTATAAGATGTAATACATAACTCTTGTTTGGTCACATGTTCACGTGTGTATTTTTGTTTAAGCTTGCTAAAAGAAGTACGCGCGCCTATTTCCGAGGCGACTAAAGAAAGTCAAACGAAAGCTGCAGTGTTCGGAGCTAAGGTCAAGGGTACAATGTCTTCTAGTAAAACAGATAAAGAAGACGATCAACCAGAAGTAACCATAAATGACAGACAACTGATGGGGAGAACGGGTGTTTGGCTATTGGTAGCCTTGTATAGAATTGAAGATTTAGAACCACCACGATCTAGCATTATGGGTCGATTGCTGTCCATACTTTTTCATTGGTTTCACGTGACGGCTTATTCTTACGATGGTTCGTACTTCGTCATATAAAATACTAACTGTTCGTGTATACCTGGCTTTGCCTGGGTTAAAATATACAATTGCCACACACCATTAATTATAAGAACAAAAGTAAAAAAAAAATAGCATCAAGTCGGGGAATTGAACTCGAACCACCCGCGCTGCTTGTCAAATTGATGCTCTATCCACTACTCTTATAACCCAATTACCGACTTGAAGCTTTTTTTTCGAATTTGATGGGTAAGGGGTGAACTTTTTAAATGGTTGACCTATTAAAGTACATTTTATGTACGGTTTCTGAACTATAGACTAGCTACATGAAAACATCAATCTAGCAATTAAAAAAATATCGTGTGTCACTAAAATAAAAACACATCATTGTAAAAACAATATTTTTCGAACCTGAATATATAATATAGTTATAAATAATAAGCGTTTAACTTTATTTGATAAATGGACAATAATTTTGTATTTTATTTAGATCAGCAAGAGTGCACGCTGGAATACATGAAAACAGAATACATTGGAGAGAGGTGGTTAAAAGGTGTACGCAAATATTATTTCGAAGCATTTGTTAATTGTTTATTACCTTGTCCGCCAGAATATGCACAAGTTGGTGGTAATTGGTAAGTAATTGAACCGATTGTATATATATATTTATAAAACAATAATGGTATATACGTATATAAGCGTTTTATTATATTTATAAAAATGTATTTATTTATTACTCGTTAACTTTTAGGGATCTGTTGGCAAATCAAACTTCTTTAATTAAAAACGGCCTCAACCAATTACTCTGCTTGGTACCTTACGACATAGTTACTTCAGAAATATGGGAATTAATTATGCCGCATTGGCTGGAAGCTATTGTTCAAGACGTTCCGCCTGATGAATTGCCTGAACTGCGAATGCTCTTATGGTGAGATTGATTGAATAGAATGCATATAATTATCAAATTGTAATGTACTTATTACTATCAATGACTAACATAATATTTGGTAATGGGGAATGGGCTAACTAAAGCTAAATCAAAACTTGCCAGGATTCTAATTTAGAGGGCGCGTATTTTTTATAATTAACATTTTTAATGAGCAATTTAATTTTGTTGAAAATTTCGACTGTTTGAAAACCAGTTTTGAATAAATAACTTAAGCATAATTTTCGTTGTAGGAGGGGCTGTTTCCATTTGGTCAATATATACCCGACTAAAAACAATTGTTTTAAATTATTATACGAGGGAATAGGCACGGCGATTTTTTTAGATATTCCCTAAATATTATTTACAGTATAAACTATTTTGTTATATCGTTAGTAAAAGACTTTTTATTAATTTATTTTCAGTAAAATATTAGACTCTGAAATGAACCCATTAGGGTTTGATGCCACAAAACTGTATCATTTCATTGGCGTGCGTTTTAAATGTACGACTTCAAAAGTTCAAGAACAAGCTCTAACATGGATACAGGTTAATAATAACGATAATAATATACGTTTAATTAGAAAAGCGATATTTTATTTATACTACATTATTTATTAGATATTGACCAGTTTAGAAATAATCATACCGATCCATCTACTCTTTAATTTTTTTAAAGACGGATTACAAAGTATGAAGTCAATTTATAAAAAAGATAATACTTCAGAGGATTCTTTTGTCATGAGCACCTTAGGTTAGTACCACAACATCATAATTAGATATTCAAATACTTACTATCTTAGGACTTGTGAGTACAATTATATATGTTTATAAATAACAATACGATATTACTCGTATTCTGATTGTTAGATCCCGTCATTATAAAAAGAGCCGAAAGTGTAACTGACGACGAAGAAAAACCAACTTACAGTTCTAGTCCTGATTTATTGGAAGATGAAATCAAACTTAGTTGCTGTGCCTTAATGTTAGACGTCACTCTGAAACAAGTATGTATTTTCTCGGTATTATTATTATCTTTTTTTTGAATCGGAAGTTTTTATATTTAATCTAATATAATGTGTACCTAGTTGGAACTACACGGGATTGAGAGACACACGGGATTTTCAAGCGCGATAAATCACGAAGTTTGTAAACTTGTTACTAACACCTTAGTGACGGGCTGGTTTACCGAATCACATAAGGACTGTGAAAACAAAAATGAGTGCACGTCTTGCGAGTTAATTGTTATATGGCATCAACTTGCAAGTTCCCTAGTGGAATATGTTTCGTTATCGCATTTAGCTCATCCTCCCGATGTGAGTTTGAAATAGTTATTACTGGCATTTCGTACGTACTGTTCATTGTATGTGTTCAACAAATAGGACCCGGTCGTAGAAGAATTATTCTCCGAGGATTCAAAAAAAACCCCAACCGAAGTCGATAAAAAAGAATCCAAAGGCGAGGGTACAAATCTATCGTTCATGATGACACCAGACACCATCGGAGGTCTTTTAGTGAATATGCCACAGGTATAGATTACAATTTATAACTCATAAAGACTCAATTCATTCTAATTTTCTGAGAAACATAAATGCTTTTTCAATGTAATTAGAAAAAATATAGTGTTTTCATTACTTATTTTTTGACGTTTAGTGTTTAATCGATAAACTTATGTAGTTAAACTAATATATTTAAGAGGATTTTTTTTATACAATAAACATCAGAGTGTTTAGTTTATTTTTAGAAATGATTATTATTTCTTGCGATTGAGAATGATATGAGGACTGCTGGTGTATGCGAAGATGATGTGGAGATCATCAAAGTTTAGGATAAGGGTGGTCGACCCAAAACAGTTGAGCTGAATGAGAATAACAAAAAGATATAACAAAAAATTAAAGTTAAAAAAATCCAGGTAATCCGTCAAGCCGGGTTTTAATAAATCCCAAATTCTGTAATCTTGGTATCCGGATTTATACACCGGGCCTAAAAAAGTTCAAATAATAGTTTTTGAAAATAACTATTATCCGACAATTATAATTTCATGTCTGCCCATTTACGATTGTCTCAATTTTCGAAGCACTGATAATTTCTATAAAACAATTATTCATTTTTAACCTTTTTAACATTAGCTGAATTAAAATTCAAGCGCTTAAAAAGGTACCTAACTACACAATCCTAACAAGGACAACCTTTTCTAGGTTCAGCAATTTATCTAACAAATTTTATTGGAAGATTTTTTATGAGGTTGAAGTAGTTTTCATAAGATATTGCCTAAAATACGTGATAGCCACTAATTTCGCTAAAATATACAAATTTTGAATTTATAGTTAATGACAGCCACAGTAGAAACCGTAGTGGAACAATTGGATTTAACACCAGTTATGCCGGCTATAGCAAGAGCTATTACGTTAACTGATTCGGACGTCGGTAAGAATTTCAAGACGTGTATTTGTATTAGTTTAGATATGAGTTTTAATTTTTCTAAATTGTCGATTAAGGTTTGGCAACGGCAAGAGTAGCGCAAGCTAAACTTATGAACGAAAACGATGAACCCATTGACGAAGCAACGCAAAACGTTCAAGACCTGTGGCAAACCACCCATGGGAGATTTAGAATAAAAATCGACGAACTTCCTGATCAGCTCCAACTAGTATATCATATTTTAAAAGTAAATAATTTATTTCAAATAGTAGGATTTATAGTACCGATATAGTATAAATGAATGTTTAAGCGAGTCATGGACGCTTTTTTGCCGGGGTTGAAAATTTAATGAAACTCGTATAAATGTTATGAGTATTAATTATAAAACTTTATAATAACGAGTTATAACATAATATAATAAAGTAATTTTTAAAATTATTATCATATTTTATTTAGGAATTTTCGAAAGCAAACGACTCAAACGTCAAATACTATTTGTTGCAATCTTTATACTTAATGATTCTTCATAACGACACGTTAAACAAAGCTATAAAAGAACATAAAGGATTTGTCATTTGGTGTCAGGAAAATTTAATAATCAAAAAGTAAATACATCGAATTATTCGTTAAAAATATTAAATTAATGCACGATTACAAAATAAACATTATATTTTACTATAGTATTTGGGAATGCTTGGAAGGAATTAAATCGCATTTATGCGAATTGGCTATTCCAGTCATGTTGCACTGCATATCACTGCCGTATGGAAGTGATATTTTTTGGAAACTAATTAGAGATGAATTTCATAGCACAGATTGGCGGACTCGTTTTAATGCTGGTATATGCTCGTAAAATGTATTAAGTACAACAAAATGTGTATTAGATGATTAATAATATTCGTAATCGGTATTTTTCATAGTGGAAAAGGTGATATTAATAGCGAAATTTATGGATAACACTCCGTTAAGGAACAATTCCACCTTGCAGTCGTGTATAACTAATGCATTTTGCTACCTTGTGTCAAGTATGGACGATCGCAGTTCTTATGTGGCCCAGAGAGCAACATTACTAATGCCTACCATTCACGATTCTGCATTAAAGGTAATAGTTTAGTTTTAATTAATCAAAATGAATTGTGTAAATAAATCACCTGCTTTTGTCGCAGAATTTAATTCACTGCATGGAAATGCATTTTGACACTGTTATGGTAGACCGACCTATGATTTTGCAATCGTTATACCAAATGAATAACACGCTAAACGATAGAAAAGTACTGTCGTGGGAATTTTTTTTGGGAAGATTTGACGCTATGTTTATCGAGGCCCAAATACAGTTGAAAAAAAGCGGTGACATTACTCATGTCAGAGGTAAATCATTTCTATAATTTTAGTGTCGATATACAGGCGAAACTATGTTAAATGTATCAATTTTTTTTTAGATTTGAGAAATTCTGATATGACTAGCGATTCGTTTATCAAGAAAGTTCAAAGAGCACACGAAGCCATGTCACATATGTCTGAGGCGAACTCTGTTCGAACTCTGAGTGCGAGTTTTGGCCAAAAATGGCCGTACAAAAGAACTATGTCTGCACCAGCGGCAACGGTACCTAGAAATGATCAGAGATATAACGGTAAATACTTGTCCAATAATTAATATCAATTTATCTATGTATGCTGGTCATTGTTGATTTTTATTTAACATAAAGCCCTTCATATTTATACTATTGAACTACACATTTTATATTCGCTAGAGAGAGTTTAACTTTGATGACTTTTGTACTGTGAAGTTTTTAAAAATATGAAATAAGTTTTATTAATTTCTTGAAAATAAAAAAAAACTAACTGAATATTGGTAATACTAAATCTGAAGATTAATCTATGAATGTTTACAAATAATTCGACTGTTATTCAACTATTAATGAAAGTTGTAATTTTTTAAAGAAGTTTTTCTCGATTTTATATGATTTTTTCATATTATTATTGGCTTTATTAAGTACTTTTTGGATACGATTTTTGATCTAAAAACTTGCTAAATAAAATAATCTTTTCATTTATATTTATAAATATAGGAGACAAAGCATATAATAGACAGTTTTCTGCACCGATTTTAAAGAGAAAGACGTCACAACTCATAACGCCTATTTTGTCAATACTTCCAGGTAATTATATATTCGATATACTAAAATGTCAAACATCAAAATTTGTTTTACATTAAATTCTTTTTTTTTTTTTAGATCATTCTTGTGTAACGGAATTGCATGAAGATAATACGGGAGAGCTTTTAACCCGTATTGTAGATTTAGAAGAATCTGACAAAGAAACGAGCAATCTTATTGTCTTTCTACTAATGCAGTTTATGTCTCGACCAGAACATGTAATAAAAATAAACTATTTTTTTTTTAATGTATGTATACAATATTATAATGTGTACGTGCTAATAAGGCATACCCGGAAGAATCGAAGTATGGAATAAAAATTCAAGGAATCGTATTGCAGCATTTATACTTGTTATTGGGTTATAACTATAACGAAAAAGGATTTCATATTTCACCAGATAAATTAAGGTAACCTTGAAGGTAGTATACAAATATCAGGCGTTTGATTAAATTATTATTATGTTCTAGGGTTTTGCCGGTTTTTAATTCGTTCTTGTCGAACTTGCCACAAATGCTAGACCAAAATTTTTCCATGGGGCACGTTATTGCACCGACGGCTTTGTTGTTGTTGCAATATTGTCCATCGCCAGAAACACATTCAATAAATTCTACATATTCACTATGGTTTTTGGAACCAATGGCTAGGAAATCTTGGCTTATGTCCGTTATGGTGTTTTTGTACAAGGTATTGTAACCCCATTATTTATATAAACTTTAGTCAATTTCAAAAATAGGTATTGTTTAATGCGTTTATACGTTAATGTTAAGTTAATCAAAACTTTGACTGTAAATTCAATACAACTTTATCTCGTGGCTGAAGCCTGAATTAATAATACTTCATTTCACTGTACTTTAACAAAATTATTATAAATCATTAACTTACACAACCTAATATACACTATAAGTTATTACTATTATGACTGTTTATAAAAAATTTGGCCAACTATTTTAAAATAATTACTTGTTATACATTATTATAGTATACTTTCGACAAAGAGCCGGTCAGTCTATTAGTCGTGTCGCTAATGGAAATTGTTCTAAATACACTTAATGCCCAACAACATGTTTGTAATAGGATTCCACCAACTGTTGTTATGCCAGATACTTCGAAAACTAAAGGTTTGTATTGAAATTTGATATTAATTATTTCTAATTTTAAAACGTTCGCATACAATTCTGATGCAGCTGAAAAAAATGGCGATATAATATCATCTACGGATTCACAAAAGATGCATGAGTTTCAACCATCCACTTCTCGAAAATTTCCAATGATGAACATGGAAACTCATTGGGAAGAAGACACTTCGTATCCCAAGAAGACTCCACATAAACAAGGATCGACGTATGTGTTTTCTAATATAAACTTCAGAACACTTTACAAGAAAATAAGAAATTTGTTTAATTTGTTTAGTGGCTCAACCGAACCAGATGATACGGAATCGGATATAGCAGTTGTACCAGAGAAATATAAATCGGACAGTACAACTGGTCATTACAGTTCACATGTAAGACTTTTGAAATGTGTGTCTGTCCTTTAGAGTTAGCCAATAAAGGTCAAATAAAAAAAACACATCATTTTAAAACCAATACCTTCTCAGCTATCGCGTCGAAAGCTAACACTGCCTGTTTTTCGGGCTAGGACCATTTGATATTTAAATTAGATTATTCATTTGATTTTATTAAATATAAAAATGAAATAAAAACAATGTAAATTATGAAGAAGTATTTGAAAATTAACACATTTGACAATTTTTAATCCCTTCTAAATGTTTGACACAGGGGTCATTTGATGAATCTACAGACGAGGCTTTTAGTCGAAAAGGACCGCTACGGTCGTTTTGGTCAAATGAAAACAGTGCTGAAGTAAGTAAACCACAAAGTCAAAGAAAAGAAAAGATACATTAACATACATAACGAAAAACGTTTCTTTGTACCTATTTTTAGGAAGATAAATGGGGCGTGAAAGAAGGTATGAAAATGTTAGCGACCTCGGCATTTTTTAACGTAGCAAACCAACAACCGAACTTACTAGCTCCTCCGGTAATACCAAACACTTCAACGTCTTCACCAGAAATAAACACAACTTTAAAGTATTTTTTTAAAGAACATTATTAGTATACACATGTACTATTGTCTATTTGAATTATCTTAGGAAATCTGAGGAAATTTCTGAAGATAATTTTCGTCAGAAATTACACACGTTTTACAGCCCTCGGGACACCAGTCAGACATCTACTTCTTCATCATCGATAACGTCGCATCCACCTTCAATGTCGACAGTGAAAGATAAACAATCGATGCAAAAACCAACGCAAAACGTTTACAAAAACTGTCCTGGATCTCCGCTTTCGAAAATGAAATTACATACAAACTCATCATATCCCGACGGTACTTATAATTGTATATAACCTAACTATTGTTTAGCTCCAATACAAAACTGTATTCATTTAAACATTTTCAAACAAAACGCTTCGGTGCTGTAATAATATAATCCACGATTAGCTTTTGACGGAACTGGGCAAAATTTAAATAAAATAATAAATAATAGATACATTTTTATTCGTGAATTATTTGTAACTGAATAAATGAAAAAAATTACGTACGTTTTATTAGATTCGACCGATATACAAACGGATTGGGGATTCAAATTAGAAGTTAATATAGAAAAAAAACCATTGGAATTCCCGGTTCAAGAGCGTCTTCTACCAATTGGGACAACAATGAACCTAGTACAGAAAGTTCACAAAACATTTGGGTTAGGAGACGTGGATTCTACATCACAGTCGTCATCTTTAAACAGAGAAGATAGTTCCGAGAAAGAACAAGGTCGTACTACCGAGGTAATAAATTTAACTGCGATATTGTAATACATTTAATAATTTTTGTATAAATCACTCACAGTTAAAAGAAAATCATTTTTTTTTTTTTTTATTTTGTACAGAAAGGTAGCCCGCGAAAGTTAATCAAACAAATTGCACTAGACAGTCCAGAAGAAAACAAACCACCTATGCATTCATTTGCACGCCGTTTATTGCAAAGTGGAAATGAGTCTCGAAAAAATATCAACTCCTCTCATCATAAGTTTGTTTAAAAATATAAAATATCTTATACCTAGTAATTGACAATCTTCTTTATCGTTTCAATTTTAACCAACAAACATACCATTTTAAATTATCAACATAATATAGAAGGTTGGGAACAACTATAAAATACATGCGGGTTCTTGTTTCTATATATTTTTTTTAAATTTATTTAGAGGGTAAGCAACACATTTGTTTTTGAAAGGGATTAAATACACACATTATATGCTGCAACATTCCTTTCTCGAATTTCTACTTGAGTTGTAAAACACTCATTTTCTCGGAAAATACGAATATTTTGAAAATTAATTATTTTCATATAATTGTAGGTATATATTTTACTACATTTTTCAATACTTTGAACATTTTTATCTTCATCCCTTATACATAAAACAAACAAGGACTTAGTTTTTTCCAATGGGAACATATGTTTTTAATTCCATAAATATGTAGACGAAAATGTTAAAACATTTTAGCGTTTAAATGTTTAATTTTTATCAATCTATTACATTTACTGTATTTTTTCAGTTTTCCAAAAAAAACAGTAATCCATAAAATTCATAATTATGTTCGCATTGTCCGATAGGCTATAACAGCGGTAACCCGACACAATAAAATGTGTAAAGATAATGATATAAAAACGGTTTTTATTTACCTATTCAAACACAGTGATGACTACTAGTTTTTTTTAACAACCTAAGAAATAGGGGAAAATATAATATCTTAACAAAGTTATAGCAAACGCCAAACGAACGGATTTGAAAATTCAAACACTAAAATATTTTTAAAATTGTTGTCTACATATTTATATGAAGTTAAAAACATGTTCCGATTGGAAAAAAAGTCCATGTTTGTTTTACATATAAGAGATGAAGATAAATATTTTCTAAGTTTTGAAAAATATAGTAAAATATACACCTACAAATGTACGGAAAAAATAATTTTTTAATTATTCATATTTTCCGAATGTCTTACATCAAATAGATCACCCTGTACATATAGATGAAAAATAATTGTTTTAAGTTAAGCAAAATTTTGACTTTTACCATTTAGCTAGCACATTTTATGAATAAATTATTAATACATTTATTAGCTAAGAAACCAATTAATAAAAATGCATATTAGTTATTCGTGTTTTATACTATGATAATCAGGGGTTCGCATCATCATACAGTAAATTCAGATCCTATATACGAATCATATTTTGCTCAAAAAAACATTAGTAATAGCACAAGTAGAATTGGACCAGACTGCATACAAGAAAGGTAACCGTTTTTTGGATTTTCAAAATAAATATAAACACTTTGGAAAATGTACTACAACATTATGCTTTTATTTACAAATAGATGTAGCGATTGTGGAACGCGCAAAGAAGAATACAGCGATGATGAAGTCGGTTTATGCATTGTATTATTGGGAACGTTTGTTCACCGTGCGCCTTCGGTTTCTGCATGCCTCCTTCCTGAAATTCTTACAGTCCTTACCAAGTATGTACAACATTATGCTGAAGAAAACGAATCACAACAAATATTCTTGGACATTTTTTTTTTTTGAAGATGCCATTCTAGCCCGACCTTTTTATGGCAAAAAGATAGTCAAAAATTTTTGCCCGGCGGTTCTACGAGTATTGCAAAAAAGTTTTTGCGGTGCATTCTCTATCAACTTGCACCGAACGGTGTTTTTGCCCAAATATTCCAAATCAAGCATAATGGTAAAAAAATTAAAATAAATACGAAATACATATCATAAAATATCGTCTGTCAATTTAGAAACCAGCGGAAATTATTTTTTCAAGAGCATAATACAAGCGTTAATGGACTTCAATGAAATGACTCCCATCGAACCGTTACAAATGACTTTAGAAGTAATTGGCCAAATCGTTGTTCATAGTTTTTATTACACTAAACGTATATTTTATTGTATATTTATATGTTTATATTGCAGGCTTTAAATTCGAAAAAATCCCTCTCGACGACGAACTGCTGTATAATGTTGTCTAACATAACAGTTTATGTTGATATATTAACGACCGACAATACTGGATCCGCGTCAACATTTATTTGGACAACTATACTCAATCAATTTGATGCTCTGTTCCGAAAAATTCAATTGGCTATTAGCAATTTTGAAAACATCAACTTAGTTTTTAAACTTATGATAAATGTTTTGAAAATACCTGGTATCATTTCAGCCAAGGTAAATTAACTTAACGTGTTTCTATAGTGTACGAAAAAAAAAATTATTTTCATCAATTTTTACTATTTTATACAAATATAAAAATAAAAAAAGAATTATTTATAAAAAAAATCATAAAGCTTCCAAACAATTTTTTTTTTTAAATACACAATATGCATTCAATCTGTTGGTCGGAGATAAATACACACATAATATTAACATTATTAATATTTTTAGGGCATTTTGGATCCATTCGCGAAAATATTAACTTACGCACTACAACAACATTACATAGATTATTATTTGTTAGTCGAATTATGTTCACTCGGTTATAAGACTTTTGCTCGGGTAAGTAGTCATAATTACTAAACAATCGATGATAAAATATATGACATTGTAATAATTGTAAGTCATTAAATCGCCAAATACAGGAAAGAGAAAAGATGCTGTTGACAAGAGCAGTGACCGTAGAGCTGATACAAGCATTGAAGTTTAAAACCCAAAATTTTAACAATAATTTACTAGTATATGTTGCTTTTATTCTACAGGTAAACGCGTACAAATATAAACCTTAATAATAGGTACATATTATAATAATTTAAAAAGAAAATGTACACTGGTTATTTTTTTCAGGATGTCGGTGGTATTTTACCCAACTGCCCGACCTTAGACACTATAGTGCCCACGTTTCCAACGACATTGGCTAGTGTTCCTACTGGTGCCTCAGAACTTTTACGTAATAACATACAAGACATTATAGATTTCTTAACCGACGTTAACACATTGACAAAAATAAAGGTATTGCGTTAAATTGACAATTCAATTAATATAGGAAACATGGTTTAGAAAGTTTTCAAAAAGGATTGTATGAAATATTTAAACAATATTTTTTGAAGTTTAACGCAAGATTAAAGAGTTAACATACAGATAGATGTCAGATTTTTATAAAAAAAATAAAACAACCATCTTTAGGCAGATATATTAGCATCATTGCTTGGTCAACGACTTTGCTATAACTGCAGGCATTATGAACAAAAAAAAATAATTTTAATTATATACAATATATTATTATTTTTAGTTTCAATGGTGCACATTTTTTCATGCCTTTTCAGAAAACACCAAAGCGAATAAATTGATTAAACGAGTTTTTCTCTATCTTTATCGCATTTTTAATAATATATAATTATTGTGAGTAAGAGTTTTAAGTACTCTTTGTGTAAACAATAAAAGTATATAAATACTCCAAATCCCGATTTAATACTCAACGCGTATCAGCTTCAATAGTTTTAGTATCCATTAATGAATAAATAAATAATTATGTTAATTTTGTAAGCCATGTTCTCCCCTATTATGACTAAGTAATCAAAGTATTTACCTTACTTGTACTTAGTTGCAATAATTAAATAATATATTATTTTAGAGTCGTTGCACGACACCGGAAGAGGGAATAAACGACGATACTTTTGGGAGTACTGTTAAAGCAGGAATTTCTCAATATTTATCGTTAGAACTTCTTAAAAGTAATACTCGAGACGCTAGATCGTTACAGAAAATATTTCCATGGTTATACTACGGACCGAACGAAATACAAACGATCGAGTAATATTTTTATATTTTATAATATATATATATAGCATGTACATGCACTGCTAATTGATCTGCACGTACAATTTCACATTTTAGATTATTCGTGTACAACTGCAAAGATTTTTCGGACTGTTTGAATCATATTCGCTTGCTCTCTTGGATTTTAATTGGATCGCTTTCGTACACCGGAATGCAAAATCGACCCTGTTTGCCATTATCCCAAGACGTTTCTTGTCAGATAGCTGACCACGTGAACATAATTATGACAGGATTTGCTGAAGAATCGAAATCGTCCGTAATACACATGTCATCTTTATTCCACGCTTTCGTTCTTTGCCAAGTAAAACCATTGACAATATTTTCTCGAACAACCGATTGCATTATTCCTTCTTTATGATTGCATTAGTTGTGGACAATTTATATGGAACAAACAGCTCAACAAATGGTAACGGCCGGAGACCATCATTCGTTCACAATGAATATTTTGCACGACTTTTGGAATAAAGTCACTCGGAGCATGCTAAATTTATCTTCCAAATCGAAAGCAGTTAGTGTTTTAATTATTAGTAATTCTTAATAACTTATTTACAATGTTGGGCAAAATTTAGATAAAACAACTATTTTTATTATAAACTAAAAATTACTTTTTATCTTAAATAATTTAAAATTGTATTAAATACATTTTAAATCAATTCGCTCATTTAAATCAAATCAAATCTTTATTATTTACGACTTTTTACCAACTGTCTCATATCATTCATGGTCTAAAGGTTGATCAATCTTGGTTTTTTTTTTCAATCAGACATTAAATTTTTACAAACTTCGTATAATATATATATCAAAAGTAATAGAAATTTAAAAATATTGTAATTACAAAAATTGACGACATTTGATCAAATAATAACGATAAAAACAAAAATCTACTTATAAATAATAAATAAATTGTTTGACGAATAATTTGTAACAAAATAACAAATAATTTGATCATAAAAAAAGGAATAATAAATTATTGTTTTAAGATAATGTTTTATTAATCATTTCAATTTATGAATTCGCTTAGATATAAAATGATTCAATTAATGCCCAACTCCGCTTATTTATAGTGTTTTTAGTTTTTTTAAATTTTTAATTTCACATTAATCTAGATGGGAGAAATGGTTAATTTACATTTTCTAAGTCTTTTGGAAGCTTTGTTGGAATGTCGCACAGTCACACTTTGTAAACTTTTACCGATGTGGAAAGAAGTTTTATTCACTGACAAAAATATTAAAGTAAGTTAGATAATAATATGATGTTCATATTTTGTTTATGTAAAGCAATATGACAATTACTTATTTATACTAACACTAAAGAACATCTGTGTTATAGTTACCAGGACACATCAAACTTCGTTTGGATACATGTACTGAGTACGCACCTCGAGAACCTCCAGTATTAAGACCTCGAGGTAATTTATCTAAATCTGAGGTAAACATGGACATCCTAAAATGGTTACAAACACTGCAATTTAAAATGGCTCAAATTGAACTACAGTCGTCTCAAGTCAATCAGTTTTATAATGTTTAAAACTAAAAATACGATTTATAATATTTGTCAAACCTGTAGTTATTAAGATTTTCTAAATAAGTATTTTAAGTTTAAAGATCTCTAAAAAAAACGTGATTATGCCAATTAGCAGTAAAAAACATACATTTATGATCTTTGATTAAGATTAGTTAAAATTTACATACTATAGTAAATGTATTAAATTTGAAGGAAGATTTGTAATTACATAGTAACAAAATAAATGTGTAGTAATTACAGGCTATATGAAAAGACAGGAATGTAATTTTGGTTTGAATACAGTTAATCACACAAATTTGTAACAGAAACTAAAATAATTTGATCAATAGGTTCATTTTTTAAGTGTGTACAAGTGTCTTTAAAATTACCATTCAAATTAACAAAAACAAAATCTCTACTATATTTATTAAAATATAAAAATATACATCATTTGTACTGCACATAATGTGAATTAATTTAAAGCAAACTTACATTTTAAAACTGAAAACTATTAGAAGTATATTATTTTATATCCACTACAAAATTTTCAAAACTAAATTCAGAATCTATGAAAAATATTATAGATACATTTGCATTATTTTTTTTATTTATAAGTAAAGATTATAATTATTAGTATAAGTAAATCAAATTTGTTATAGTATTTCATTAAAATATTTATACCTACCATGTAATAATAGAAAATATAAATGAAAAAATGTGTATATTTTTACATTTTTTATCTGTAGACATTAATAAACAAATATAAACACATATGTGTTCAGTAGAGACTAGATGTATAATATGTATTAAACCCAATGTGACTTGGAAGTCAGATCAATGGCACCAGTAAATAAAGCGAGAATATCATAGGCTGTAAAGAAATGGTCAATTTTATGTAAACGCGCAGAAAAAATACCTTTAAAGTATAAAAATGTAAAAAAAAAACACAATTTAATAAATTAATGTATCAAAAGCTAGTTTACACCAATCTTATTATTTTTTTTGTTTTATTTATGAAAATACATAACAAGCAACTGGATTAATTTAATCCCAAGTTGTCCATTAATTAAGCAGAAATCATATACAAAAAATATCTGTCTAACACATGGGTTTAGCTCTGCGGATGTGATCCCCATGAATCAATATTAGGTATTCATAAATATTAAAAAATGTTCAAACTTTGTTTATGCAATTATTTATTAAAATTTAATCTACCCATTTACTACTACTGTCTTTTTAGTGTCTCTTTCATACTTTGCACTTCTTTTTTAAGTTTTTCATGTTTTGCAGCAATTTTTTTCTTCTTAAATGAATAACTAGAAGTCTTAATTTTAGGAGGAAATGTTTTTTTTATCACTTCTCTCATTGAAGTAAATACATCCATCTGTGAAAAAATGTGATATAATTAATGATATGAAAGAAACTAGTTTAAACAAAAAAACAATAGTTGTGTTCTGGAAAATATATTTTAGCTAGTGTTATCCACTGGCTTACCGAGACATGGCCTCAATAGAGGAAAATAACCAGCTAACAATTTTGAACTGTTATTTTTGCGTAACAGCAATGTCGTGTTAACCAAATTAGCTACCTAACTTTCAATTATAATATTTACTAAAATCTCTCGACCATGGCTTATTGAAAAATCTCTGTAATATGCAAGTCAGATACTTACATTTGGAGGTAAATGAATATAACGAATCAGTCTTGATTTTAAGAATAACTTATCACTAGAAAACCTTTTTCCATTGGCATCCGTAAAGGTAACGTCACACATAGTTATATTCATATCACTGAAAACATTAAACAATGTTCAAATAAGTAAGATTACATTATTGAATATATTATTGCTTCGTACCAATCAACTTCTTCAATAAATCCATAAACAGAAGTTTCATTTTGTAAATCAATTGTTGTATGCTGGTTTTCTACTGCTCTTGCTAAGCAAACCAAACTTTCTATAGACTTCATTTTATTTCTTCGTGACTTTTTCTCCATTTTAATAAGAAGCAAAACAAATAAGTTGACTATAAAAGTTGATAAGAAATGTTTGTAAAACTTAGAATAAATAGTAGTTAACAGCTAAACATACGAGGAAAGAAATAATATATTTTAACAATATAATATCCAGAAATGACGTAGGTATCTACCGAAAATTCGTACAATAATAATAGTAAATTAAAAGTACAGCCTATGATAGTTAAAAATAATTTTATTATTGTTATTGTTTTTTATTTATTTACTTGTTGCTTGATAGTGGCATTATGTAAATAGGTATGTCAGCATCTTGTCTTATCAATATTCTTACAACACGGCTGCAATAGTTTTGTACGGCCGCCCAAGAAAACCGACAGCCATTTTAGTGTTATCGAATATTTCCGGCATACCTATCTTTGAAACGTGCTTGGTTGCTAATAACGATTTCGGGCGGTGTTATCAACATTTTATCATAACCATATCCTGATAAGTAACCGGATGTGTGTACTCGGTAATCAATATTATTGCAGTTCGCTGGCGGCGGTTGGGTTGCTCTGGGCTCTCTTATACATAGTCAATTCCTAGAAAACAACGTCACAACAGTTCAAAAGAACTATTGATTGCATTGCTCGCTCGACGCTCAGCTCAGTCGCATTCAATTGTTTGTATTTAGTGTGAAAAGTGAAGTGAACAATAAATGTATTCGATATTGACTACTATTTATTATGTTCACATTAGCTCGTTAGTTATTTTATTCCCAGACGTAAGCGAAACGTAGTTGTTCGAGATTTATGCGATTGTTGTAATTCGTTTTAACTGCGATGGATTCATCAATATCTATCAAGGTTCATACAGCCATTCGAGCCGCTCCGTATGAAATACCAGTCACCATTAACACAACTGTTGAAGATGTAATTATCGAGACTTCAAAATTATTAAAGATTGGACCGGTAGCGAGACACTTATTTGCGCTGAGAACTTTCAGCGCTGTCGACGATTACTTGTGGTTAAGCCCATCGTTATTCATACTATACGCCAAAAACGAACACCATGTATACGAATACAAATTACGATACAAGATGCCCGATATTAAACGGCTCAAATCACTTGATCGCTATGCTTATAATTTTTATTTCTATCAAGTGAAATCAGATTTGCTAAAAAGCAAAGTCACAGGTTTGTGTTACAGTACATTTAAACGAGAATTGATCGGATTAGGAGTTGCCGACATGTGTAGAGCGATACTGGAAGAAGACAAAACAAGAGAAAACGTTGAGCAAAATTACAAGCAGTTTATGCCTAAGGAAGTAATTAAACAACATATGTTTTTCTTGAAAAAACCTGTTCAAGAAACTTTAAAAAAAATTATCAACAACAATACTATGGATGATCATTATGTTTCTGTAATTAAAGATAGTTATTTAGATCAGTTTAACTCTATTGCACCGGATTATTTGGAAGAAGAATACATTGCTTTGTACAATGAAAACGGAAACTCGGTTAATGTGACGTTTAAAGTAAATCCGTTTCATTCGAAAATGCCGGGAGTGAGAATGTGTACCGAAAACAGAAAAGAAGTAAGAAAATAAGCTAAACAATTATGTATTTAAAACTATTTTATTTTATTTACTTTTCAGTGGGTACATTTGGCAGCAATAGAAGATTTATGCTTTTTGTCTGCAACGGACGATGGTACAGTCGAAATTTCTCGTAAAACTGGAATACCAATACATATAAAATTTCCTAATATGGATACCATGTTTTCGTTTATTACATCGCTAAACGGCTATTATCGATTAATGGTTAATTGGAACTTTGATTTATGTACATCTACAAATACTCCAATCTTAAGCAAACTTAAATCTATTCGTTGCCATGGTCCGATCAGGTAAATATCTTCTAAATAAGCATTCATTTTTCTCATCAGTATTATTACAATATATTGTTGTTTTTGTTTTCAGTATTATGAAATCGTCTTCTATTTTAAAAAAGAAAATGACCAAAAAACACGGTTGCTTCATAATAAGACAAAGTTCGAAGAATTATAATTTCTATGTTCTTGATGTTTGTGTGAACTATAGGTAATTATACAAAATTAATTATTTAATATTTAATTTATTTTTGATGTAGTTATAAAAATGTACCTGCAATGTTTTATTTAAATTTTATTACAGTGCTAAACCAATAACATACGTGATCGAAAATAAAGGAGGCCTTTTTAATATAGCTGGTGAAACTGATATTGATTATCCATCTATTTGGAAACTTATTGCAAATAATAAAACAGCTTTAAACTTGTTTGAGTGCATTTTTCCATCTGATGCTGGTACATATTTATTTAGTATATTTAATAGTTATTAGCTATTTATTATCTTGAATAAGAATTACTTAATGTATTTAACCTTATTTTTTTTTATATTAAGCGAAACTTATTTTATTTTTCTACCCTTAAATTTAAAAACTTTCAGTATGGTTTTTATTTTTTATTTTAGCTATGAATGAACTACTGTTATGCCAAAATACTAGTATAAAGCAAATAGATATAGATGATGAAGAAGAGAAATATAATGGTCCTCACTTAATTAACAGCGATTCGATCAAACTACTGAACAGTTAGTTAACTCTTATTTACAAAATTATCATGTTGTCAATTAATTGCTTTCTATTTTTAGCAATATGTACATCAAAATCTAAAATTCACTCCCTCATGAAAGTACGACTAGCTACTTGGTCAAAATCAAAAAGAAATGAATCTACTGTTGTTGTAAAACTATTTCAAGACAACGTCAATATCAATGTGCATTTAATGGTAATTATATTCAAATTCTTTCTTTACCTTTCTTTGTTAATATTATTGAATCTTTGTTCTAAGAATTTGTTGAGCCTATCAAAACGATGGAGTTCTGTATCTTCAAGTGCTATAGTGCGTTTGTTTGGTCTTTGTGTTGATACTCCGACTGCTCTCATCAGTGAATACTTTCCGTTGGGTCCCCTCGACTCTTACTTGAGAACGAATAAAGACCAAATAACTTTTAGCAACTTAGTTGAAGCCGCTACGTATATGGCCACTGCACTTTGGGATATGGTACACAGTTATTAATACAATTTTAAAGCAAATTAATAATTATACATTTTAATATTTGGACAAATAAAAACAGGAAACAGCATGCTTAGTTCATGGCAAAATTCGATGTCATAAATTTGTCGTGGCCGAACATTCAAGAAACGCCTTTGTTGTTAAACTCACAGATCAGGGTATTCATAAGTGTTATACAAGTTACGAGTAAGTTTAATTTTGGGGATAAGTTTAATCCATAACGCCTTTTATTAAGTCTATCATATTAAATAACATTTTAATTTACTTTTAGTTTGTATTGGATTCCTGTTGAATTTTACAACTCAGTCGAGCTTGCAAGGAAGTCTTCTCAAGCCGATATATGGGCATTCAGTTCTACGCTGTGGGAATTGTTTAGTTACGGTGTTGAATTACCTGAAGTGCAAAATGTTGAATTATTCAAACAAGTAATAAAAATTTTAATAAAGTATAATATAATGATAGATTTTCAGTTTTGCACTGTGGAGAAGGTATTATTTTTAAAAAAATGTAATATTTACAATTTTGTAGAAATTTGAAAAAAATATTCGAATGCCAAAACCCGATAGCTGCACAGATGACATTTATCAGATTATGTCTGATTGTTGGGATAGTGATCCGTTCATTCGTAAAAAACCTCAAGCAACGTTAAGAGACTTAAGACAAATTTGGTTGCAAAGTAATAGAGTTATAAATAATTACTTAATTAAATACTGGCTTATTTTATTGTTATTATTTTTTTTAGTATATGCCAGCCCCCAACATGAATACACACCGTTGAGAAAAGAAGAAATCTTTAAAGATGACGTTACATGTTCTGACGCTACAATTTATTGTACTTCTGATTATACTAGTATGTCATTTGTTCATTTTGATATGATAGTTACGTCCAGTACTAATTTATTTTATTTTAGCCGAGACATTTATGGATACAGTGTCCAGCTCTTTTTCTGGAAGCGAATCAAAGTCAGATTTTATCGATTTCAATTCGAATCCTGTAATTTTTTTTTTAATTTAACAATTTTTTCTACAAAAGACCATTTAATATTGTATAGCGCTTCTCTTTTTTCTAGGATGATGCAAGAAGTTATCAAAATGAAAATCCTGTGCTTGGAGCAAGCACAAGTTTCAACCAGTTTATGAATCAGGTACTGTAAAAGATTAAAAAATTATTTGCATTTTAATAACACAAAATTACTCTCGAGACATTTATTTATATGTTAGCTTACATCCAAGGAAGAAATAAAAAATAATATGCGAAATGCTCTTAACTGCCAAGAGAAAATATATCAATTTAATAACTCTACATTGAGTTTGGGACAAGTCATTGGACAGGTAAAAAATAATTGAACTTATTGTTCGCTCTTTATTTGTTGTTCAAATTATATTTTTATTTTAGGGATTTTATGGAGTCGTTCTTGAAGGAATACTAGAAGATAATGGCAATAACACAAAAAAGAAAGTGGCTGTGAAACACATGAAAAAATCATTCCAGTTGGAGGACTTCCAAAGAGAAATAACAATTATTCAAGTATTTATTACAATATACTAAAAATGTATATCTTATATTCATTATTTATATATTTTTTATAAATTAGCAACTGAATCACCCAAACATTGTAAAAATTGAAGGAGTAATCGAAGAACCAAATTTAATGCTTATAATGGAGTTTGTCGAGTTTGGATCATTAAATACTTACTTACGGATACATGAAAATGAACTTTTTGAAGAAACAAATCAACTTTTAAAGTACTCTCTAGATGTCGCAAAAGTAATTAAACATTTTAATGTGTGTTATAACTTAAATATTCAGCACTAAAAATGTAATTTTGGTTGCCTAAACCTTTAAGCATAATATTAATTAATCATATCAATAATACAATACTGTTAAAGGTGACCATAAAAATGTACATGAAGCTGTACAAAATTTATGATTTTTAAACTAACTTGAGAAATCTGACTTTGTAATAAAAATCCCAATAATATTGCTACATCACTTTGTTTTCAGGGAATGGAGTATTTAGGAAAACTAAACATTGTGCATCGAGATTTGGCTACTAGAAATATATTGGTTGTAAGTCCTACGACTGTAAAAATTTCTGATTTTGGTCTTGCTCAATTTTTACCTGACGAGAAGTACTATTATCTACAGACTATGAGAGATTTACCCCTTAAATGGTAAATTTAAGACATTTTTAGATAAATTTCTTTCTACAGTTATAAAACAAATGTTTTACTTGCAGGCACGCTCCAGAAGCTATTCTTTATGGAAAGTTTTCACCTAAAACTGATATATGGGCCTTTGGTGTTTTGCTTTATGAGATATTCTCTTTGGGCAAAGAACCCAATATCGTTTCAAAATTAGAGGAAAGATTGGACGTGGAAAAAATGATGAGAGTTTTGGAAGAGGGTCATCGACTGCAGTGTCCGCCGTGTCCTCCGTGTACAATGGATATTTACAACAGACTTATGCACCCATGTTGGTCTTACGTCGCATCTGATCGTCCAGATTTTACACACTTGGTTAACGTCATTCAGTCTCAGATGGATGCTGAGACTGAAGAGTACCAATGAAATGTAATTCAGAATTGCTAAAGTAATCAGAAAGCTGACAATCATCTTAGCCAAAATACATTTTCATCATCATGACTATTTTTTCTACAAAAATAACCATCTTTGTTAAAAACTAAAAAAAGGACATTTACTTAATTGCTCTCTTTTAAAAAGAAATCATAATTTTAGCCATGACAAACAGCGATCAATAACAATTATTGGCAACTCCTAGAAATCTAGTCAAAATAAAAAGTTCCATTTAGGTAGGTAATGTAACTGTACTATTGTTTTTTCACAATTAAACCTTAAAACAATTTACTTATTAGCTAGTATACGCTTTCATACATTATCACATTGTTTAATTATAAATAAGCAATATAAGTTAGTTAGATCATGTTTATAGTATATGTACTATTTATTATTTTTAAATATTTATACATCCATCAATAATGGAACAAGTTCAATAAAACATTCCAACCCATTGTTAACCAAATTTGTTTGAACCCTTCCTAGGCATAACTACAATTTAAATTATCAATGCATTTATTTTATTTAAATTTATAAATATTAATAATTTAAAGTAAAATTATAAAAAAACTTACTTTTACAAAATAAGTTTTGCTGCGCGTAGACCAGTTTTTTTGGATTGACTTATTAATAGTTTTAAAAAAATATGTTAAAATATGAAACATAATATATCTATTTATTATATTGTAACTGTATTGTGTGTGAATTTTAATAACTATTAAAATGTAATTTATTTTTAACAACAGTAGAGTTGTACTTCCCACGTAAAATCTGTTGGGCATCTCGGACCATGAATACTTCTGGTCCACAATTCTGTTATGGCAAATGAGCTTTTACGTTTTAATTTTCCATGAAGCTCAGTGCTAAATGTGTATGTAAATTTTAAAAATTGTGGCGGAAGTGCCATTATTTTACACAATAATCAAAATAAAGTGTTTTCATTTACATAAGAGATATAATCTTTATTAATAAAATATTGACGAGCTGCCCAATTCATGGGTTGCCATGAGAACACAGCCTACTACTCAGAGATGTTGTGTCCAAATAACTCAAGAGTACAAATGGTAATGTATAATTCCTAATGTGTCTTTCATCATATCAAGACACAATGTCGTGAGAATTGTTTTTCCTAGGTTATACATCTTAAAGAACTTCACTAGAGCAGAGCAATTCAATTTTCCGAAAATTAAAATTGTCATACCGATATAAGATATTTAAAATAATCTAGTTGTATTATTATGAGTACTTGTGTATTTTATTTAAATAATTAGAACTACTTTTTGGTAATTTTAATATCATTAAAATACTGGCAAAATAGAATTTGTACTTACAGGCAGCTTTGTGAATTGTTCAACAAACTTCCAAATACAACAAATTCTTACCGCTGAGTACAGACTATGCACATCATAGATTTAATCTATTCTGTGGAATAAGTTTAACTGATCATGCAAACTTGTGATGACAGTAAAATTATTATCACGTTACTAGCGTACAATACTGAAATATTGGGGGCATTTTGAATTAAGTTGTATGAATTGGACAGTTTAATAATACATTTCACCGACTTGTGTCGGAATGAAATTTAACTTGGCACAAGATATCTAGAGGAGGAGGTAAATAGTTAATACCCACTGAGCCACTTGCAGGTAAAGTTATATTATGGAAAGAAAATATATATTCATGAATTCTTAACCAATAATATTAGTAATTATTTTTAATAAGTAGGTAATAGCTATCCGTCACAGGAAAATAATTTACAAAAGGTATGTCTGAACCATATTATTTACCAAAGTTTTTCTAAACAAATCCATGAATTATAATAAAAACAAAATACATTTTTTTTGTAATTTTAAATTAATATAAGTAGAAATATATTGGTCATTTATAATAAATCCATTGAAGTTAAAAGCTAAACTAGTACATGTTCAGATGAAATTTAAAAAAAAAACCACTTAGATTCTAAGTACAGTAACCACCTGGTAACACATATTTTACGACACTAATCAATACAATTTTTTTTTAATCAATTTTACATTGTTTTCATCTATTGGGTTTCTATCAACAGAAATCAGGACTTCATTACTGTAGGTACACTTAATTATTTAACATGATATAAATTTATAATAAAAAAAAGAAACAATTATATAATAGTGGAATAATATAGTTGAATATAATATATTCAATAGCATAATTTTAAGCCCTTAAAATTTTAATTAGAGTAAACAATTTCCACAACATAAGCAAGTATATTTTAAATAAAGTGATTTATACATTTTGTTTAGCCAAACATGGAATCATGTAGTTGTGCTATTGAATCATCTCGTAATCGTTTTTTTTTCATTTCTTCCTTGTATAACTCATAAAGTTCATCGTCAGTCTTCAATTCCGACTTGCACAATGGACAAAAATTGCTCTAAAACAAATACATATATATGGGTCATTCAAAATTTTATAAATTTCATTAAATTTTTATACTAACTTAGGCTGTCTCAAAAAAAAAAAGTTTTATTCTGACAAATCATTTTGTACAATAAATCGAGAAGCAATTATTATATAGTTCAATTTTTTTTTTTTTTGAATACTTACTTTTTTCAACCATTTTTTTAAACAGCTATCATGAAATATATGGTGACATGGCATAACAAGCGCTTTATCGTCTACTTGATATTGACACAAGCATATTTGACATTGTTCTCCTAAAATTTCAATTTATGTTCTATAATTTATTTAAAAATTGTATTATAGTATTACCTAGTATTTCATCGACAGATGGTATACGAAGTTTTTCGATTTCCGACTTGGATGCTGGCGGTGACCTTTGTGAATTTATAACATCGCCATAACTCTCTGGGTCATAGTCAAAAATCATACGAAATGATTCACGTGTAAGACGTTCTACCAAAGAGCCAGGTAATTCATTCTCGTCAACGTTTAATTCTTCAAAATAACTGGCCATGTCTACAATAGAATTTGTATTCACTTTTATTATTTATTACTATTCTGATATGTTATGCAAATTTTTTTCACTCGAGTGAATGCGCAATAAAAGAACTCAATGCAATTACGTGTGGTCATAATATTAAAAATTAGATTTTAAAAATATATAATACACATTTTTATCAAACTAATATTGAAACAATACACCAATATATTACATATATTATAAATCACGAATAGTTGTATAATAAAACCATAATTACCTGTGTTGAAAATATCAAATTTCTAACTAGATTCTGATTAATTTAACATACAAAATACAATTACTAATTTTATATATTTAATAAATCATCAACTGATATTCTAATTTAGATGGATGTGCATGAGTAATCCATTTTCTATTTTAAAATGTAAAATATGTTAATTTTTGTAATAATATTGATTGTTATCTGTTGTCAACTGGGGATTATAAAATATAATACCTAATTTATAACATATGGTTTTGTTATCATTAGCCACTTGCGTTATCGCTACTATCAATGAGTAGTAGACAGTAGTGAGTATTCGGTATACTTATCTATGGTAATGACCAGTGAGTAGTGACTTGTGAGTTGTAAATACCGAGTAGACACCGACAGACATCTTGATCAGTAGGAACTACTAACTAGGACACTATTTAAAACAAAGTAAAAATTATTAATAATAACCTTTTAAAATACTTCCGTTAAATAGTGAATAAATTTGAATTTGATTTCTCATTAGAACATAATTCTTTAACAGTGGTAAGTGTTACTTATATTTTTTTTTAGAAAAATACCAATTTATTATATAAAATAATGTTTTTGTGTACATGTTCAGGAAATGTCTGACAATCCACCAGCAGAAGATAATTCTCAGAATGCTTTATCTGAATTATTGGATGACGCTCTCAAGGATTTTGAGGAACCCAATCAACCGACTTCGGAACCAGTAGTGACGGATATGTCGGCCGTCAGTAGTCCTGAAAATTTCATTAAAGAGAATCTCGAGGAAACCATGAAATCCTTTATGAATGGTGAGCAAGCTCAAATGGCGGCAGAGTTGCAAGAAATTATGATGGCCGATGCCGATGTCGATTTGCAGTCGGTTATTCAAGAATCTTTAAAGAGTCTATCTGAAGCTAAACAAAATTTACCCGAAGGAAGCGATTTGAGTTCAATGTTTGCTAATATGGGTGTAGGCGATGATTTAAATCTGGACGATGATGTGATGCCGATGATGATGCAGTTTCTGCAACCTTTATTCAGCAAGGATGTGTTGTATCCATCGATAAAAGATTTATGTGACAAATTTCCACAATGGCTAGAAGACAACAAAGCTACAGTTGAGCAAGATGAATTTGATAGGTACGCTCGTAGAATTGTGATATGTAAAATATATATATTTTATCTAATGTAGAATTTGCCTTGTACATTTCAGGTATACAAAAATGTTCGATTTCATGAAAGAGGTCAGGGACCATTTGGAAACTCAAAATGACAGTGATGACGAAATCACTAAAACAAGAAAATTCAAAGAACTTATGGAATTGCTTAAGAAAATGCAAGAATGTGGTCAACCTCCTCAAGAACTATTGGGAGATGCTGCGGGACCTCCTATGCCCGATAGCATGGGCCAATGTAGCATTATGTAGTAAAAGGTCTTTCGTTTCGTATTGGTTCTGATTTCATGATATCAGTTTGATAAATAAAGACTGAACTGAAGTAGAATATAAGTAGGGTACCACCGCCCAATCCTTCAATAGTTTACCTAATACCTAATTTTTGGTGATTATCTCTTTGAATATCACTATAAGAGTATGTATACGATTTGGAATTCAGTTTTATAGTATTTATCTAGTACAGTTTTCTTTTATCAAATATATATTAATATATACATCAAATATCTAATAAATAAAACTACAATACTTTTAATAAAAGGTAAAAGTACTTTTCTTCTAGTGATAAAACAAACATTTTTTTGGTTTAGGTAAAATTATTAAAAGATAAATCTAGCATATAGTTTAAGTAATAAAAGAATCAAAGTATATTTTTATAGGATTTGTATCTTTCTATCATGGTTATACCTTGTTTTTTTAGTGTAGTATCATTATAAGTTATAATTATTGGAGCTGGTTTATATATTATATAAAATTTTAAATAGTTTTTTTAAAACTATCTATTTTATTTATTTATTATGTGGGTATTCAAAAGTTTTATATAATTGTCTATGATCTGTACTTTTTTGGAATCCACTGAAAAAATTGTATACTCAATAAATGTTTAAAAATGTCAAATTTATTTTTTATTTAAATGCAATTTTTTGTGTTGTCACTAAAATGTTGGATAAACAATACCAATGTTCTATATTTCTCAGTTAGAAAATCATTCATGTTAACTTATAGACATTAATTTTTGTTCAATTACAAAAAAAAAAATTAATCAAATGTACTTTTTTAACAAACACCCTTTTTTTGCGATTTTTTTACTATCTTGTATTTTTTTTACACTGATGACGAATCTGAAATCAGGAAGACTAATTCTGAAGGACTCCTCTTGTTCCAAAGTTCCAAGTGCATATTTCTACGGTACACGGGCAGCTAGTATATATATATGTACGAACACAAACATTTTAAATACACCTTTATTTTATAATAATGTTTTGTTTACACTATATTATTTTATGTATTATTTTGGTTTATGTGCATAAATGTATTGCAATGTATTTTTAAAAATTATTGTATTTTAAGACCCCCGGGGCCAACTTTTTCATAGAAACGCATTTTTAGAGATTTTAATCAGCTTTCGATTAGTATACTCAAAAATAGGGGACCTCTTCCAGAACATTGTTAAAAATTGATAAAACCGCCACGGCGCGGCGGTCGGCCAGTAATTTTTTTTGTGCCCGGGTTTTTTTTAAGTTAAGTAATATACTCTTACTGTTTTGTCGATAATTGGTTTATATTTTAAATATTTCGTATAATAATTATCGTCGGTGTATATGGACTGCCCCTTAGAATAATAGAGTATTGGCAACACAACATACACTAACGCCATGACACTTTCTGTTATCAAATATTGCTAGCTCGTTTATGACTAACTTCACGCCCGTAGTCCTCGTCGCGTAACCATTCTAAAAACAGACAACAATTCTTATCTAAACGGCTCCACCCCCAAAAATTTGATAAGAAATTGATATTAAAATGCAAGAAATGTAAACAAAAGTCAAAACTCAAAACTAAAAAAGTTAGTTGACATATTATTATTGAACGTGCCTTTTCGCTTTGAAAAATGGTGATCGTATTAGGATCGTCTCAGAGTTACTGAATGAATTTTATAAAAAAAATGAGTTGAAAAGCCCACGGAAACGATTCACTGCATTACAACTATGTGGATTCCAACAAAATCAAAAAAATATGGTGTCGGTAAGTCAAGTCATAGTATTAATAATATCTTTATTCTAATAAAAAAACTATGTCTTCAAATGTATTTTATTCAAAGAAAATTATTATTTTACTTTCTCAGCAATATATAATTGGCACGGAGACAATCCCTATGGTTTACACCTTCAAATCGGAGATACCGTACAGATTCTCGAACAGTGTTCTGGTGAGTGAAGCAATTCGAATTTAAATAGTTCATTATACTATAATTATTTATCCATTCTGTGCACATTTTTTTATTTAGGTTGGTACAGAGGATTTGTTACTAAAAATCGATCAGTAAAAGTAGGTATTTTTGTTTTTTTAAATGATACCAAAAAGAACTAACACTATTATTTTTACCCAGGGAATATTTCCTGCTGCGTATATACATCTAAAACCATATCGCATTGAAAACGAAGGGTAAAGTTAATATTTAATATTATGATTGTTAATATATACTAGACGATATTTTTTATTATATTTTTAGATGCTACGAAACGGTAGTTCCCTTGGAAGACGCCATTATCAGAGAAGTGTCTTTAGTTTTGCGGGATTGGAACTGTATTTGGAAAACTTTATACGTGGTATGATATGAAAATAGTTATGAAGTCGTCAAATTAAAAAATTATAAATATAAATATAAATATTATTTTAAGTAGTGGTCTAAAAAAAAAAAAAATTTTTTTTTCAAAATATAATATATGTATCACAATACAAACCAGGCTGACTAATACGTGCCATTCAATACAAAAGTTCATAGACAAAGTGCTACAATCACTGGCACTTTTTTGTATTTCGGACATTTAGTAAATTATGTATATTCCAAATGAAATGTTCATTCGCATGGGCACTTATAAAAAAAAGTAATTTATAATAAGAAAAAAAAACACTATAGTTACATATTTATAAATATGATAGTAACATAGTAAAAAGTTTATAAACCTATTAGTGATAGGTCATAAAATATAAAAAAAATACTATAACACTATGGCAAAACTATCGTTTTTAAAAATAATTTATTTCATTTGTCTTTATATGAATTATAAATTATAAAACAAATGTTAAATTGTTACTAATGAGCGCTATCGATTGTGGTCGCTTATTTTATTGAAGGATTCTAAATACAGAATATAGTTTAATAGTGATCAATAATAAACTTTTTAAGCAACATATTTTATTTTCTAGGAGAGAGAAACGTATAAATTTATTACCCTACGAAAGGTTATGCGAGAACTGTTAGAATGGAGAAAGCAACTGTTGACTGGCACGTTAACCCAAGATCAAACCAAAGAGTTAAAAATCAAAATAGCCGCCAAGATCGACTGGGGAAACAGGTAAAAATAAATAAATATAAATATCATGCTAGCGAGTAGAAATGCCAAACAGTCTTGGTATAAAAATCTATAAAAAAAAGAATTAGGTTTCCTATCTCCGAATTAGTAAATGTTTCCTTAATTCAAGTGACTAAATATTTTTTACTAGTTGTTAAAAGGAAACGACTATTAAAATATTGTATAACGTAAAATGTATAAAGGAAAAAAGTTTTCAACCAAATTTACAATTGGCGTTTTGGACCTTTCAAGACCGTTGTGGGTGATCTCAACAGGAATTTCAATTTTATTTGTGCTATTAGGAAAATTGTTTTTGCAAGAAAATGAGTGGCCAATGTTGAATCAAACAATTTGTGTGTAGTAAAAAAAAAAAATATATCTACATTGTTTTAGACTATATAGTAAATTTTAATCAACAAAAAAAAAATTGTTAGGTAACAAATGGTTTAACCTAGATTTTAAATTTATGTTTGTCTTTAGAAATTTGAAATATTTTTTTTTAATTTTTAATAAGTCAAAAGTTTTTTGCTGTGTTGCTTAAAACTACCTACAAAAAAAATACACATATTAACAATAATGTTTGCAATGCAATATTTACCGCATTTTCTTTGTTTTGATGTTGGTTTAATTATTGTTTTAATATTCAAACAATATTCTTCAACAATATTTATTAACCTTAAATTTTTCAATGTTTAACTGTTAACATATACAATTTAAAGCTATTTTTTGCCTAAACGCAGTGAGATTTATCTTTTATACTATTAGTCGAGCAGAGCTTGATAAGCATCAATTTTTTTTCTAAGGTCGAATCTTGAATAACCATATTTTAATAGGAAAGTACATCTAGGAGTATAGGAAAACATATTAATAACTAATTTAGCTTTGATGTTTTAGTTGTTTTCATCAATATTGGTCATAGAATTTTCAATTGAGGAATAATAATTTTAAACTTATTGATTTTCAACATGTATACAGTTAAATACACAACTGTTTAATAATCAATCTTATCACATTTTATTACAAATTTTTCCTTATGCATTTAAAGTCAATTAACTTAGTATTAAATTTTAAATTAAAATCAAAATAATAAATAAATAAATATAATAATATTATTTAACACTAATGTAGCGCCACATTTTGAGAAAAACAATAATCATTTCCAGTTTTTTTTTTACAATTCTCATTAGGTAAAAACAATTACAATTTAACACAATAATTCCTAATTGAACTTAAAAAAGGAATATTTAAGAATTCCAAACATCACGAAGAGGAGACTTTTAATTTCCATTTATAATATAAATATATACACGCATATATTATTATAAAGTAATGAAATAATTTGGTCAATATTTATAATACTTATTTGTGCACATTTACTAGTCTAATTTTACAATTAGGGATTTTGCAATCTTTAAATACGTACATTTTTATTATACTAAAAAATGTCTAAAAAAAAAAAAAAAATGGAATGTTATAATAATCATGAGATGAGATGTTTTAATGAACACACAGTTTTGAGATATCAATAATATTTTCAACTCCAAAATGTTTATCATACAAAAATGATGTAAAAAAAAAAAAAAAAGGGAAACATTATATAAGTTTTATGGCCAGGTTTAGGCCTCGGTTTCTTTGTGAAGTCTTAATTTGTCTGACGGATACATGGGGGACAGTTCGAGAGTTGAAGGGGCAGTTGGTAAATTATTGCCTAGGTGTAAGCGTGAGCTAAGGTCGTCCAATACTTCAGTGAACTGCATCATGTTCATGTTTTGACCCAGTAGATGTAGCAATAAGAAATCTCCTACCTGTAATTGCAAAGTATTTTATTAAAAATTAGTATTACATAAATTTATTATCAATTATTCAAATTAAAACATGCTAAAAAGTAAATAGCTGAGTAATTGAAAAACACCCAATACTCTTTTAATGTTAATTATTTTTCTATCTATGAGATCAGATTCATTTAATTTTAGTAAGTATTAAGTAATGTAATTGATAGTATTTTTAAAAATACACACTTCCCATTACTTTTTATTTAGAAAATTATTTTATTTTAATTTATTATTTTGGATACTTTAATAATTTGCAATCAAATAAGCAATTGGAAGTACATAATTGTGTAAAGTAAAATAAATATTTACCTGTGTTTTCCTAATGAGCGCCGAAACTGTCTGAGGGGTTCCAAACTTAAAGCGTCTCAATAAAATAGTTTCCCGGATCGACGGCAGGGTGACTACAGCAATACTGTACGCTAATGCCATGGCAGAAAGAACCGTTAGTATGATGAACCAGAACCATAAGAAAATGTAAATTTTTTCATTTAAAATATTCAGCGCCAGTATGCAAAGAGCATCGTGAGCTTGGATTGTACCGGATGGACCAAACTTATGGAATGTACACTTTGTCACCCTCGGGAAGACTGCGACCATTGGATCATACCGGTTCTCTTGATCCATCTGACTAAGCTCTAAAACTTTTGTTCCGTAAGTGAAGAACTCGCCACCCAAGAAACTGTCTATCAGGAACATGTTGCCAATCACATTTAAGAAATTGAATATCTAAAAATAAACATGGACAAGCTTGTCGTTAAGTTGTTTTCTATTGCTTGTTTTGTATTGTAACATTACCTCGCACAAGAAGTATCCCGAAGCATACACATTGTGCATATGCAAAGTATCGATAAGATATTGCACTAGTTGCTTTTGACGGTTCAGTCTTTCTTCATTTTGTCCGATAGAGGCACCACGTACGCCATCGGTGATCATGCGAATTTTGCCTTCCTCCCAGTTTTTCCATAGCCAATGTGGCACGTAAAAGAGAATGCCTTGGAAAAACAACATGAAAGGCACCCATTGGTAGTACGAATGGTATCGGACCTGGTCTTCTTTATCGATATAGCTCGACACACCAGGATGGGCGACATGTGTTCCCAAGCCTTTTCCGATTTTGTCAGGCAACGTAAATGTGTGTGTTATCCAACAGAAGGTGTTTATGACGTGTTCAGGGATAGCACCGTCCGTTATACACGATATCGGATCACCTGAAAATAACACGATACAACAAGGTTATATAAATTGACTTTAATAAGAGATTTTTTTATTGTTAAAATTGTAAAGGTAAACAAAAACCAAGTGACACATAATGACGACCACTGCAATTTCTGAACCGGCATAACATTCTAAAATGTTTGCGTCATTAATTTACTCCCACGTTCACGTTTATCTCATGTAATTATTATTTTTATTATAGATAAAACAAAAAACCAAGTGCCACTCTATTTGAGCACTTGGTTGTGTATTGTAGTTTTATCTATTTGGAAACATGTGTAAAATCTCAGCTTTGATTTTCATTTTACGCTGTCTTAATACCGACAAAGCAACAATGTCAATTTGGCGTTAAGGAACTGTTCTCGCACAGGGTGACCCGTCATTACAATAATATAGGTCCAGGGTCAATTGAAAGGAATTGCTTTTTATTACAAACAACAATAAAGCTGCGTTCACACTGTCGGCGCACAAGATGTTTTTGTGGAGAAGCTCAATTTAATCAACAACAATAAACTCACCGATCAGATTGTTGGCCGTCACCAGTATGCAACACGCGAACAGTATTGCCGTCGTCAGCCTGTAGTGGGCCCTAAACACGGCGTTGTCTATGTTGGCCTTGTCCACCAGGTAACGCACCTTAATGAAGCCGGCCACAGCCGACAGCATCGGAAATATGGCCATTGTCGGTTGCTGTCAATAATCTACAAGACAATGGCTGTTAAAAAAAAAAAAAAGGTTATATTATAATAATAATTTAATACTGGCGAGCAAACAAAAAAACCATGATAAAAGGGAGAAAAATTAAAAAAAAAAAAACAAGTACACGGGCCAGTGCAGAAGTGCCGCTCAGCAACAGGTATCTTAGGTGGCCGATGTCAACAGCCTCATACCGCGTTGCCAGTTCTCCCACCTCACGCCGCAGTCGCCTCCTCAGACGGCCGGCAGTCGTCGCCTTATGTATGTCTTCTATTATTATATTCCAAAAACTGGTTTTCCTCCGACCCGACCGCGCTCATGCTTCATACACATACACACGCGCACGCAAGCGAGCCGCATACTTGACGCACGCATACTCAAACAACTGGTGATTCCGCCGGACGACGCATTTTTTTACTATCCTCAATCGCCGAAGAAACAGCGTGACTCATGTTTTATACTCCTTATTAGATATTAGTAATCCACCAACCGACCTCGGTTTACAGTTTTCCGTCACAGCCTCCCGAACGATTTCAAATTTTCTCTCACACCGGGATTCGACCGAAAAATATGCTGATATCTAAAACTCGGTCAAAACCATGTGAACAATTACTGCACACTCATACGCGCACAAACGAGGCGACGCGACACAATGGGATCTCATAGACGGGCGCCGACGTCTACAGGTGTTACCTATTACCGGTGGGTCGAGAGTCGAGACAAACAAAACAAAAAAAAAATGACATAATTTTAAACGATAATCGTATCAAAATCCAGTTACATACATTCACAGACCAAAAATGATAAATTACCGGTTGGCCTACTATCTCGAAAAAACATACTTAACAATAACATAGCAAAACAAAAAAAACCAATTAATTACTAATTAATTATAACAACATCACGTACCAGTCTCTTTCAGCGATATATAGTATGTGTGCAAAACGAAAATATCCTAGTTTTCACTCCGGTTAGGTTACTTTTGGAAATCGTTAATAAATTAGTTTTTTACTATAATATTATGTTGTGTTTTTCGTTGTTCGTTAAGACATTAAATTGAAATAAAAAATAAAACGATCCGTCGTGAATTATTGGCGCTGGTACGCGCCTCGTCGATGCAGTCACCACCGTCGTACAATACTAACTACTATTGTAATGAGCAACTCACTGCAGCCGACGAGTAGCGTGCACCATAGCTGTTATAGTGTACGGTGTATTACAGAGGCTAGTAGTATTGTTATGCACGTTTGGTGGTGTGGACTGGTCCCGGTAATTTGTGGTGGTGGTAGTGGCGCAGGCAATGCGGGTCGGGCCGTTGCGAGCGATCGCTCTGTATACACGCACAACCGGTAGTTTGCGGCAAACATACCTACCGTAGTACATAGTACGAGCTGGTGGCATACAGAGTGTGCCGGCCGCAAACATTGTCACAGTCGCCGCACGCCCCTCTTTTTTTTTCCTCGAAATGTATTATTTTTATCAAAGAACTTTGAGCCGGCCCCGTTGTCGCGCTGGTTTTCCGGTCGTTCGCGACGTTGCACCGTGGAGTTTGAATCGCAAAAGATTATAAAAACAATTTACCTAAGCCTGATAATAATAAAAGGTGCAATTCGGAAAGAGCTTAGCTGCAGTTAACACCCCCAATTTGTTTACGTTTAAATAAACATTAAGTACTATAGAGGCGAGGACTTTTATTACTTGGTTTTCGCTTTTTTTTTAGCGAAATTGCTCTATTGATAGTAATAAGTTATACTTGGTTATAAAAGACAATCGTTCGGGTTCCAGCGCCGACTGGTAGGCGGCGTATTCGGTCGACCAAACCGGTTGGTCGTCGACTATACGAGTACTCACTACTCGGTACTATCGTTATGACTTTTGTTTAGCATTTCCTCAGACGATTCGTGGGCGAAGGCAGCGCAGGAAAATGCATGTGAACCGAAATGAAATTAAAAAAAAGAAATAATAACAATGATAAAGAGAATGGGAAATAAGTGGTTTTTTTCCCATAGAATTATCCGTCGCATCGTTGAGTTTTTTATACTTTTATTTCTTATTGCGAGTATACGCCGCCGCCGTAGTGGTAGGGTTGTCTGGAACAAAGAACATCTGATCGTTTACATTGTAGAAGATGTTGAGAATAAAAAGAAAGTCTGCCTGGAACGGTTTGTTCGCCATCGATGACACTGGTCCCCACCATTCTTCTACTATGTAATAATATCATTTTGACCGTTTCTTGCTGAACACGCATTATATCATCAAACGGTTAAATCCTGTACATTAAATAATTGCACATAAAATGTCAGTAATTCTGTCAGATCATGGTGATATACATATTATACAGTATACTCTGTATACAAATTGAGTACTCCGCCCCAAACGAAGTACCCGCGTTTGACTCGTATGACTTGAAAATTATAAAACGTTTCCCCGATTTTTTCAATATTTTTGCAATGCTTTTTTGGCTACATCCGATTTGTGCACAAAATTACAACCGGAATAAAAATATAAGATAATAATGTGCGGAAACGAGTTATCATAGGCAACAATCATGTACGCTAAAGGTTAAAACAAATTTAACTATATTATTAATTATAAATATAAATTATAGTACTTAATTTGCTATTACCAAGTATTTTTGAAGGGATTTGTATTAATAGTAAGTAGGTAATAAAGAGTAATATAATGAATCTGTTATTGAAAATTGTACTGTATATCTTTTTTATTAGCTATACTAATTACTAAGTAGTATTTTATAAATAAAACTAATTACAATTTTTTTTTTTTAAAACGCCACTAAAAAAATTAATAAATTTGTATAATGTTTAAATAATTAATTACTAATAATCTATGTAAATTAATAAAATAATTTATTTTATTTATAAAACTTCATATAAATGTGCTTGTAGAATATTTTGTATACACCTATTATACCAATAAGATAAAATGAATAACCTTGTAAATGTGTCTATTTTAATAATTGATAAAAATATAGTGGTCCCCACTCGTGAAATTCAGCATTGCCCCGCTCATAAAGATAAATTTTCCTCTAGATCTCTGTCTAATTTACTTTATTTAAACTTTAAAATACAAAGTCCAAAATATTCACACACATAATAATAATATTCTATTATCCTATAATATAATTATGTGATATTTAGTTTGTATTATACCTAACTAGTAACTATAACTAGACCAATTTCTATTATAATATATATTTGCATATAAATAGTATTATTATACATATATTATTATATATATATATTGTGTTTTAAGGTTAGGTTAGGTCTGTGTCTGTGTATGGAAGTAAATTTGTATTATTATTTTTTTAGCGTAGCCTTCATAAGTATCGTTTATATTAATTATATTAACGATTATTAACGAGTTTTCGGTATTTACCGAAGATTCGATAATGACGGTAATAACTGAAAATACCGAAAAGTACGGTTTACCGGTGTTGTCAAATTCTGGTAACCGAAATTACCAGTAACACCGTTAGCCCTACATTTATGTTCAAAATCAGTTGTCTATACAAAATAATACTCTTAAATAATATATTATATTATTTAATGAAGGACATTCATTAAATGTGTCTTCAGAATTTGTATTTTTTTTTAATTTAATTTAAAATTTTGTATTTTAGTCTCAATGTTTATACTTTTGATACCTCGACATTAATATTATTATAGTACAATTAGTTCCATTATTACAAAGTTCTGAATGTTTAATAAGTATTATATAATATTTCCTAACTATAAAATATGTTAAAAATGGGTACTACTCAGGTTGTGTACATAGTCTGATGTGCCTTACTTTGGTCGTGTGTGCCAGAAATCTAAAAAGAAACGTTTTTGGCAACAAATTTATAGTACGTACATTCAATGCATTATTCATCGTGATAAAAGTACAAACTGTAAGATTAAACATATAAAATTTAAAAAAAAACCCGTATGATTTCTACTTTTATGGTTTTTTGAATGCTGAAACCTACTTGAATTTCTTTATTTCAATCATCTGACGTTTGACCAAATCTCAGCACGATTTTTTGAATTTTTGAAATTACCATAATATTATTGTGGGACGTTTGACGACAAAGGTCGTCTGTGCTTGTGTTTTGGGAATAGCATATTATCACGTCACGTTCGCGGGTTAGTTGATATTTCGATAGTTTGGTCAGTTATTTTTTTTATCGTAGTCCGATTTCGTGTATAATACCTATATCGTGTACTCGCTTGATAAATATTTGTACATTTTGATAGTCGTCCGACTTGTTTCAAAATCTTCTGACCCGCCAGCTAAAAGTCAGCTGCAGTAAATAATCCTTCTTGAAACAAAACAATTAATCGTGCACGAGTTATTGATGGCTATTTTGCAGTCGAGAGTGTCCGTAATCGCCGTCCACAGGTTACCAATTAGTGTGAAAACGTTGTAGGATGAACATAATATACATATGGGGAATGTTTGATTTATCTGAGTATAGTTTCCTTGAAAAAGTCAAGTCCAAATTCTTATTTTTACAAGATAAATGTGTCCAAAAAAAACGTTTGTACGCGTTATTAAAAAAAAAAATTCATCTTGTATAATATGTAGTCATTTTTTTATATTAAAATTTAGTATATTGCTTCTTTATAATCAAAATATCTTGTGATTTATAATTGAAAAAAAAGAAGTACCTATATGAATCATGGAAAAAAAAATGTAGTGTCAAAGTGAACCAAAAATATAACTGTAAAAGTAAAGATTGTTTTCCTGTAACAAATATTAGAACTATGTAAATTAAGTTTTTTTAGTTTCTATGATAAATATGTAAAATATTAAAAAAAAAAAATTTAAGTATAATATAAAAACATTCTTATGTTGATTTCATATTGACTCATGTTACTGTTTTCTATAATAATATGTGAAAACCAACATTGTTTATTGTTTCCGTGTTTTGTATTGTAAATAAATAAAAAAAAATATGATAAATTTGTTGTTGCTGACGTTTGCTTATATTTACTTAAAATCAATATTATAATGGACTACATGCTTTGGTCGTTGAGTCGTATAACACCATATGATTATAGTTATGAATCTAGTTTTATATGTCCTCTTAATTTTTAATACATTTTTTAACGTTTTTAACTTGGCAAACTGTGACTTTTATAACGACGACGATTTCGATGATGATGATATTAATGCAGGAATCCTACATCCTAGTTGGAATTATTAATTATTACATGGCGTTTTATAACATAACACAGTAGGAATCATTGTACCTAAATCGGATATGGAATATATTAATCATTTGTGACCCCTGAACCGCTAAAATAACGCCTACGTCACTCTGTGTCTTATCTTAAGTGTATTTTTGCGTTTTCACTAACTGGTCGTGTGAACTGTTTAGCGCGGACTGTGCACAATTTAAATTAAAACCAAGCACTGCTTGACAAATAAATGTATAAAACATGTGCATTGTTGAAATCTTCAACACTTGACTTCAAATGACAGCTGGATTTTATTTTCGCACACCACGGGCAAAACACACTACATCCTGTATTCACTATGATTTACGATTATATGTGTACTTAAACGCTGGTGGACGTTGTCACACCGGTTTATCACATTCTGCTCTGAGCTTTAACCGTGTGTGTATTGTTTACCGCACGATAATAATAATTAAACAAACACCTCTAATAAAAGGTAGCGGCCGAGTGCGTTAACGTTTTCAAACCGATAAAAACAAGTTATCGTTTAATTGTTTAAATAAACGCTATTCAATTTTTTTTTTTGTACGTGCGTTTATCGTGACTAGTCGAAGGTGGACCTAGTCTTGATCAATTCTATAAGATTAATCTCTATGTCGCAAAGATCGAACTGTCTCATTTCAACATGATAATAATATTACATTGGAAGTCATGAACATAATTCGTTTCGCCGTCACACGTTTTTAATAAAGAGCGGAATAAAAAAAAAACCCAAGGCCTCCCTCTAAAACTGCTACAATAACCTGGAGAAGGTTTGGTGCTGTACTGTATAAAAATGGGAGAAAATACAAATATAATTGAATTCTTAAAAATCCAGTTTGGAAACAATCAGGGAAATTTCTTTGGGAAAGAAAATTAAAGTCAAAGAAAACAAAATGGTCGGTAAAATTGTTTTAATTATTTCCAATTTCGGTACCGATGCAGTCACATAATTTTTGTTTTATTGGAAATCAGTAAATTTGCGGTAAAAATATTGTTTGTTTATATTCATTGAACTTCTCAATGTTGCGAATCCTTTTAGCGTTGAATGGGAGAAACTGATTAAAAACAATGGAATGTGTCACGCGCTAATTATTATCATTATGTTTGCAAAATAACTGAAATATTTCAAAATCGTTCAGATAGGTGTGGGTTTAGAGTGGGAGGTTTGGGTGTTTTAGCTGCACTCATTTTGCATGTGATACTTTTCATTTTTTGTATATAAAACACGATTAATCTAATAGTGTTCTGATTTATGTCGTTTATTGTCGATATACTGTGTAAAAATCGAAGGTCGTTAGTACATGCTAATAATCCTAGAATCTGTGTGTCCTTGGGGAGAACATGCAGAAGTATCTGAAATCAGTTCTTGGTCTACGACGCAGGCGGCTACCATTTTTAAGGGCCTTTTGTAGTAGAAGAAAATTTAAGTTGCCACTCATGTTTTAAGTACAGGTACTCAAAGTTCAGATTTCAAAGCTCTTATGAAAATCTGGTATTTCATAGTTTTGCTCGAGTCCATACCGGACCGATATGGATTTGATTTGGGTATTCCGACACCGTCTGCGGTATGCAATTGAATCATTTGACCTAAATAAAAAAGTGCATTCGATTAAGTTGTTGTATTGAGCACATTTTTGATTTCTATTGTAACATTAAGTACATCACTTAATTGTAGGCGTGGCGTCAAACGCACACAACGATACTCCTTACTATATTATTGTAGATATAATATGTCATAATGAGCCGTTAAAAACAAAAGTATTGCTCGTTTATTCCAAGCCCTGTATAAAATTAAACAACTCAATGATAACATTTTGAATACAAGTTCTATAAATATTATCATGGTCAATGCTAACCTATTAGATATTCTTATGCCAATTAAAATGGTATGTACTAGGTGATTATCAAGTGGCTCTACCTTAAGCGGAAACATTTGGCTTAAAATATAGTTAATTTGACTTACAATCAACAACTTAGTGACTGGTCCTTTCTTAAACGAAGAAAGAACAGAGCAAATTGTATAAAACGCTTGAAAATATCTATACTAGTTTAATCGTAATTATTTTATTTTATCTTTATATAAGATGTTTTTGATTTTTTAGAAAGCTCGGACTAGACCTGGTGCCGAGATGTGGAGCAGAAATGGTGGATCCGGCCACAATGAGCGCAGTAGAACTTTATAAAGTTGTGAGTAAGACTGTAAAATATTTAAAATCGTTTAAATCTATATATTGTATTTAAATTCAATTTTTTTTTCTAGCACGTCAAAAGTTCGGATAATATCCAAGGAGTTTCGGTAAGTGTTGTATAGTTTATTTATTATTCTTAATTGATAATATGTTTTATACTTTTCCTATGTCGTGTATTTCAGGCTAGAGGTACCATAAGAAGACCCAAGGTAGTGTCTAAAATACAAACGCGCCATTTGTTCATGTGCATGCGAGACTTCGGCTATCACGTGGGAGAAGAAACCGAAGTCTATTTTTCGCTTTATGACGCCAAAAACTTCAAATACATAAGGTACCACATATTACATTATTTAACTGTTTACTAATGGGTTTTAACGATTTAAAATTCAATTTATTCTTCCAGTGAACGGTTTTCAGTGAAAATCTCCAAAGAAGGTTTTTCAAATTATATAGAAAAACTACACAACAACTGTACAATATTCACTGTAAGTGTCTTTGCAATACGTTTAATAAATTATTTATCGACTTAGTCTTTCTTTCGACCCCCCCTTGTCTCTTTTACTCTGGTTACTGCTTCCCTCCAATACCTCTTTTTAATCGCCTATCTTAACACTCGGCTCACCGGAGAACCATGAACATTTTCTTGTAATTATTATTGGTCATATTTGTTGTACAGGATCTCGGTTTGCAAGACATGTCCCGGGACCTTTACATAGTGGCGCAAGTGATGCGCATCGGCAAGATGGTGTACTCAGAATCGTCGAAAAAAATGTCTATAACCTCATCGATGCCGCCGCCGGCGTCGCACTTCAAACGTCCCCTGGGAGTTGCCGTGCTAAGCATCGGCGAGTTGCTGACTTCGCCGTCCACCGAGGAGAAGGAGTTTACGTTCCGGGTGTTTCAGTCGTCGGACGAAAAGGACTTTTTCCAGCTGCACGATACAGTGATACGCAAGCAGAGTAACAAGTACAGTCCGCTGTCCAGCCATCCTAACTACGGTATTGTGATATCGCTGAGGGTACTGGACGGCGAGCTGCGGTGCATCCGCGAGGAGAACCCGCTGGCTTTCAAGAACGTGTCGACCACCAGGAAGATGGGCTTCCCGGACGTGATCATGCCCGGGCACGTGCGCAACGACCTGTACCTGACGCTGGAACGCGGCGAGTTCGAGAAGGGCGGCAAGTCCACCGGCAAGAACATCGAAGTCACCGTTATCGTGCTGAACTACGAGGGCAACATAGTGCCAAACTGCTTGTGGGGCGCGTCCGGCACAGACTCGTCCACCGAATACCGGTCCATGATCATCTACCATCACAACGCTCCGTGTTGGTCGGAAACCGTACGGCTCTCCATACCGATCGAAAAGTACAACATCGCTCACATACGTTTCGAATACAGACATTGTTCTAGTGAGTGTTAGCCGCCGCAATTGTAGCTCTTCACAAACAATTAAAAATTGTAATTCTTTTTTCATTTTTTCTTGCAGCCCGGGACAAGGCGGACAACAAAAAACTGTTTGGCATATCGTTCGCGCGACTCATGGGACCTGAAGAGGCCACCCTCCAGGACGGACTCCACGAGCTGTTCATTTACCGGTGCGACGAACGTACCAAACTTCGGCCGGCCGACTACTTGGGACTGGCCGCCAGCGTACACGAGTCGGCCAAGTGGAACAGTACGCCCGAGCCCGGGTCGGTGTTCACGCGCAGTCACAAGGAGATCATGACGATCCGCACGCTGCTGTGCTCGACCAAGCTAACTCAGAACGGTGAGTTTGTGACCGCAAAAATACTGCAACCTTTCGTCGTACTCACATATAATATGTTTGTGTTTTCTCTTTCAGTCGATTTGTTGTCATTGCTACAATGGAAAGAGCACCCACATCGGATTCAGGAGGCGCTCACTCGGGCATTGCGTTTGGACGGCGAGGAGTTGGTGAAGTTCTTGCAGGACATATTAGACGCTTTGTTCTCCATGTTTTCCACGGACGACGGCAATTCGACCATTCATTCTGGTCTGGTGTTCCATGTTCTAGTCAGCATTTTCAGTTTGCTCTACGACAGCAAGTTCGAACACTTCAAACCGGTAATGAACGCCTACATCAAAGAGCACTTCGCCGCCGCTCTGGTCTACAAGTGAGTACTTGCGTGGCTTCCAACGCAAATGTGAAATGTACTTGGCGTTCCCTTGTCTCCCCAAAAAATTTAGTCCAGGTTAAGTTCTCAAAAAAACTTAAAATTTATAAAACCACGCACCTTATAAAGACAAATTCAACGCAAATGAATCAAACACTACTTGCTTATATGTATTTGGTCGCACTTCCGTCGCTGAGGTCTGTCATTTTGGGTTATATTTTTTTCTTTGATGCTTTCAGGGGTTTATTGAGCAGCGTTCAACACTGCGCCGAGTTGGTCATGTCCACGGACCGACAAGAGCCTATCCAAAAGTGTTTCCGGTCTTTGGAATATATTTTCAAATTTGTCATCCAGTCGAGGGTGCTGTTCTCGCGCGCTACAGGCGGTCAGTTCGAGGAAATTTTCCGGTCCGACGTGCACCGCGTGTTCGCCTCTCTCGACAAAATGCTTTGCTCGTCTTTCGACATGATTTTGCCCACGCAGGTATAACGTCAATAACTATGATAAACATAGCCCTGTGCCGCCTATTATACTTATATCTGCCATTGTTCTTCCAGATCGCTCTGTTGCAAAGTTCCAGCGACGTGTTCGACCAACTAGTCCAAGTACTGCCCGTGATCGAGGTGGCCAAACTGAGCGTGTCCATGTTGGACTGTCTGCCATCGCGGGACTTACCCACCCCGTTGACGCAAGCAAAATTAGGCGCCATCAAATGTCTAGTAGCCGGCAAAGTATTTAAGGACGACGGTAAGATGTCCGCCATTATGATAATAATTCTACTTTCATTGTTTCCAATGTGTGTTTTTTTTTATCGCAGAAGCGAGAAATTTGTTATTGATCACTATATGTAAACACCTGAGGCACCACATCAGCGCCAGAGAAGAAATTCAGCTGTGCACGGACATTTTGGGAGATATTTTGACGTTTTTATTTCATCACAACCCAATGCAAGACGGCGGCAAATTAAACATTTGCTATCGACGCGATTTGGAGATACTGACTCTGAGCACGTTAGACATGTTGATAGAGACCTGTCTTATTGCCATAGACAGAATGGTGTCGGTTTTGGTAAATATCATCAGACATACGTTGTGTTGCAAATACAATCTGGTTCTGAATCGCATGTAATTTTTTTTTTGCAGGCAAATCTGGTGGCCTGTTTGATTTCACTGCTACAATTACTCGACGACTACCATTACAAGCGGCTCTGGGAAGAACTCGAGCGCAAGCCGTTGAAGGATTTCCTGCTGAGATCGTTTTTACTGTTCAGACATCTGATTAATCACGACGTATTTCCGTCGGACTGGATGGTCATAAAAATGACTACAAACAACGTGATTTTAACCGCCCTGCAACAACTGGCAAAACCGTTGGTGTTTTTTTTCTTGGAGACGTGGCCTCACTTCGACCATCAGGTGTGGTCGACCTATTTTAAATTGGCCGTGGCGTTTCTCACACAACCGGCTCTTCAGCTGGAGACGTTCACCAACGTGAAGCGCACCAAGATCGTCGAGAAGTACGGGGACATGAGAGTACAGATGGGATATCAGATATTGTCCGTGTGGTCCAAACTTGGTAAAACTTAAAAAAAATATAATAATAACTGCTGCTACAAAGAAGATAGTCCTAAATACGACGGCGACCGATTGATGTGTTCAATATTTTACAGGCGATCACAAAATCAAATTCATCCCGTCCATGGTCGGTCCGTTCCTAGAGGTGACGTTGGTACCCGAAGCAGAACTGCGCAAAGCGACTCTTCATATATTTTTTGACATGATGGAATGCGAACAACGAGCTCGAGGCAATTTCAAAGAAGTCGAGTCAGAACTCATCGACAAGTTGGATTATTTAATAAGCGAGAATAAGGGCGACGACGAGTACAGACAACTTTTCAATACCATGTGAGACTACTTTTTTCCTTTAATTTTTTCAAATAATTTATTAACAATAAACACATTTTTTATTTGCTGCTTTAAGGGAAAATTTAAGCATAATGTAAGTGACAAACGTATAACTATTATATTATTTAAGTGGAAAAGATTTAACATTTTACTATATAATGAGTTTAGCTTCGATAGAACTAGTTGGTTTGAACAACTCCAAGTCAGTGTTGTCTTGATCGACTTTTTTTTGTTCTTTAGATTGTTGGAAAAGGTCCATCAAGAGGAACACGACGGTAGTTGGCAAGAAACGGGTTCGGCATTCATTAATTCAGTAACGCGTTTGTTGGAACGGCTGTTGGATTATAGAAGTGTAATGCGCGGCGACGATAACCGCGACAAAAGGATGTCGTGCACCGTGAACCTTTTGAACTTTTACAAAAACGAAATCGACAGAAAAGAAATGTATCTGAGATACATTTACAAGCTTCATGATTTGCACGTGTCCGCCGACAATTTCACCGAAGCTGGATTCACGTTGAAGTTGTATGCCGATCAGTTGTCGTGGTCGGACGGACCGTTGTTGCAAGGCGATCCCATGACATCTGTGTGCCAGTGGCAGAGGAAGGAACAGCTGTACCACGAAATCATTCAGTATTTTGACAAGGGAAAAGTGAGTGTAGCCGGCGCCGAGTGATGCCGAGAAGGTATTTTCATTTTTGATTTGTTGGTGTCGCGCAGTGTTGGGAGAAAGGACTGCCGTTGCTCAAGGAACTGGCCGAGTTTTATGAAAAGAGGTTGTTCGACTACACAAGACTGAGCGCGGTATTGAAAACTCAAGCGAAATTCTGCGACAACATACTCACACAATTGCGACCCGAGTCCGAATACTTCCGTGTAGGGTTTTACGGCCAAGGGTTTCCGCTGTTCGTTCGGGTAAGATTTACACACGTTCAGTAAGTCCTTTTGTCACATCTTATCGTCTTGTCTTTCAGAACAAAGTATTTGTTTATCGAGGACTGGAGTACGAACACATGGAAACGTTCACGCAGCGACTGCAAACCGAGTTTCCCACCGCCCAGCTGTTGACCAGAAACACTCCACCTTCGCAGACTATTTTGCAATCCGACGGTCAATGTAATTATCGTGTTTTAACCACTATTTTTTTTTCTTTTTTCACCTTGGCCTATGTTGTCTTAGACATCCAAATCTGCAATGTCAAACCGTATCCGGATATTGGTCCTCCGTCGTCAGAAAAACCCTTGGCCATGGTCCCGGAAAAAGTGAGTCGATTTTATGAGGTGAACGACGTTTGCACGTTTCAGCTGGACCGACCCATGCACAAAGGTCAAGTAGACCGAGACAACGAGTTCAAGAGCCTGTGGTTGGAACGCACTATTTTGGTAATAAGCGACCGTTTGCCGGGCATACTGCGTTGTTTCGAGGTGGTCAACACTACCACTGAAGAGGTACCACCAGTCAAGTTCGCTTGTGAAACCATTGAGTCGGTCAACAAAGACCTGAGACGGTTGATTAACCAGTACACCAATGAACCCAAGAGGAATATAAATCCACTGAGCATGAGACTTCAAGGGACAATCGATGCCAACGTCATGGGCGGCATATCTAAATACCAGTCGGCGTTTTTCTCTCAAGACTTTGTCCAAAACAATCCGCAGTACTATTCTTATGTATTGCAACTGGGATCTTCAATAAACCGTCAGGTATGTTCGGATGAGATCCTTTCGACAGTGACGCAAATGGTAATAATAATTTTTATGACTTTTGCACGGTCTAGATTGAAATTGTAGAAAACGGCTTGTTGGTGCACGGAAAGTTGGCGCCTCCCGAAGTCCAACCTCTCCACCACCGGCTAGTGGAACGCATGGTGCAACTCCAACAGAGCGTGAAGATCTCTCCACCGGCGCCTGAAAGCAGCATAATCAAGTATTAACAAAAAACCGTGTCCAGGTCGACCATATATAATGATTATTAACTTTATTTTTTTAGTTCTCCTTTACCGCCAGTTCCTACTGATAAAAATCACCCATATCGGTCCACCGAAGAGTATACGAATACGTTGAACTATTTTGGAGACCGAAGGGAGGAGTACGAGGACATATATAGCAAAACGTTTGACTTGTCTGTTAACGCAAACGTGCCAAACGTTCCTCTCCGCGAGTTCAGGCTCAAATCAGAAGGGTCTCTCATCAGCAAAGTCAAGTACATATAGTTTTGTGGCCATAAAACTATATTTTAAAAAAATGTAGTTTGAGCTAATTGTTTTTTTTTCCTATCTTAGAATCGAACCAAAGCATACGTATAAACCGGGAAGTCCAAAATTACAGAGGAATTCAGTTTCCATGGACGCCAGTAACGCGAGGAATTCGTGGTCCAACGATGACAATGTTCCTCCGCCCCCATTACCCCCCAGAGGTATAGAATAGATTTAGATTATATAGTAGAATATGGTGTTAATATAATATGAACAGTGGCGCTGAAACTAATTATATATCTTTAGCTTCTGGGCGAAGCTAGAAGCTATTTTAAGTGACAATAAAATGTAACTTGTACCCAACACTTTTCTCACAATGATTTAACACATGACCTACTGGAGACCACAACCTAGTGGCCACCACAACCATTAAAAACTATACATTTTTACATTCAGCCCTTGAAACTTGTCTGGTGTGGCGAACACTTAAAAATTAATTCGGCGTCATATCAAAATTCACATTTGAGAAATTATTTGCATTTTTTAAACTTAATTTGGTATTATATTTGAAAGTTAATCGATTGGATATGTTTTTATTTTTCACAGCATTAGACAGGAAAAATAGTGACGCGGCGCCACCATTACCCAAAAGAATGCCATCACGACGTGTAAGTGTAGAATTGACAGTTTAAATTGACCAGAGTTGAGCAAAATTAAAAAAAAATAAACATTACATAATTAATGGGCATTATTAAAACAATGCCCAACTCGATTTGTTGATAAATTAAAGTCACCTAGTGTTAGAAAGTCTATATGAGTAATCGATAAGTAGAATCTTAAAAGAAATTGCCTAGATTATTGGTTATAGTAAGCCAAATACTAAATAACCTGTATTAGTAATATATTTTGTTATATAAATTATAAATTTGGTTTTTTTAAGGACTCTGAGCTAATCACTGACATAGACGCACCTATCCAACGCGACTCTGGCTATTCTGAATCTCTAACTTCGGTGTCTTATGAAGAATTTGTGTTGCCCTCTTCGGACCCGAAAAATCCACCTCCTCTGCCGCCCAAAAATACTCAGACACAATCTAATCCCGAGTCAAACGGTATGTAAAAATACAAAAACAATTTTACTCTACTGAATCAAGCTCCAGCCAAATTTCATTTAACTTAATCTGGTGTTCCCATCAATGGAATAAATTTATATTTTTTCCATTAAAATCAGTTCAGGTGTAAAAAGTAAACTTTGTCCGTACCCTTTTTTTTATAAAAATGAATCATTGTTGATTAATTTTAATTAATATTGAATTTTTTCTTTGTTGTTCAGATGTTCCGAGTTTAGATACGTATTCTATACCTGGGACGACGTGCAAACGTTTTGAATCTAACCCCTAGTCAAGTATAAGACTCTCTCTTAGAAACGGTGCCATATATCGACGAGTGAATGCATTTATTGTAACGGATTAGGTTTAGACAAGTTTTAAAAATATTTTTTTACTGCCCGTGTGTGTGATAAACATTGATTACATTGATATAAAAAAATTGCATGCCCATATATTTTATATTTATACAATAATGTACCTGCCAAAACGGCCAAAAAATTGCCAAATTTAATTTTCTTAACAAAACTTTAAGAAAGCAATATATATATACATTTATTATTTATACATAATTTTTTTTTTTTTATGTAAGTTTTTTACTTTTATTTCTGTAATGAAAACAATAATACTTGAATTGACTTTATAATTGTTACTATTACTGTGCTATTATTGTAATTTAATAGTGTTATTTTAAATATACTTGTATAACTTTCAAATTAACTTATATGATACTACTTTAGCTACGTCTAGTAGTAGTGGTTTAAAATTATGACATTTTAACATTTATGGCATATCAAATATAATAACAAAATTAAATAGGAAATCATAACTATCAAATATATATACAGGGGGAAAGACTTTATTTTATAGACTTTAAAATTAGCTTCTCGCCAAAAGCAAAAAGTATGTCGAAAATTCACTGGACCCTTCTTCTTTTCCAATTTAATTTAAAGGGCTTTTTTATTTAGTTGTATTTAGTTTTCATTCTTTATATTTTTGCAGTAATATTTAAAACGAAAATTAAAAATGTACTTATAAGGATACATCAAGCAAGAATTAAATAATCTATACCAGTTTTAAAAAACTATTATCAGATAACACATTTCAGAGTAAAAAGAGTTAAAATTATAGTAAGGCCCCCTAACTACACCTCGACAACGTATTACATGTACAACATAAAAATAGTAAAATATTATTTATTTTTATATTACTTAATTATTATATAAACCAAAACAGCCAAACATTCTTTAAGTAACAAATGTTACCAAATCTGTATACTAACCATGATGTAGAATTGGCCATTTTTGTTCGTATTATTTTTATGTCAATAATTTAGTTGTCTCGCTCAATAATTTTTATTTGTGTGTTATATTTATTAATATTATTATTGTAAAAATATTATGTGTGTGGATCTTTTACATTTTATTTTATATTATAATTACGACATACATTCCGTCTTCCGCGACTTTAAAGTAAAAATTTCATTATACTTAATAATAATAATAATAATAATTATTTTTATTGCTATATATTAATTATTATCCTCAATAATTGTATAATCCTAACAATACTATTTATATCGATACGCGTTTATACCATGTAGATTATAATAATTTAACAACTATTGTACTACAATTTATTTGAAATATAAAAAATGTGACCATAATACAAACAAATTGCTGTTATTTTTTATATATTTTTTAAAAATAAAATTTAAAAAACATTTGCCACCTAGAGGCGAAGACGACAAAAAAACGTGGTCATTTGCTGATGCACAACAACAGCAGTGCCATGACCATATATGTGTGTAATTCCATCCTTGTCTAGGGGAGTGCTAACCGTCTCTCCTTTTATACAACACAATTGCATGATGCCAACGTCCGTGCATTTATACCGCACAAATCGCAAAAACGAATACATGCGAGTAGTTTACACTGAAAACCGCCTAAGCCCGTCATCTATTAGTTGCTCAGTGACCACGCTCGAGTGGTTGTCTACATAAACACCTAGAGGGCGCTACATGTTATCGAGGGGAACGGAAAGCGCTATTAATTAAGGGGCAAAGGATAGGCAATATATGACAAAAACGAATCAATAGTTGCCGTTTTTAATATAACGCAGTCTAATTTTAAGGCGAATATATTAAGATTTTCTAGTTGTAATAATACTTTTAAAGTTATTTTTCTACGAGTTATGGCGTGATTGAAATTCGATCGAACTTCTAATTATTACTAACTTTTTACGTTTTTCAGTATTATGACTTCATGAAAATATAAATCTCAAGAAAATTGACTTAAATACCAATAATAATAATAATTTGTAGATATTATATAACTTTTGAAACGAGTTGAGATAAATGATATTTTTTTCCGAGTTATCCCCGGTACCTACGTACAATAAAGTTTTTTTTTTAACTCATATTTCTTAAAAAAATAATAAAAAACTGTAAAACTGAAAATTGTTGTGTTCACTTTACACGCGGAATGACTCGGGTACAAATTAAGTTAATGAATTGGTTGGCTTTTTTTACATATTTTCAAGGCTAGGCACGTTATGACCGTACTCATACCAGTTTGGCATAACAGTCAAGTAGAGTTTAGCCTATAATTTTAACATTGGAAAACTATACCTACCTTGCATGCATGCTTAACTGGCGAAAAGAGTTGTTGACCAACTCGGTTAAGTTGTAATAAATAGTTTTAGTCGAGTTGCACATCGACAAAGTTCGGTTAAGTCATAAACGTTGGTTTTCTTTCATCTTTTATGTTAAATATTTCCAAAAGGAAAGTTTTAATTAGATAGTCAAAATTGATAACAATATTAAAAAGATTTAAAAACTTAAAATTTCTGTAAATAATAATTTCAGAATATAATTATTATAGTAATCAGTCGAGGATATCTTGTAGTCCAATTGTAGGTTAATCTAATTTCCATAATGATAATAATTATAATAACATTACCATAAATTAGCCATTGATTTTAACCGTTTCCGACATAGACGTACCTACCTACCTTAATGATGATTATTACTTAAATGAGATCACTTACAAAAGTATAAAAACATTTTCCACGAGTTATGTGTCATACTCCAACATTTGTTTGTTGTTGAAAATTAACAGCAGTAATTATTACTACTTTATACTACTTTTACTACTTTATTAGTATCGTCAAATCTGCTGCCGTCATAATTAATGATATCAATTATTAGTATTTATTACCGTTGCCATCTTGTCTGTAACGTAAATGATTATTTTTTAAACCCTAACAATTCGGTACACATGAAGTTTTGTAAAGGTTTTAACACCCTGTGCGTAGAACTGTGTTCACTTTAGGCTAGTGGTAATTCGATTAGGAACCCGAAAACAACAAGACTGTAGGCAACTAAATCGAATATTGTCTTAACCGGATTAAGTCAAACCAGAGAACCTCGTTTCTAACTCGAAACATCGTGTTATGTCATTAGGAATGTTTAATATATTCCATAAAAAAAAAGAGTAGGTATGTTAATATATAAACACTGTCAACTGTCAAGTTTTTTTTTTGTTTAATTTTAAATTATATATATATAATAATAATACCTATAAGTTGGTAAGGCTATAAGTATAATTTTATAGTTAGTCGTCAGAACAATTTTCCCTGTACTAATTAAGATAATAATACACATATATTTTTACAACAAATTCAAAACTGACTAAACTTTGGCATCGTAGGTACAATACAGAAAACAAATTAATGTTTTTTTTTTATCTCCAGGAAAAAATACATTTAAACACGGAACATTTTTAAAAGTAATAATTTGTCTAAAATAAAATCGAAAAATATAATTATACTATTATTATAATGATGACCGCCGAGAAGTGTTTCATACACCTACAGTAGATATAAGATAATAATATAATAAATTTATTTTTTCATAATCAAAAATAGTTAATGCTTACAAATAAAATAAAAATAATAATCCTAAAAACTCAAATGTACACTGAATAATATAATTTTAATAATAGTTTTTTTATATATATAATATATTTTTGTTTTCTTCGAAAAAATAAAATGTACACAATCAATGAACACTTTTTGTGTAAAATTGTTTTATCATTCCTCGTGAAAGGCAATGGTATTTTCGCAGTGATTTAATGATTTAGTCTGTTTTGGCCATTTTGGCGCGTAGCTTAGCGTGCACTTGCAGAAACTCCGGTTTGTCCTCGTCTTTATCTTTAACGTCCATTTTTTCCATTTGCTAAAACAACAAAAAAAGGTGACATTTAATAAATAACGTAATTTAATTTACGATTTTTTATAATTAACAATTTTTTTTTTATACACTATTGTGTTTTTAAAACACAACAGACCAATGCTAACAACAAACTAATAACGCTTCATATTAGGTTTGACATTAACATTAACAAGGTATAACTTTACAATTTTTTTTTAAGATTATAAATAACACATGGTATTTTATTTATGATTTATGATTGTACATTCGATTCCACCGCAGATTTTCTCTAGCACAATTTGTTTTTTTAAATCACCTTCCAGCTATAAACGACTCACAAAAACAAGAAATGATTTTTTGAGAGTCGTTTATACTCCGAATCCAAATTTTCTAGTTTTCTTTGACGTATACGACTAATATAATTTTACATTAATTCCGTGACCAGTTCTGAATTTATTTAGCAAATAAAATATAATAAACTAGAAAATTTTTCAAACGCGTCGAAAGTGAACACAAAACGGTACTTTTTAACTACTTTGTAGCTTGGAGGCGTTTTAAAGAATATTTTGATGGGCTTTGGAAAATCTGAAGACTAATTCGGATTCAATAAAAAAAAAAATAGATTTTTTTTGGTTCTTGTACCATAAAAAAGGACATATTTTATTGCCGTACAGTACAATTTATTAATATGCGAATTTTGGAGAAAAAAAACTCAAAATAAAAATAATACAAATATAAACTCTCCCCTTGAATAATTTTTCAAAAAATCCATTTCCCCATTAAAGCGTACAACGCATTAGCTATGAATGTGTGTATGGAATTTATAAAATAATTTAATCACACAATAATCGGTACACGACTTAAAAAAGTTTTTACTTTTCTCTTTGAACGTTTCTTGTACAAAGCCTACTTAGAACCGGTCAGATGACTTAAACCTTTTTTATTTATATTATATTGACTTTTTTTTTGGTTGGACGTGCACTTGTCAAGGTTACCGGTATTATAATATTATTTATATCATATTATATACCTATATACGCATTGTATGCGCATGCATGTGATTAATGTTATATGTTGTGTGCGATAAGATCCCCACCAAGACGAAAGTACCGTGTTGCAGCACTGCTAATGAGTAATGACGTGCACAAACAACAACAAATATAATATCATACACACATTGGCATTACACGCCTACACTTGCAAACCGTTCAACTGTGGGCACTATAATATAATGGAAAATCTCTACACGACTATTACCACATGTGGTGTACCGCGTGTGTGTGTACTATTGCGATAGGCGATTTCTACTACTTGAATAAACAAATAACACGACGATTGTTTTGAAGCTTCGCTTGGTAGATCCACACCGTGTAAAAATTCGGTCAACCGAAATAAATATATTTTACACCTCGTCCAGTGTAGAGAGTGTGTTTTATTAATAGGTACACCGACACATACCTATTTGATTGTAAAAAAAAAACCTATCATAATAATATATTACCGATTCGATTTTTTTGGCCCGTTCTTCGATCATCCGTTCAAACGAGGTACGGCACGAATTTTTCTGTTGTTCCAATTCTTTTTGGGTTTGCGCTCGCTTGTGTTTTTCCAAAGCTTTCTGCAGCTCTGACTTTTGTCCCAGTACACTTTTGCCACTGAAAGATAATAAAAAAATCATGAAAACAAGGTCTTTAGGAACAGCTATTATAACAGAAAGTGATAAAATCATTCGATATGAAACCATCCATTTGACTAAATATGCAACAAGAATTCAATTTGTATAATTTTGTTAACTTAAAAGGAGCTCAAAATGGCGAAAACTCGTTTGCGCACATGATAGTATTTTTGTCGATTAAAGGACACTACTTGTTTGTGCACATTGTTGTCTTATCTCGGGTAAGACTTTTTCCCCCTACATTACTGCATAATTAGCTTGTTTGAGCATACATATAATATAATTTTATACTAATCATCCTCATATTCACCAATATATAGGTATAATATTTTATTACACTAATATGTTTGTGTTATGTTATGTCTACCTGAATATGTGCGCAAATAACAGCTGTATTTACTTGAAAATTTGATTTCTGTTGTTTATAGTTTTGTGCGCAAACGAGGTGTCTTTTAGGTAAATATCTGCAAAGTAGGCGTAGTGTTTATCATCAATTTAGCAGAATTTAGAATGCAAAAAGTACACTAATAAGTAATATTTGAATTTGACATGTATAATGTCTTATTTGCGATAGGAGGAAAAAATATATCTACTTCATAATTTTAATTATAGCCATTATTTATATTTACGACCTAAGTATGTTATTTTTGACGCCATAACCAGTTAGGCCACTTACGATTTTTTAGAGTTATGAATATCAATGATTGTATTAACATTTGTGGATCTATAGAAAATTATGATTTACAACTGTAATGGAAAGAAGAGGTTTTAAGAGGAGGGTAGTTAAAATTACCCCTTCTGTGACCTAACTTCATTATTGTCCCGCCATCGACTCAAATCGTTGTATTGTTTACCGCGAGCTAGTCTAGTTTAATACCAAGATAAATGTATAAACATGCAAAAGTAGTATTATACAGATATTGGGTTTTATCTTCGAAAAAAACTATAGCTGCTCGTGTTCACACGGACGAGGTTCTATACATATTAATTTCTACCCCCTAATTTTATTTACTTAACACTTATGACATAAGAATCACCAAAACGAAAAAATAACCCTTTTTTCCATACCGATGTTACATAACATATTTACTTTAAAACAAGAGTGTTACACTCACATTTTCTGGTTGAACAATAGTTCTCTGTGCAGGTTCTGGTGCTCGGCAGAGGTCAAACACGGGTTGACCGTCTTCCGCGGTAAAATCAATCCATCCTGGTGCATGTCTCTAGTGCAATCGGTCGCCATTGTCATACCTGTAAAACAAAACTTCTGATTAGAAACGGGCAAATAAAAAAACGAAGACACAATAATGGAGATTTCTTAAGGCATTTGTTATTATATTAAATAATTCACTCGGTCGTGAAGATTTTCAACGGACGATTGAAAGCAAACTACATACCACAACTATTCTCACTGCACGGGTATAGTGGTCTTAATGGCTATAATATTAGCAGACAGTTGAAGTAACAAATGATGTCCAATGATTATTTATCGTTAATAAGTTTACAGTAATTTTTAAGAGAGTGACTAATTATTATACAATATTGTACAAGCGCACGTCATGAACGTCGGTCGTATGATTTCATTTATATATCTATGTATGAATTAAAGAAGATACCGGATGCGGGTACAAACCCCTTGACCTATATCATTTGTGTACAACAGCACTCAGATGTATTAATAAAGCCAACCGAATGAGTTTCACTAGTTTGCGTTATATATACGTTATATAAACTCAAGATCACTTAACAAAGCTGACGCGAATAATAACTTGAACATCTTTTGTTTTATTATACTCTTCGAAAGGTTCTTAAGGAAAAAACCAAGCATGTTGCTTAATTTCGAGTTATTATTATATTGTACTTTGACACAACCCGAATTTAGAATTCCATTAGAAACATCTCAGTGACTGTTGGTAAAGTCGTCAAACGCCTCGAAAGCGTACCTTACACTACAAAATCGTACAAGTGCACTTGAAGAGTTTCATTATTATTCGTCGTTCTCAAGTCACACTTGTATTGTCCCCCAAAAAAGATAAGAAGAAACCACTTGAAATTATAACTGTACTTTTTTTACATTTATTTTAATATCAGCTAAATCGGTCTTTTTGCATATTCAGCTGAGGTCACCGCACGTAATACAAACCGTAGATAAAAAAATAAAAAATAAAAAACAAATTAATTAATTTTTCAAAAAAAAAAACAATCAAACATATTATTATGTTAATTAATATGATTTTCTTAGCGATTTGAAGGTCTAATAAAAAATAGTTTAACAAGAGAGTTATTTTTTAATTACATGCATAATCTGATGACGCACACGGGATAGTTCTATCACTGGCCAATTAATAGTAATAATTTATTTGAAAAAAATAAACATCACAAGCTAAAGATAAAAAAAGCACACGAGTCGTCGACTTGTCGACACTAAACTCAATCGTTGATAAGTCACACAAATGAATGCAAAAAATAATAGCTAACTATAAGTTCAACATTTACAACTATAATAATATACATAAGTGTTGTTTTAAACGTGGGCGCTTTCTGTGTTTTTACAATACCTCGTCTACCATGGCCCATGGGGAAAAATCAACTGTTAATGCACAATAAATAATAAGCAAAAGTTATTCAACGGCTGTATTCAATAGAACGTAAAAATAATTACTATTTCTCTTGAGGCCAATAGTAAAAAATAACAATAATAAAAATAATAACCAGATATCAACGACGGTCGAGGCTTAACGGGTCAAGAAAACGTGAAGAAATGCAGATAACGCTTAATAGGAACGATCACATACGAGCTTTGTATTAATTAACATCAGTTCACCGAATAAACGTGACTGCGAACTGATCGAATGTAAAACTGATTATAATATTAACAGCCAAACAAGTTTGTCTCAAAATTAATGATGAGTATACGTTTTTTTAACGTATAATGAAATATTTAAATCCTGATTACAACTAAGACACTAACTATAACACCTATGATAGAGTACTAGCTAAACATTTCTGTGGCCACGAGTCAAACAACTAAAAAATTTGATTTTTTTTTTTGTCAGTTACCATTATTTCTGTTTTTACTTTTTACTAAAAAATATTTTATGCTTTCTATAAGTTATTACTGTACAACCCGTCCACAGATTATTTAAATAGTTATTTTGAAGCTAGGACAAAGGAAACATGAGTAATGTAGAATTGTTTTTTTAGTTTTAACATTATAACATGATATAGCTTGAATTTCATACCTTTAATAAACATTTTCATATTCATAATATCAAACAATAAATCTCTCTTATCAGTTCTGAAACATAAGAACTTCTTGATTCAAAACTTTGTATGTACTCAAAACACGTTTATTATGTCATAAAATTGTTTTTTTTAACATCAGATGCGAGTTCCAAAAAACTAAACGTGCTAAACAAAATAGAGTCATCTTTACAGATAATGTATACATTGACTCTTGTTGCAAATACTTTTTTTACAAAATAATTACACATGGTTGATTAACAAGCCAAATAAAGAGATTGCTACGCTTTGTAAAACCTTCCTCCGAAGTAACGTCTTTATTTGATATGACTATGATGACTAATAGTTAATAGCTAGAAGTATTTCAACAAAATGGACTTGAATTGAAACGTGGATTCAAAAATCTATTCGAATTTTCAAGCAAAACGTTGACGTCATAATATAAAGCGCGTAGAAGCAAATAAGAGGGTAGGGTAGACCTTAATTAAGTTTAACGAATTGTTTTGCAAGGCCTAGCTAACCCCTCTACAAGCATCAATAGTCTTGGGGTTGTTTAGCCGAGGTAATGATTTCAAAACATCAACATTAGGCTGGGCAGGTAACGTGAACACACTTGCGCGGACTAATAACAGAGATACAAGGTTTTTTGTTTAAATATCATGCTGAACCGGCGAGTCGTGGGTCGGTTTCATTATTATATATGTTTTCAAGATTTATCATAATATGCCCTGGGTATTCTCTTTCTTCTGTGAACATGCTTTAAGGGTTTTTAAAGTGGTGGATTTATAGCTCAAGCCGTGACACGTTTTCTCTTTCTAAACGAACACACTGTCGCTTAAGTGGCACAAACTCGTTAACGTCGGCCGTCCGTTTTGAAGGCATTTTTTTTTTTGTGTACACACAAGAACGGTATCACCACACATATTTTCAAGTACTACTTGTTGCTTTTGAAACACCGTGTATAGTATTATAAATGGTATATATCAGATAGCGCACCACTGTCACATAGGTTATAATATTTATGACTGTAGCATACAATATAATACATATATATATATACATATATTTGCACTGCAGTCTACAAACACGGTATGCGGTATTTTTCGTGAACGCATCGCACCATCAAGCCGTCAGATAAATGCACAAATAATGGAAGGGGAACCGCTGCGAATAACGTTTCCGGTTTAGTAGGACGACGACATGGAATAGTAAGTGCACGCTAGTTGGTAATATTTTTTAATTTGTTATATTATATTGTATATATTATTATTATAGAGGACAAATAAAAAAAAAATCGATGGTACAAACGCCAATAACGGTTAAATAATATATTTTCGTTATGCGACCTCCATCGCCTATCCCCTTTTTCGAGGTCATATTCACAGGTGAATAATAATTAGGTATTCCCTCCCCTCTTCTCAAAGCAACTCTTCACCCCTCGACCGTAGCCGATTTAAAGCGGCACGTTTATGTTTAACATGCGAACGACGCGACGGTCGCACAAAATGCATGATTGTAACAAAATGCACGTTCAAACTACTTAAAAAAGAGCACTTATCTTATCTTAAATCTCTGCTGAACGTTCGAAAAGCCAAAAAAAAACCCATGACGTGACACGAGCACTATAATAACAATTGTCTCACCCATAAATCATAATACAGCCATACAGAAATTTTCAGCTAATTGTCATTATAAGAATGCTTTAAACGATAGCTACATAATAATTCTACACACCAAATATGTACATACATTTAATAAATTATTGTTGTCTAAAAAAAATAACCGATATACTTAGAAATCATCTTAATAATGGTTACTTTTTCTCATGAAATGATACAATTTTGACGACGTCAAGTGGAGGCACACATTCGAAAAGCATCAAAACCACAACCACATCAACCAAACCATCGCTTACTTATAGCTTCTCAAGTGTCTTGAACTAATCATTAACAAAAAATGTCATCCTGGCAACTCACTCTCCAAGTAGTAGCTGAAGATCAAAATTAAAATCTTTATTTGAGAAAGTCTAATTTCTCAAATACCCATAAAAAAAGCTTCCCTGTTTTTTTCAAAACAATTTTCATCTAAGCCCATTTACTAGATTAAAACTTTAAAAAATAAGAGTATTTATTATTTTTTCAATATCACATAGTTTACTAAAATGTATATTAACAATATAAAACATGAATAATCATGTATTTACACTCTAGTATTGTTTTGGCCAGATCCGATCATCGAAGCCAAAAAAGTGAAAGAACAACTTTTGAAGTTGTAGGAATCATGTTCATATAACGTAATCCTCATTTTTGATACTTTCCCAAATTTGTTTGTCCCGAGTCCTTTACTATTTATTTTTAAGTTACAACTTTCTGCTATACAATCCCATTTAATATCTTTCGAATTATAATTGTCAACTTCTTAACGCTCTCCACCTCTAGTTTTAACGTAATTACTGAACATTTTTAAGGGCTGTAGGAGTATTTATTATATAGGAAGTCAATAGGCTATCGTACACATGCCAAATATCCGTACATGGATATCTATGACATTCGGCATACGTGGGGTAGTCTTATAAGTTGTGTATTTAAAGCCGGAGAGATAATGGGAACATCCCATGTCGGGTCTGTTCCGGATCGATATCAATGTTATCTTCTATTGAGGTATATTATAATATAATATAGTATTGCGCTTTGCATGTTCGCATCCCTGTTGAATACCCGAGACGGCGCCTCTGCATAATATCGTCCGGCTCCGTCCAGGACGTCTAAAGAAATAATTAATGTTGGTCGCCATCAGATTCATAATAAACCCAATGAATCGGCCAACATATTATTATATAGAAAAACAACACAGAAATCCGTCACGGTCATTGTTTCTCAAATCGTGTATACGTGTCATTCTCACGGGTCGACATTCAATTATATACATTGTTTACTACACGGATCGAAGGAGACGGTGGCGGTATCTTTTGTAAACGTTTTGGCTGGTCTACAGCCTGACACACGTCGGTCACGATCGTCCGAGTGACCTAGAATTACCTTACAGCCGCCGTCCGAATGTCTGAAAGACAACACACACACCGAGTGTATACCTAATATTATATTATACTCTATTATAATGTTTACACTAGGCTCCATACACTATATTATTTACCTATTATATTGTTATAGTCGACTGTAAAATACGAAAATGATAAAAAGAAGAGTAAGAGAATAGGAGAGAAGATAAGCCGCCAAAATAGAATTTATAATAGATCAGAAGCAAGTAGAAAGTGCGAATGGTCAAGTTTTCAGGAAAACTATTGACAGATTCTCGTTAATAACAATCGATTACTAAATATTATATCGATCGTTGCATCGTATGATTGACACTTTCGTGACACCAATGGCACAAACAATGATATGTATATATAAATATATATATTTTTTGTTTACTAAGTGATTTATGAAAGTGAATACCTACTTTGAACATCTTAACCAGCCCCGAAAATAAGTGCCTGTTGTGCCACAGCTTTGTCACCAAACCAAAACGCATTCTCTATTCATCCGAATAGTTTATTTATTATAATCGGGTAATTCAATCATTTTAAACACATTTTTAACCTAAAACTTTAAGTGGTCTTGGGTTGGGAAGGGGGCATGCCACTAAATTCATTATTTTAGGTGTTACGGGTTTTTTAATAATAAAGAACTTCAAAACGAAGGCTTATAAACTATAATCAGTCATAAGTATATATTTACATAATTTTTGACATAATTACGGTTTTCCGCCGAAATTTAAGAACCACGATGATTGAAATACAGTTGGCAAGACATCGTGTCAGACTATGTAAGTTTAAAAATACCTGAATGTATGTATCTGATGTAAAGAGTACAAACGTAAGACATTCGGTTTTACATAACTCGCGGGACACGATTCTAATAATTATTTAAAAACGAAAAGTCTTAAAACGAAATTAAAGTTATTATTGATATTGTACAATACCTACGTAATATGCAGAGAACATTGGTAAGAGTGAAAACCCACTCGTAAAATTATGCGTATTTAGACAAATATATATGTAAATAACAAAAAAAAAAAATGTACGTTTTTTTATGATAATAATTGTTAATGAGGAAAATTAAAAAAAACCTAACAGATAAGTGGCCGTCGATTGGAAAGTCTTGAAATAACGTTACCTATACATTATTTTAATGAGCGGTATACATTTTGTATAATGATCATTCACTAGCAAGTAGCATGTAACAATCGAACCGGCAGAACGAAAAAATAAATAAGAATATTATTGTGGTAAGAAATTTAAGCCAACTCCTCGTATGTGTTCCAGATGATGAGTTAATAATCGTTGCTGGTAACAAAAGAAAGGGGGAAAAGCGGATAAGGAAATTATTACCGAAGGCTTTTTTTGTTTTTAATTTAAAATAATCATAAAATCATGACTCACGACACCCCTTTCAAAACGCATCTATTATTATAGTAGTAATAATAATTCACATTGGGTATTTTTCGGTGTAGGCGTTTGTGTTTGACATTAACACAACTGCGGTCGGAATTATAATCCTGGGACATGCGATCCAAACGCATTATATTTTAGACTAAAAGATTACAACATTTTTGTTTTATCAAGTTTTTTTTTAGTATTTTACGTGGTTTAAAAAACAGATAAGAAATACAATACAAACGCTTTATCCAAAAAAAAAACGACAGTGCGTAAATTTTTTTAAACGAACCAAAGCGACTTCTTTCGATTTACAACAGAACAAAAAACAATCCAAGGGATTGAGTGAATAAATGAAGACAAAAAAAAATAATTTATATTGTAAATTATCGACCAAGTAAAAATATAATTAGAGCGAAGCGTATATATTAATAATAATCGTTAACCGAAAAAAAATGTGAAAGTCACCTTAATGTCGTTAATCGAAGACCATCTTTAGATTAAATATGTTAAGTGGGATGTACATAACATAATATACTATATAGTGAATAGACAAAACAGGAATTTATTTTTAAAAAAACAAACAAATAGTCATAAATAAAAACCTGTTTCTTCTTTTAACTTACGCATCCAAAACACTGATTGAATTTTAAATTAATTTCATTTCTAAGATATGTTAACGACCATTATATAAAAGTTTCTATAGAGTACAGCAGACTATTTAAATATTTATAATCAATGACACAGGCTATATACCTACTTACAATATTTATTTTAATTAAAACAATAATGGATAAATATTATTATAGCTCATAATAATAATAATTTTAAATGGTAATTGAGAAAATGCGTTTCTTTTTTTATTTAAAATAAGACCGATAAACCACAAACTGGTAAATAAAATATTTATTGTCTCAGTAATGGAATGTGCAATGTCATTTCTCCGGTTAAGATTAATACAGCATTAACCAATCCTATAACAGCTACAATTTAATATTATTGCCGTTATTAAAATGTCAGAGAATTTTTTTTTTTTTACAGCTGATCAGCACAAAGATACTAACTGAGCTTTACAAACTCAAGATGAAAGATTTGTATTTTCTTTATCATTTACATTCTGGCATTTCCTATCATCAACTGTCGCTGTCATTTTGTTACCTTATAGGTATACTACTTGATGTAAGGAAAATGGAAATACATTGAAAACTTGTTTTATATTAAACCTAAATGTGTAAATACATTACAGTGTGTAAATATCGGAGACTAATGCTTAATTTGTTTATGTAATAGATGACTACTGTTGGCTATTATACAACATTTTTGTACTAAAGTATTTACAAATTAGAAATGGCAATTTTAAATAATTGAAACATTTCACTAAAATGCACCTCCTAGTGTTTATCTTATATTTTTCCATTATTGACACGTTGTTCAAGTGGTTTGTGTCGTACCTACTTATTTTATTATCATTATTATTTTTCATATTGAATTGTACAACATTTATATTTTATACTGCGTAAAATTAAACAAGTAATGTAGGTAAAATCCATTGCTATTATAACCAGATATGACATTGGGTACGAGTTAAAAATATTAAAATAAGTTAGCAGTCTCACAAACTGGATTGACTATGTTTAAACCTATTAAAATGTACAAATCATGAAGATCTCCGATTTCAAGTATTAACATTTTGATTTGTCATAGAGTGAAATAAACATAAATTTTATATATTTGCTATGACATCATCCATCAACACCGCGTTTTTAATTTTATATAATGTATAACAATTTATGTTGACAACAACTCACCGTTTATAATATTACTATTATACTGCTGATCCTTCTGCCCATCTAGATTCTTGTCATCAGTCTGGAAATAAATAAAACAAAAATACCGTTAGGATGCGCAAAATTAAAAAAAAAAACAAATGTCAGTAGATTACCGCTGTGGGATTGTTGATCATTTATTAAACACGGGTAAAAATAGTTTAAGAAAAAGAAAAAAATGTTCGCTAAGCAATAATTATAAACTATGGTGGTAACGTGATGGTGGAAATTTGATGAATTCTTAACAAAACATATTTGTCTGCGTTGATGCCACGGATAACGTTAAAAATATGAAATGGCCCCCATGGTGGTTACTAACCAGTAACCAGTAACCGTCCTCTAAAAAAATGCACAAAGATGCAAAAACATAATCCATAGAGATCTAATAATATTATTACTATAAACGTAAGAAACGTACGGGTCGCGCTTGTTTCTAAAACAATGATTATGCACGCCGGGAGAAATTATCAAACTATTTAACCTTTCACTATTATACACGAACGGTTCGATCGTCAGTCGTCACGATGGTCATGATAGCGGCAATAAGGAAATACACATTACTTTGCACAGCCCGCGGCACCCAGTATGACAGTGTAATAATAAGGTTTTTTTTAATAATTATTTTCAAACATATTTCATTCTCCAATTTATAATACTCGAGGGCGACACGAGACGGGAAACGAAATGCACTGTTCTGGTACATCGCTGCGGGGAGATTTGTTTTTTATAAACGTCCAATTACCGAAAGGTTTCAAATAAAATATATAATAAGCTCTACTAGTTATTGAGTACTATTATATTTTATCGCACACTTACCAAAACCAGAATTCACACTATCTTTTATTTACATTGCAAACATAGTGTGCAGGCTCTCATAGTGGTTAAAATACAAAAACTGATAAGTAAAACTAAGCGTTTTACATAACCTATTACCGACAATGTGAATTATTTATAACCGCACAAATAGTGAAGACAGAATTTGTAATAATTTAGACTGTAAAAAACATTAAGAAAAAAAAATACTTTGCAGCAGCCGTTAAGTTTACACCGCTGTATGCTATCGTGGTCCATGTTATTCTTTTTCCTTGTGACGCAATTACACAACAACTAACGCATAGCCATTACTCATTTTGTCATAGGAGACTAACAAACTACCTATTCACAATACCGCTTACATAAAAAGAACATGCGTCTTAATAATTATAATTCTTATCTAAAATAGCAGTTGATATAATATTATATTGTTCGCTTGAAAATACTTAAAAGACAACGGCGAGTTCTAAAGCATGACGACATTAAGTAAACTCATTGTCAAACAAATGAGTCATTGAATTCAAAAATTAAAAAAAAAAAAACAATCTAATGCGTTTTTTTTTTGACAATTAGTATAATATATTAACATACATATATCCAACTATAAAAAAAATACATTGCAGACAAGGCGTCATTCGCTCAAAATCGGTCACAAAAAAACCGCATACGTTTTGTAAAATATTTGACAACAGTAAGAAAAAACACGACGGAGAGTTGAGACTAACGGCTTAACCATTTTAAAGTCAGCATAAATCAAAACATTGTTTAGCGGCTTAAAAAAAACGAAGAAATAGAGACGTTTTACAAGGTGCATAAAATTCATAAATGAATAGTAATTTTTTTTTTCATACAATCTTAACATAAATAAATCAACCTCTGTTATTCGAGATTAAATGTAAATTGATAACCACCGAATTCAAAACGTTTTATACAGTTTTTAGTTGTTTAGAGATTCGCCATCTGTGCTTTTAGGCGACGATAATTCGTTTTGCATAGTCGAACAACAAAATGAAAAATTGACCATGTTGTTTAAAAAACCTGTTTCAACAGATTTTTATTTATTGTTCTTATTACTATTATACTATGCTACATATTATAACGGTAGGGACTCGGATAGGGTCAAAAACCCTTTGGACGACCGCGTTGCCGGTAGTGATAAGTCCAATAACACAAAAGGCCAGTGAAAAAATCAAATAAACAATACATAATAATCAAACGTTTGTTGTTGTGTTTGCGAAGGGGAGGGGTTAAAAACCGGCTTTTATAATTTATATTTTTTATCTGGCATCATTCTGTTGTAACTCCGAATGAATCGATTAGATAATAATATTATTATTATTACGCAGCATATTATATTATTTTTAAAAGAAGAGAAAATTACAATTTACACTTTAGCCGGTTGCTGACGTTTCGCGGGTTTACCTATATTATTATTATTATCGTCGTCGCCATCTCCGTTTTTTTTTTTAGGTTTTTGCATAATATAATAATTATTATATCACAAAATAGCCCGAAATTGCACAGAAAGATTACAACAGCGATACTTAACACTGCAATAAAACAATTTAATTATAGTAACGCCGCCAGTGTCAGTTTTTTCTTATAGTTTTATGATGATTATAATATTGTATATTGTAATGCAAAAAACTTGTCGAGTGCCACGTTTAAGTAGAATAAATATGTGTTGGTATAATAGTGGTTAATTGCCAAATGTGAAACTCTTAAAGATTAACCTAACGTTTTGCGATTAAAACGTTATCAGTAGCACTCATATTATAATGATAAAGTCTTGCACGTTCATTCCCTTTAGTTCGTGCCGGACAGTGACGGTTTTGTGTAATTAAAATATATATTATTAATACTATTAAACATTTAATACATAAGAGACTATATTGACAGCGCATTCAAATGAACTGTTTCTGTACTTTGAACGACCACATTTCCAATGAAAATTATTATTTATTTCCATAAAATTGTACTCATAATCATCGAATGTTCAACAGCAACAACAAAATTAATTGTTCGACTGAATTAAATATAAATAATAATATTATGTGCTATAATGTGTAATCACAAAAGCAATTTAATAAAAAAAAATTTATATTAATGATAATTTTATGGTGTATGATGTGCACGAAAAAGCACAGTTAAAAGTTATATAATGTTCGAAATACAAGGCGCATGTCGAAATTATCAACTTTAACGTTATCTTATCACTTGTTTGTAATAACTAATAATAACAAGATTTCCCCGAAACACAATAAGTACAAAAATAACTGCATTTGATGAATCATCTATACAGTTTATTAATACTACAAAATATGATAATTACACATATTATTTGGTTGAAGCACACACGTTTGTTATGTGTAATAATGTTATTTATAAAAATATTTTGTTATTCGCCAAAAAAAATAATGCTTTATTATTATAAATTATAACTATAAATGTATTATTATTTTCTAAGTATTTGTCATAAAAATTGTTTGCAAAAAAAATAAGATTTAGCCTTTTAGGTTATTGTACGTTATTAGATCACTATCAAACGCAGCAGAACAATTTTTAATAATAAAAACGACAAAAAATAAGTAACTTATTTACCGACTCGCATAGAATTAAAAAAAAAATGTTTACATTTACAATTATTGTTTCTAGCTGTTCTTTTACGGTGAAAAAAATTACTCATACGCTGCGTTGAATAATTTAAAATGTTGTCAACATTGAACTTCAATAATTTTAAATAGAAGATTAAATTTCTGGCTAAGAAGTAATTATAAAATGTCGGTATGCTAAGACAGTTTTTAATAATCAGAGTACATTAATGATAATTCTTAATTGATGGTAAACAGACTTTTTTTTACAACGCTTGTTTACAATATATTTTTATTATGCGTTAGTGGTCAGTTACATTGTTGTCGTTCTTATAATACCGATGATAAAGATGGATGGCATTCTAGCTTTATCGATACCATCATTTTCAATTCCATCATTTTGGTACAATAGTAATTAAAACGAATAAACCTAATGCGTTCGCTCTATACAAGCTTATTAATGAACGAAATGTTTTGTCCAGTACAGACGATTAACGATTCGTCGGGTCATTTCGATACATACAAGTAACATACCTATTTCAATCGGTTAAGATAAAAAGCGGTTTCTTTTGTAAGCGGCTGTATATCATGTTATAATTATATATGCGATGGGATTTGGGCACCATTTGGAAATAAACCGTCTTCGTGGGAGACTGCTGATACTAATCCTAATACATTGTAAATTAATATACACAATAACAACACTACAGTTTACAAAACAACACCATTCACTCAATCATCAAACGCGGTGGGATTAACGTGGTCAGTGCAGAAACCGAAAACAATAGTTTATAATTTTTAATTTCCCACGTTAGCACGCCGGTAATTAAATTATTATTATTGTTGTGCAACTGATAATGTTTCAAGGCCGTCGCTGGTCGTTGGTTGCTGTGTTCCACTACGAGCGAACAGTATATTTTATTATAATTTTTTTTTTATAGTTATATTATAACTATCAGACCGTATTAAAATAATTCAAACCATTCCGCCGTGTGTATACAACATCCCGCAGCCTCTGACGCGTTCACAAAAAAAAAAAAAAGAAGCAAAATATCATATCAAACTACCGGAAGAGACAAACGAACCGCAATATTATTGTGACGTCCGTCGTCGGTCAATTAAAAGTAATAATTATTGTAAAAAAAAAAAGTTGTCAAAACGTGGTAACAATCGAACGCGCGTTTGTGGAAACAAAAGGTCAAAAAACAATTTGCAAAAGGTCTACGAGCCGCCTAAAGGTCACTTCGGCTGGCGTGTGAAATACCCGTTAGAAATAACAATTTAAAAAAAAAAAACAATAACATAAGGTAAAAAAAAAAAAAATCTATGAAGACCGGCAACGATCCATAACCGGTCGGCGGTCGTTATTAGTCGAGTAATGGCCGTGATCGTTGTACGGCGGTCAAGACGAATATTGTTGGCTATTATTATTATTATTGATCATCATTTTTATTGTTGATATCGTTACAGAAGTGTGCGGACATCGTTTAGAGGAGTTTTCACAGAACTTGGCTTTACCGAACTTGTAGTTACCAAATACGGACATGACCTCTCTTCGCGCGCGAGTTCCGCCACTGGCCACACTCTTGTCGACCGTCAAAACGCGCCACGTTTGTTCGACCGTAATATTAATATTATT